GAAACCACCACTCGCTCACTACCGGACCAAGACGCCCATCCCAGCATACAAATCCACGTCCGCTATAAAATCCGTGGCAGAAAGTCACTCGAATCTCCCGAAATCCGCAAAGTACAAGGCCTACCCACCACCCAGAGAGCCCGTCCGCCACCGAGCCAGTAGCACACCCCTCTCCTCTCCCCGTTATTCCGAGGACGACTACCTCCCGGACCTCCCCAGAACGCACCGAGCCGCCCGTTCGGTTTCGATCTCGCACCAACCAGCCAACCTCTCCACAAGCCCCAGTCTGGAAATTATCTCCCTCCTCAACACAATGAGCGGCCCCCAATCCCGCATCATCGATGCCTCTCTCCTCCGCGAACCCCTCACAGCAAACCCCACCCACCTCGAACGCAGTCCCATATTAGTATCCCAAACACAACCCAGACCCCAGCACCACCACAGAAACCACCCCTCTAGTTCGAACATCAAGCCCAACCCTTACACTCCTCCAAACCGCACAATCCCCTCCAACAACAACAAAAACAACAATAACAACTCGCATTTCCTACACCCAGACCGCGATGACGCATCCTCTACTTCCTCTTCAACACACGACAGACCGTACACCCAAACAAGTTCAAATTACAGCCATGAGTACAGTCCCTCGAGCATAGACACCGCCGAGAAAGCCTGGGCCCAGGAGGAATTTCGAAGATTCAGCTCAGAACCCCTTGCTGTGTCTTCGACGGCGGGCATGGCGCGCGCGGCCAGTCAGTTGCGACGCGTTTAGTAGCTATGCTGAATGGAGGGGATGGGATGTCTAACAACCCCCAAAAAATTTGCTCCCCCTCCAATGTCTTTTTCGTCCATTTAGTACGTAGTATCCCCCTGGCATTCTTTTTTTTTTGAGCGGGTAGGAGATTTGGATATATCCCCCTTGTTACTTTACCTACTGCACACATTATCTGTTTTTTTTTAGGACCGACTACCTTTTCTCATAACCTGGCTGGTGGGAAAAGGGCCTTGACGTTTTCTTGATAATTTTCTTCTTCTTCTTCTTTCTGGATTCCTTTATCATGATTATGCGAGAAGGATGGGGCGCGCTGTTGGATTACGGTTGGGGGCTTTTCTTTTTTTTCCTGGAGATATCTACACATGACGCTTTGATTGACGTCTTTTTCTCTCTCTCTCTCTAGCACGTTTTCTTTTCTTTTTCTTTATCGAGATTTGCTTTGGGAGGGGGGTGGGGGGATGGGATTTAGGTTGGGAAAAAAAGGGGGAAAAGGCAATTCCCCCTGTCACGCACTCATTTGAACGCTTTTTTTTTCGTTCCTTCTTTCTTTGTGTATATCTTAGTTGGGATGGGATGGGGGGTGGGGGCGATGCAAAAAAAAAAAGACTGACTACTGGACGTTTTTTTTACGTTTCTTTACTTTTGGTTTCGTTTGCTAAGGCGAGAGACGTGAATGGTTATGTACAGCTCGATCTGGACATCACATGGGACTTTTTGTTTTCTTTGTAAGGATTAGGTACACATGGGATATGGAATGGAAATATCTTCTTCGTCGCTATAAGAATTCACAAATGCAAAAAAAAAGAAATAATGATTACATGCATCACACATACCATTACGGTAATCGTCAACATTCAATGTTGGTAACTTCGTATCATATTCGGTGTACACTCACGTCCATGCATGCCAACATTTCTTATCTCTCACGTCCACTCACACACAAAACTCAACTCACCACCACCACGACAATGTTCATCTCTCCACCATGCAAATTACCTATTACAGCTACTTGGGCGTCGTTACCACACCTTCGTATTCGCGACTTGCTATGTAGTCCAGAGTGCGCTGGAAATGTTTACGCGGGTTCTCGAGGGAAGAAGCGTTTTCGTTTGATTGGAGATTTGAGTGGATGAGTTCGATGAGACCGTTAAGGTATTTGGTTGTAACCTAGTCATGTTAAAAAATCGGTGGTCTGAATTGGATACGACCGGAGACTTACAGCTTCATTTTCTTGGTCAAAGTAGTAAACGTATCTGTTTAGGATCTCGACGAAAAGCTCAACGGATACAGCGGCGTCCATGCAGGCGTCAGCGACGCGGAGCGCTCGTTGTAAGCATTCGAGGACGCGCTTGCCGTCGCGGTAGAGCTGGATTTGTTAGCACCAATGTCATACGTAAAATTGATTACAAACCACTTACGTCCTTCGGGTCCTCCTCACCCAGTGCCCGAATCTCAGTCGCCCACCAGAGGTGACTTGCAAGGTACACAGCGCGGCATTGATCCGGCTTCTTCAGCAGCTTGCTGCCGTGCAGTGCGCACTTGGTAATTAGGGTATCGTAGTTCTCTTTTCCAAAATTTCTAGTAGTGTGCAAGCCGCTTGCAATGACGCATACAGCCTGGAACTGTGCTCTTGAATCGCTAATGGCTTCCTCGTAGATGGTGAATGCCTGTGCAAAAAATTCGTATGCGACCTCTTCGAAGCCGCTCTGGTCTGCTACCTGGCCACAAGCAACAAAGAGACGGAGGGAGAGATCTGCGGAGCCTGTGACCCGAGTGTACAGTGTCGAGAGGGTGTTGTGCATGAACTTGTAAAGAGCTGATGACTGCGATTGCCAGTTGTCTTCAAAGTGTTCGCGCTTCTTGTACTGGCGAGCAAGCTTGAGCGAAGCTGTAATGATAGCAGGGGATGTGTACTTGACACGCTCGTTGCCTTCGGCAAAGGCCTTTCGCGCGATCTGTAGGAGCTAAGTGGTGTTAGTCTTCTGAAGTAGAGGAAACCCTAGTCGAACCTACCTTGAATTGGGTATCATTATCTTTGCCATGGATCAAATGTACTATCCGCGCGAGCCAACCCTGTTCTTCTATTGTCTCCTCCGTCTCCTGTGCCCGTCTCTGAACCGGTCCACCTGGGTATCCTTGCGCTTGTTGTATGCCCTCTCTAATTAATACCTTCAAAATCTCCAACACACTTTCGAGGTTCTCTGCTGTCGCAATAGAAGTTTGGTTTCGCATAAGACTTCTTGCCACCTCGCCTGCTACAGCTCTTCGAGTCGGGTATGGTTGTGAGTGGAGAAGCGGGATGAAGTTCGGTAACGCTAGAGCGGTGAAGAGCGAGATGTAGGTCTTGATAGGAGAAAGAAGGAGACTGAGAATTTGACTCTGGGTAGCCTGGGAGTGGAGGTCTGCGCTGTTCTGGTATTCGGCAACTTTTTGGTTTGCAAAAGTCAAAACTTGGTCAATGTAATCGAGCCGTTCGGGATAGATGTTCCTGTTGGAGTTAGTACATGGTGAACAGAACGAGTCACTGAGACCTACAGCGCAAGGTTTGCCAGTGACACCAACAGTCCAATTGTGTCTTGTATTGGCAGTCGCTGCATCTTCACCAATGTCTGCACCTGCTCGTTAAATATTTCAAAGAGCTTGACATTGTTCGGTATGCCTCGTTTCTTCTCAATTTCGCCGTCTGTCTCTGTTGCTGGGGTCTCTTCAGCAGGTGCCTCAGCAGGAGTTGTCGAGTCTTCTGTGGTTTCTTCTGTGGTCTCGTCCGTAGACGGTTGTGTTTCGGGAGTTTCTGAAGAGTTGCCATTTTGCTGTGCCGGCGCAGGTTCCGGTTCGGCTGCCTTGTTTTCCTTCGCTATCCGCATCTGTTCCAAAAGGTGTGCTATCGATTCCTCTTCTGTTTTCTTGCGCTGTTCTGGGCTTTCCGTTTCGGCTTCCCTTTGCGCATACGAGGACAATCGGTCCATGAGGCCAACGACAATAGCCTTGACGTTGACGTGCGGGTTCAAGCGTGCGACAGCAGAAAGGAACTGATCGAGGGTGTGAAGGTGGAACTCGTCTGGGAAGACCTGGGTGACAACTGGAGCCTGTTAGCTATGCGCTCACATGTCCTGGGATCCAAGAAATACCTTCGAGGAGATATTCTTGCGCAAGCACATCCCGGCACTGGACAATCTGCTCAAGTAGCGGGTTGAGAATCTTCTTGTAGTTGTCTAGATCGACCAGCTGGCTCAAACGGACCAAGTTGCTACCGACCAAAAGTTGCAGTTCTTGTCGCTCCTTGGTCCGCTGTTCCCGCTCCCTCGAGTGTCCCTGGTGCTGCAGGCGGACCCACAGCTTGTTCATCTCAACAAAGTTTGTGAGGATGAAGCTGATGGAGTCCTGCAGGTTGCCCTCGGGCCCATCGCCATCGCCTGAGGGAAGGTGGTCGCGGGCCTGGCCGGCAAGGTAGTAGCGTAGGAAGAGGCCACGGACGGGGTGCTGGACTCCGCGACTCATCTCCATCATGTCCTTCATGATCTCCTTAACGGGCGCATCTTCAATGGCCATGTATACGGTGCCAACGGTGACCATGAGATAAAGGCGGGGGATAATGTTGCCGGCATACTGGACCAACTCATAGAGGTCGGCAAGGTGGTTGACTGGGTGATTCTCGCGCAGGTAGACGGCCAGGTGGCGCAGGGCATCGAAGACAGCCATGTATAGCTCATAGTACTGTTTGGGACCGAGGCTGCTGGTGCGCAGTTCCGAGACGAGCGTCGAGCTGCGCAAGAGGGTCGTCAGCATTGCTTCGGGACATAGCAGGGTGGTTGTAGCAGTTGCTACATGCGAGCCAGTCTATATGTTCATGTATTGCTTCACTCATGGGCCATGCGCGTACCTGCACTTGAGCGCATCCATTAACTTGCCCGGCGTCTCGAGACAGCGCCGCATGAGCATCGTCTGCTGGCGCACCACAGCGAGAGCATCTTCAAGCAACCGGGCCTGGTCTTCTACGGGGGGCGGCGACGCCATTGTGTGTATCCAGGCGAGCGGGTAGTCCGGGGTTGTGGAGTGGAAAGCTCGTCGTGGCTATACCAACCGCCGCCTTGGGCGCACCCGTTTGCCAAGCAATCATGACAGGGATGTCATCTTCTCCTTGGACCTGCGTCATCATCATCATCCTCCCTCGGCCTTTGCTGTTCCGTACCAGACCATCAGCACATTACTCTTCAACACACACATGCAGCCGTGGAATCATTGTTATTCATCTCAGCTATCCATCTAGTCAAACTACATAATACATGCGGCCCAAAGGACCTGACCGTCGCTACAATTACTCCCAGAACGCCTGACCCATGTGTGTCTACATGTATACTTGTCTGCTGCACTAGCGTATCGACATGTCACCATTACTCTTTCGTCGTTAAAATACTGCCAAAGAATAGAAACAGACAGCTGAGCCAGCCTACCGCCTAACCTGAGAGGAAGAAAAGAGGGAACCACTCAGTACCTCGCTTAAGCCGTAGGCGGCGCTGTTGGAGCTGCCACGGCATCATCCTCAAACGTCTTTATCCTGTAGTTGGTGTGCCACATGCCGTTGTCATAGTACTCTGTAGGACCGTCGTCCTCGGAGACAGTGACGGTAATGAAGATTGGCTTTGGCGTCTCGATTGGCATCGATGTGCTATTTGATGGCACGCTCATGGGCGTGTTTGGTGTGGAAATTGGAGGTGTTGAAGAAATAGGAGTTGATGTTGAAGAGACCGGCAGGGAACTCGATGACGCCGCCACGCTGCTTGAGCTTGGGCAGGGCGTAGGTACAGGTGCTGGATTCGGCTTGACGACTGTCGCCGTCACCTCTCGAGTGACTGTCTCTCCTGGGATAACAACCTCAATAGTCGTTGTCGTCTTGATAGTTGAAGTCGGCTCCGCAGATGTCTCGGTCGAATCTCCACCAACGTTGACAACCGCATAACTTTTGCTCCTCGCGACAAGTTTTCCTGCTCCTGCCGAATCAAAGGGTCGTCCACTGGTGAGTGTCGAGAAAAGAGCGGCCAGTGCCAGAATGCGCTTGTTGAAAAGCATGGTGTTGATAAACAAAGGAAGGTGTATGAACAAATCCGAATGCTGACTGTCGTGAAAAAGTGTCGATCACGGCTTGAATTTCGGCTGGTGCTGAAAGAGATCGTTGTGGAAACTACCAGGTCGGTACTCGTATTTGAGATCCATATTCTCCTAGCCGTTGGGTTGCGTAATTACTAGCAGGCTGTAAATGCGGAGGTTGGTGATGGCTGGGGTGGTCCGTGCATTCTAGTAGGACCAGCCTAGAACCACCATTACCCAAACCGCCAACACTGCCATCCTGGAAGTTCTTGCGAAGCCCGTTTTACCCGGGATGAATGACCTGATCATTCGTCACGGGCGCGTTGATAGGCGTGCAAAAGGAATCAGATTACGTTGCGCGCGGCTCAGCACTACGGTGTAGTAATCACGCGCCATCAGTCGCCCTTCCACCCTCTACATCCCTGTCTTTATTATATGTATGCCTAGGTTGCAGCACAGTGCTAAGTTATGCCTAAAGACCGTGGGCTATCCCCTTGTCATATACTTTAGCAGTGAATGGGCCTCCAGCATACTTGACAATTACAGTTTGCGCTTCAATTATGCTCTCTCAACTTACTGGGACAGTCCAAAGCATCCAACGCCTAGTTTTATGCATCTTTGATAATTCTGCGGCACGATCCCACAGATATTCCATATCATGGGGCTAATCTAGCTTCGCTAAAGTCTCCGGTTGATTCTGGAGCCATTGGATTCAAGCGTGCTGATACAACAGCATGCTTAATCGTTGAGGAACACTGCGAAGAACAGTCAGTGTAGAAGAGGACATGTCCATTTTTGAGTTCGGCTCTGCTGACTGAGGGCCCTACACATCACTCATGTTGGCACCAAACTCTTGCTTTAGTGCCGTACGTCTGGTTGACCTCACTTAATTGGGGGAAGGTTGAAACCAATCTCTCTGATGCAGATTAGAATGCGTACCCTATGGTCTAAAAAGATTACCATGCATCGGATCTCAAGATGATTACACCCTACTTCTAACGGCTCAATGGTCTCTCCAATCCGAAACTCGCTTAGTGGAGATAGTCACCCGACGACGTAAGCGCCACCGATCAGCCAATTTTGCGTGTAGAACTTATCGGATTCGCACAGAAATTGCGTGTTGAGCATTCCGAGGAGGTATCACTGCATTACGATGATGCAAGCGTTGTGCGTTGCAGACCAGTCATAACCCTCTCGGATGCCGCCATGCATATCCATTGCCCTGTCAGAATCGGCGTAGTTGCGGAACGCATATGTTGTGTACACCCTTTTCTGAATTCTTCGCCTGAAGAGTGGCTTGAATTCACGACGTGGCAGTCATCTATTCATGAATGATTATCAGCCTGGTGCTTTAACCTTTACTCTTAGTTTGGTCCTTCTACCTGATTCCTCAGCCTGCTCACATACCTCACTGCACCATATATTCTCTCGGGCAATTCGTTGTGTCCAACAGTCGTCACAATAGATACACCGCGGCTCACGCTTTTCATCTCAAAGTACCTCCAAACCTGTTTCATGTTTGACATGTCGGCCAGGAATCAGCCAGCTCAATCACCCGCATTCGAGTCGACAAAGAAGCGACCGCTTGAGACTGAGTGTACATTGGACTATAGTGTGAAGAGGCATCGTACCACCGATTCACAAATTACAGAAGAAGATTTCAACTACATTCCCATCAATTCGAAGGAGGGTTATGTACGAATTCTCACAATTCAGCCTGGAGAGTTCGAATCCCCACTCGAGGTCGACCTTGATAAATGTTATCAATTCCCACGATTCAGATCATCGCAGCAGTTGGAGGAAGGATTGAAACCGCTCCAAAGGTCCCATTCATCGCCTTTCGACGCGCTTTCTTACACATGGGGCTCGCCAGCTGATCCTGAAACTCTCCTGATAGGAAGCCGTGAAAAGGGCAAACTTCATATCACGCAAAATCTGGCCACTGCCTTACCATACCTCAGGTTTCCTGAACGAGAACGACTAATATGGATTGATGCGATCTGCATCAATCAATCGGATTATGATGAGAGAGCTTTGCAGGTACAACTTATGCCAGATATATACAAAGCAGCCGAGCATGTTGTGTGCTGGGTTGGAAAAGAGAGTGATAACTCAGCAATCGCATTTGATGCAATCCGTCAGTTAGATCGCAAACTTGATGTCAACCTCACTGAGGACACTGCAAAGCCAAGAGCTGAAGGAGACGAGCATTGGGCGGATATATCAACTCCACTACCGTTTGACGATCGTGTAATGCAGGCTATCTCGGACTTGTTGGGGCGTTCTTGGTTTGAAAGGCTGTGGGTACACCAAGAAGTACGTCTGGGTAGCAATCGTGCAGTACTGCAATGCGGAGACCTCTCGATCGAGTGGCACAAAGTCGTACAGGCCAACTGGAGTTTCCGCTTTAAGCCGTGGAGACACATTGTGCCTCTGGAGTTCAGACGACGCATGGGAATTGTCAACCGAACCAACTTTCCGATTGCTACAAATATAGGAATAATCATTCGCCGCACCTGTCGCCTAAAGTGTTCAAATCCACGGGACAGAGTTTATGCAATGAGAAGTACAGTACGACAGGAAGAGCAAGATATGCATATTGATGTGAATTACAAGCTGCCGGTTGGGAAAGTATACCAGAGTTACGTCGAGCGATTCATCAGCCACTTCCAGAGCCTACGCTTGCTGCCTTTTTGTGAGCTGCAGGATCACTCCCTAGAGATGCCGACGTGGGTTCCGGACTGGTCTCATCCTCCGAACACTAACTATCCCCGTGCTGCTCGATATGCTTCCGGCTATATGAAGGCAAATGTGCTCAGCATCTCAGATGAGCGTCTTGAAATCGCCGGAATGCATATTGGAACCGTCGCCCAACGGACTGTTGTCAACGCTGGCGGCACAGACGAAGCCAGCATAGTCCAGTTCATCAGAGACAGTGCGCCTCCCGGTATTCTAACCAGTGTTCACCCAGGAAATGTGCCAATGATCGAAGCCTTCTGCTGTACGCTTTGCTTTGACGTTTTCAGGGAACGAGCAGTACCCGAACGCGCCGTATTTCCCTCTTTCACCTACAGTCTCAAATTTCTCGAAAGCATCCTGACCGCCGATAGCGATGCATCGAAGCTGAACACACCTGAGACGACAACGTATCTGAGATATGTAGCAGACGCATGTAAAGGCCGCAGCATAATAAAAACACGTTCTGGACATATTGGTCTTGCACCCTCAATATGCGAGCCCGAGGATCGTATTTATGTATTTCCTGGCTGCCGTGAACTCATAGCCGTCCGAAAACATGGCTCAGATTCGGAGTTCAGGGTTGTCGGACATGCATATGTACATGGTATGGCTGATGGTGAACTGATATTTGGACCGCTTCCGCGTCACTATGATGTGGTCCTTCATTCTGAAGAGGGCGCACTGAAAGGTCTGCAGTTTCGGAATAGTAAGGATGGAACCCTTGAAGAACAAAACCCTCGATTGCGGGATTTTTGCGAGGAAGATTTTGTGGAAGGCCTGACTGGGTTGGGCAAGGCGCCAAGATTAGAAGTCCTCAGGGCTAGAGGTGTGCCGTTGGAGACAGTGATATTGGTGTAGGAGATAATGTAGATGTGCTGATTGATAGTTGGTTCGGTGCCAATGCAAACAAAGTGACATCTAATTTATATGCTCATGACAAGTTCTGACATATATTTAGATACTATTGCTATCAATCACTTCTTAGTATACATGCACATAGCGAAGTTGTAAAATTTAGAACACAATTCATTTGTTCTAGCCCTTAGGGTCATTACTATTACAAGACGGCGTGAAGGACTTGGGCCTACCCAAACCATAAGTACGTACCATAGTAACCTTGGCGGCGAAAGCGAAGTGGGGCCGCATCCCAATCGGACCTGCACTCGATGATTGCTCCACTACCATCTTCCTTTCCTCCTTCATCAACACATTACTAATATACATCATAGCCATCATGGAACTCATTTGGCGGCAATAACCTGCTCTGCAACGTGGCAGCACAACTCAGCAGTCGACTGTTTCTTCAAAATGACAAATACAGGAACCTCTACGCCGAACTGCTTGAGGAACCAGTACCGCAGTTCAACCGCAATGAGCGAGTCAACACCAAGCACATAAGCCGGCTTACCAACATCAAGACTCTCCGCTGGCACTGATAGCGACTTGCTCAACTTCCCAAGCAATGCCAGCGTTACAATCTGCCCGGCCTCTTCGGTATCAGCTGCAGCTCTGATAAGCGCTAGGTAGTCAACTGCCGTGGCCTCACCCTCGCTGCCACCTTCAGCACCATTGACCAGCTCAAGTTGGCCCAGACGAAGTAGATTCTTGAAAAGCGGCTTGCCTGCCCAGTGCAACACACCATCCTGGAACATCCTGTATAGTTTCACAGGCTTGTCATGGATATTGACCACTTGCGCCGCACTACCCGTGCAGTCATACTCCGGATCGCACAAGACGTCCAGAATTGCCATTAGTTGCTTCTGCGTCAGTCCACCCAGACCAGCGCGCAAACTCTTTGTCACGTCTTCGAAGTTGTCGCTCGCCCATCCAGCCTCCAGGACCAAGCCGAGATCAAATGAGACTCCCTTTAGCCCATTAGCAGCGCGGTGCCGAGCAAGCCCGTCTTCAAAGGTGTTACCGGCTGCATAGTTAGCTTGCGCGGGGTTGCCTATGATGCCACTCATAGAAGAGAGGAAGACCATGAAGTCCATATCCTTTGGTAGGAGCTCGTGAAGGTTCCAAGAGCCTTGGTACTTGGGGGCTAGAGCACGGTGGTATTGCTCGACGGTCATGTTGGAAAGCATGTTGTCTGACAAGACCATTGCTGCTTGAATACAGCCTTTGATGGGCGGTAGTGTCTTGCTAGCATCCTCAAGGGTAGCCTCGAGAACAGCGCGGTTGGAAATATCCGACGCTGGCGCGTGGACCACGACGCCCTGCGCTTCCATCTCTCTGATGAAGGCAATTACGTCGGCGCGCCCGGCCACACCTCGAGACGAGGTGACGAGGAAATGCCGGGCACCGCGAGAGACCATCCAGCGCATAATCTCACGTCCCAACCCGCCCAAACCACCGCTGATGACATAAGTAGCCTGTGCCTCAAAGCCGTATGCCGGTGTTTGTACGGGTTGATACACTACTAAATCACCCGCCATCTGAAAATCAATGACCGCCTTGCCAGCAATCTTGCCTCCCTGCAAAGCACGCATCGCCTCTTCAATCTTGCTCGGCGCAAACGCATGCAGCGGTTTGGGGTTGTGCAACCCAGGGTTTGCTGCAAACAGACTGAATACATCGTCGAGCACAAGTTGCATGAGTGGTTTGTTCTCGGCGTACATTCCTGCAACGTCGATAGCCGCAAAGGTGACGTTGCGTAGGAAATGACCCATCTCGAGTGTGTTGTTGGCAAGGATGTCAGCTTTGCCAATGTCAATGAAGCGGCCGAAGGGCGCAGTGCAAAGCCACGAGTGTTGGAGGAGTTCGCCGCCGAGGGAGTTCAGGACGACGTCGACGCCGCGGTTGGCTGTGGCATGGAACACGTCGTCAACGAAGCTGGCTTCTCTGCTGTGGAAGATGTGATCGTCTGCGAGACCGTAAAGCTCTTTCACCAGTTTGCGTTTCCACTCACTTCCTACTGTGACGAAGACCTCTGCCCCACGCAGCTGCGCGAGCTGGATAGCAGCCTGACCAACCGCACCTGCTCCGGCGTGGATCAATACGCTTTCACCCTTGCGCAGCCGGCCTACATAATCAAACGCATAGACAACTGTAGCCCACACTGCAGGGATAGCAGCCGCGTCCAAGAAGGAGATATCCTCGCGTGGAATCTTGCGTGTCGAGGCCTCATCGCAACGTACGTAGGTTCCACAGCACCCACCTGTCGAGAAGATGAAGTACATGACACGATCGCCAGGTTGTAAGGTTTTGCAGCCTGGACCGACGCGGGTGACAGTTCCTGAGCCCTCGAGGCCGAGGCCGTCGCCAGGCACCTGACCCAGGGCGATCATTACATCACGGAAGTTCAAGGAGGCAGCTGCTACCTCGATTTCTACTTCACTTGATTGCAGCTGGGTGCTAGGAGTAGGCGTTTCGATGTAATAGAGGGTGTCGAGGAGACCGGGCTGTTGGATGGTCAGGTTTATGCGCGGCTTGGGGGCGGCTTGACCAAGTGCAAAGCTGAGCTTATCAGGGAGTTTGGCACGCGTGGCAAGAGTCTGATTAACCCTCTTTTGTGGGACGATGCGCGGGATATGGATAAGGCCGTTGTGAACTGCATACTCCGACTCGGCATCTGCGCTCCTGTTTCCTCCCGCTTCGTGGAAGTGCTCGAGAAGACGTAGTACATGGCTTGATCCTTCAGCCAGGTCCTCGGTTTCTAAGCTCAGTGTGATAAAGGACTGATCACCCCGCTCAGAGCAAACACTTCTCGAGAAACCGACTGCCATCTCAGCGGTAGGGTTGCCAGCGCCAGGACTGCCGCCCCGCGTGAGCCAAAGGACTGTTTTAGCATCCAAACTAATTTTCTTGAGTGCTTCGAATTGCGGCCCTGCGATAGTACCCAGAAGGGACGTGGTAATCTCAAGCAAGCTGAGGACCTTGGTGTTGCTCAGTTCCAATCCAGCGGCAACCAGCCCTTCGAGAGTATACGCTTCAGTCTTGCCGATCCATGGGACGGCGGCGAGCTTCGCCTTCATCACATCGACATGAGTAGCCTGCGCGGGATCCGCAAGAATGACCCAGCGCTCGGGCAACGCTTCGGTTTCAACCTCCTCTGGCCTTGTTGCGACGAGCGTTGAGACGCGGTGGCGGGGTTTGTACTCGTTATCCCTGAACACCATGTCTACACCTGAGAAGCCCGCCGTCTTTAGCGCGGTATCCCATCCTTCTTCAGTGAGAATAGGTCCCAGTGCCTCGTCCTCTCCGGGCACAGCATCAACATCCTCACCGTCCCACCAATGGCCTTCACGCATCCACCATCCCGGCAACAAACCGAAGATGATGCCGTCACGGATGTTGTCGACAGTGGTCTCCATCATAACCAGCTTACCGCCAGGGCGTAGGAGAGCGTAGAGGTCGCGAAGGCACTTCATGAGATCTGATGTGGTATGGATTACGTTACAGGCCATTATCACATCGTAGCTGCCGAGTTCAAAGCCTTGGAGGGATGGGCAGATTTCAAGGTCAAGTTTGGCGAAGCGCATATGTTTCTCAGCAAAGGCAAATTTTTCTCGCGCTTTTTCGAAGAAGCCGACTGAAACATCGGTGTATGCGTACTCGCTAAAGCTGCGAAAATGGTCAGTAGAAGGGAGAGGAGGGTGATGCCCAGATCACCATACCGAACTAATCGATCGCCCTCAAGGCCATCAGTGTCAATCAAGAACGGCAGCACCTTACTCGTGGCACTACCCGTTCCTGCACCAACCTCGCAAATTCTTAGTTGAGGATTTGCGTGTGCTAGCATGTTCATATATGCGCCAGCTTTGCGGTAGTGGCGCGAGTAGAAGTCGCAATGGTAGAAATCTGTCCCCCCGTATCAGTTTTATTATTGCACTCTCTCAGCCTGTTTTGTTGGACTTACCATTAGCAAGATTACCCTCGAAGATAATCTGCAATGCATTATCTGCTCCCACCAAAATGCCATAGAGATGCTCGCCAGCCTTCTTCACTAGCTTCTGGGTTGGCTCATTATCTGCCTCACGCAAGACATCCTCGATAGTCAAATGGCCTAGCCCCCGCGATGCCAACGTGTACTTGTGCCTATTGGCGCGGACCTTGCGCAGGAAATCCACATACTTGGTCAAATGGTTATCGAACTGTAACGGTTCGCCATTCTCTATCTTGTCCAGTGCTTGTTCAATGAAGTACAGCGCAATAGCATCAGCACGGTCGACAGCCTCGGCGTCCTTAGGGTCCGGTGAGAACTGAGGGTCCCGTGCATAGAGGTCCTTGAGGTGAGCCTCAGTCTCGCTCTTACCTAGCATTGAGAGATCGGGCTTGAAGTCAATGCCGTACGAGAAGCGACTGGCACCGTCGTCGTCGTTGCGCGCGCTGCTACCGGCGCCGGCGATGACTGTTCCACGCTCGCCCCTGGCGACGATAACAGGCTCGCCGGTCTCTGCAAGCAGGGTGCTAGCATCCCACTCAAACTCCCTAAAGGTGCGAGCCACCTCCTTTGTCGCGATGTGCAATAGCGGGTTACCGGGCAGTGTGAATAGTTTGTGTGAGACCCATAGCTCTTTGAGGTTGCTGAACATGAGCGTTGGAATTGCCTCCCATCCACCCATACTGAGCGAAACAAATCCCACGTGGAAGACCGAGTCGAACGTTGTGGGGTGAATCACACAGGGATCTTCATCGGCGTATGGCATATTCTTCGCATAGTCCCGTAGCGCAAGCGTACCCGACGCACATCCGTTGCGAGAGTACTTGATTTCCCTTAAGCCCTGGAAATACGGCCCGTAGTCGAAACCAGATTTTTTGCTCAAGTTCTCGTACAGCTGCCCGCTCTGCACACTCAATGTGCACTGTCCCGCCGTGCTTGCATGCTCCTGGCTTACAGCGCTCGCCCATCTAGCTTTGCGAGCGGCTGTCTCAAGCGAGGCCTCTGCTTCCTCAAGCTCGACGCGGATGCTTCCATATGCGCATTCAATCCACTCATCGCCGCCGAGTGTGAATACTCGCCAGTCATACAAGCGTTGCGCAGCGTCTTTGGCGGTATGCCGGCGTGGTTGAAGGTAGATCTTCGCCTCAGTGCCTTTCTCTGACTCATTCACAGGGATAGACCGCATAAACCTCACATTTTCAAGTCTGTACCCGCTGATCTCCGCACTGGGTGGGAGGAGCTGCCGTGCGGCTTCGATGGCCATGACGAGCATACCCGTGCCAGGGTAGAGTGGAGAGCCCTCGAGGGCATGGTCGACGATCCATGGGGCTTCAGCGAGGCGGATCTTGTGGTGCCATGTCGGCTGAGCGGAGTTGAAGTCGTTTTCGCGTAGACCAAGGAGGGCGTGTCGGCGAAATGGCCTCTGGGAGTAGAGTGCACTAATCCGAGGTTCGTCCCAGTAGAGCTTGGCGCGGGAGAAGGGGTATGAGGGGAGGTCTGTCACACGCTTTGGCTGGGTTGTGGGCTGGATGGAGGCCTGGTTGGGGAGGTTTAGGTTGATGGGGATGCCGACGCTCCAGAGGGCGCCGATGGTTTCGAGAAGTGAGCGGACGTCGGGTTTGCGGGGATCAAGTACGGCAGCGTATGACCATTTATCCTCGCCTTCTCCGAGTTGTGAGAGGATATCTTTAACAGGCCGTCGAAGAGCAGATTGCGGCCCAATCTCAACAAGGAATTTGTTGGCTTGCTTCCGCTCGCTGACGAGTGCTGTTACGGCATCGGTAAAGAGGACTGGGGAGAGGAGGTTCTTGACCCAGTAGCTTGGTCTCGCAAGACTTCCCAGTGTGACAAAGTCACCCTCTGTGGACGAGAAGAAGGCGACTCTGCTAGGTTGTTTCGTGTCCCTCACTACCGGCGCGGATATCCCAGCCAGTAAACCCTCATACTCAACCGCGCCATCACGTAGTGCCTCAGAGTGGTACCCGATAGTCACAGGCAACTTTCGTGCGAAGATCTCCTCAGCATTTAGCGTATCAAACAATTGCAAGATCGCCGCCTTTGGACCTGATAAGGTCACGTTAACCGGACTGTTCTCACACGCGACCGTCACGGTTGGCTCCGCCTTCAGATACTTCTGGACAGCGTCCTTGCCCAAGCCCACCGACATCATCGTTGTCGATTCCCTCGCTGAGTCAGAAGCCAACTTGTCGGCCACAACACCACGGAAGTAAGCCACACGACACGCACTCTCGCGGTCCAACCCATCCGCACAGTACGCAGCCGCAACCTCCCCTGACGAGTGTCCAACTACCGCACGAGGAACAACACCCCATGTACGCAGTAGATCGACAAGAGCAATTTGTATAGCGGTACAGAGAGGCTGTGATAGCGCCGGCTTTGTGACTCTGCTGGTCTCCTTGTCCTTTCTGAGCTCTTCTAGCACAGACCAGCTGCTACCGAGAGTGGTGAGATAGGCATCGCACTCCCCGAGGCTTTGACGAAAAACTGGGTAGTGCAGGAGTCCGGTGGCCATACGGGCGTATTGTGCACCTTGGCCTGTAAAGACGAAGGAGAGATCGGGCGAGGATGAGGTACTGCTGAAGATGCTGGGTGAGATGAGGGTTGCGAGGTCATCTTTGAGAGAGGAGACGACGGCGAAGGAGCGGAATGTGAGGAGTGATCGGTGCGAGGAGAGGGTGTAGGATAGGTCTGAGAGGAAGGTTGTGGGGGAGAGGGTCTCGTGGGAGGCGAGGAAGGTTTGGAGGGCTTCTGCTTGACGCTTTGTGCCGTCGCTGTCTGCGGCTGAGAAGGGGAGGATGGCGTAGGGGGTTGTTGATGGAACGGCGCTGTTTCCGTTGGAGTGGCCATTGGCATGTCCATTGGTGTGCCCATTGGCATGTCCATTAGTGTGTCCGTTGGTATTTCCATTGGTGTTTCCGTTAGTATGCCCGTTTTCATGACCATTTGCATGTCCGTTCGCAGGCACAAATCCGCTGACTGATTTATGCAGGCCTTTTAAGCCGCGACTGCGCATATAGTTGTACGCATCGTCAAGGATCACATGAGCATTACTACCTCCGTATCCGAAGGAACTCACTGATGCTCTGCGAACTTCTGATGCTGGCCATGGGATTGCTTCTTTGGGGAACTAGACCAAGTCAATAAGAACACTTTTCTCAGCCTGCAAAAGAGGCTCTTACCGCGAGCTGAAGATCCGCTGCATCGATAGCAGGGTTGACCTTTTCAAACATGGCAATTGGCGGAATTACCGCCTTTTCCAGTGAGAGAACAGCTTTGATGACACCAGCCTAAACCACCATATCAGTTAGCAAAATATAGACGCACATCAGTCAAAAGTCTTCGAAAACTCACCAAGCCCGAAGCACCCTCCAAGTGGCCAATACTCGCTTTGACGGAACCAATGTAAAGCGGTCTATCAAGACTACGACCGTCTCGGAAAGCCTGTCCTATGGCAGACGCCTCAATCGGGTCACCAACAGGCGTGCCCGTGCCATGTGCCTCAACATACCCAGTATCAGCAACATTCAACCCCGCAACACGATACGTATCCCTCAACAGATCCAGCTGCGCCTGCTGACTCGGCTGTGTAATACTCGGCGTCCTACCGTCCTGATTCGCCCCCGTGGCCCTCACCACCGCCCTCACCACATCCCCATCTCTAATCGCCGCATCGAGCGGCTTCAGCAGCACAAACCCGAACCCCTCTCCCCTCGCATACCCATTTGCCTTGGCATCAAAACTATAACTCTTACCGTCTACACTCAGAAATCCGCCGTTGCTAAGCGCAAGCGCCTGGCTTTCTGGCGTGATAAATGTGTTTGCGCCGCACACAAGCGACATGGTGCTCTCGCCCGTCAGTATGCTCTGCACACCCAGATGCAGCGCGTAGAGGCCAGACGAACACGCCGTGTCTACCGTCAGTGACGGCCCTGCGAGATCGAAGAAGTGGCTGATACGGTTACTGAGCATGGATGAGCCGTTGGCGGTAGCGTGGTACCGGGATTGCGATGCGAAATCGCGGCCTGTGATTGTTTCGCCGTCGCGGGAGAAGGATGCACAGTAGACAGATGTCGGAGTCCGTGAGAGGGATTCCATGGGGATGCCGGCGTTTTCGAAGGTGCGGTAGGCGCCTTCGAGGAGGCCGCGTTGTTGCGGGTCGAGCACTGAGGCTTCGGCGTGGGACATGTTAAAGAAGGGGGCGTCGAAGGCGCGGGGGTCTTCGGTCATGAAATGTGCATTTCTGATGCGAATCTGTTGAGTTTGGGGTCAATTGGACTGTTTGATGTTAGGTTTTGCTTTGTAGACTTACGCTGTCTAGGCGGTTTGGGTCGGGGTGGTAGAATGCTGGGGGGTTTGAGTTAGTATGTGGATGTGTGTAATCTCGTGGAGAAGGACTACGTGCAATCTATTTTGAAGCGGTCGGCAGGTACCTCTTTGGATACGTTTCTTGCGCTCACGATTAACTTCCAGAATGACTGTGCTGACACTGCGTCACCTGGGAACTTCATGTTCATGCCAATGATGGCTATGGGCATTGTTTTGTCGTCAGGCATTGTTGCTTTTTGTGATGGTATATCCGTTTGGCTTCAAGATATACCAGATCTTCGACGTTCTGTATTAGTCTTGCGGAAGATGGATGCTTCCAAGTTTCAAGAAGAAAGGTGCGGAAATTATGGTGAAAACAGTGGAAGATGTTGTGGAAATCTGGACATCTTGCATCTGATATATATTCTACACAAAGGATTTCTACTTAGCTCTGCTTGATACACTAGACATTATCCCCGAGAATCAAAGTATATTACCACTACCGAAAAGTTTGATACTTGCCAACTATGCTATCTAGTAAGAGTACCGTATGTTATCTAGGCTCAAAAAGGGAGGCTTGGTTTGTAGCTAGGAAGGCTCATGATTAGACAACACGTGGCACAAAATAGTGTGTTGTTGTAACCTATTATGTCAATTCGCCATAGTTACTTCGTGAGCAAAGGGTACAGGGTAGTAGAAGTAAATCTCCACTGAGGCTTACCTGCATGTTACGGCCAGTCCCGAGAGGGATTTTGTGCACAAAATCCCTCTCGGGACTGGCCGTAACATGCAATCTGATTGGCCCTGAGAGCGTCCACCCTCGTTGGCTGCATCGGTGTGGCTCGTGTAAGCTCTCTTGGTTGACTTCGTAAAAGAAGGCTGACCTGCCTAAATAGCTCGTTTGCACTATGGAGTATTAGCACTCCTATAATAGTACTTTGGATACGAACCACGTAAAATGGATGCACTGGGTTCATTTTTGCTATTCCAATATAGGATTAACATAAAAATCACATGTAGCGTTGTAGCAGTGATCTTCTTAGGCGAAGTCACCGCATTCAGCGGTGTAGCACGCATTTAGCCGTGTGGCACGCATTTCCTGCTTACTACATAAGACGTACTTACTATGTACCCACCTTTTCGTTAATGACTCTTGCCTTTTCGGAACCCGGAATGTTTAGTGACGGGATCTATAGCAAAGTTGACATAATTCTTGCATACAGTCATGCCACGATGTCCCGTTTCGAGAAAAGTCCCCTTTCCAGTCTAGTTGCGCGGGTGCAGCGGCAAACTACGCAAGAGGCATTTGCCAGGAGATACATGCTAAAACCAGAATTGTTTCCGAGTCATTGATGCTCGTGATGCTTTATCGAATCCCTGCCTGGAAAGCCTAAGTCCAGAGTGAAGTTACCCAGTAGATGACAAGGAGCTTGTTTGAACGGTCGGTCTTCAACTGACTTGTGTGCGTCCCAGATACCTGATCAGTAGTTGTGTCAGTTTGCCAAACTGTCTACGATATTCAGTTGGCCGGTATTTTCCTGCACAAGGTAATTTGTCACGTCGTTCTTTCTTCAGTCGAGACTCTAAGCTAAAGAAACAGAAGATGGGCGTCTTAACATCCATAGACGTTGGTATCTCAAAGCCACTTCTCTACGGCGTAATAGCAATCATTTTCTTTGCCATTTTAGCCTCCAGATTAGACAATAGCTATGCGAAGAAATCCTCTATCCCGCATGCCCCTCGAATCCCTTACAAACTACCTTTTGGTCAGCAACCACCCCCTTCTTCTTCTTCTTCTTCTTCTAGCGCTTGACTTCAACAAAGCAGTGAAACTAATCATCATGTATTTAACAAACAGGCCTAGACATGGCATGGAACCTTGTACAACGTCTACAGTCAAACACATTTGTCGAATACATTGGCGACGAAGTGCTGAACACTCCCGGTCGTACGGTCGAAATGAACCTACTTGGCGGCGATATTTTTATTACTGATCGCGCAGAAAATATCAAGGCGATACAGGCAGATCAGTTTGTGGATTTTGCAAAAGGCCAGACGCCGCATGATGTCTTTAGTAGTATTTTAGGGGATTCAGTGTTTACGAGTAAGTGAGGTGATTAAGATTTTTGAGCTGCGATTACTGATGCTGGGAGTAGCGGACGGGCCATTGTGGAAGACAAGTAGGGAACAACTGGAGCCGCATGTGAGAAGACTATATTTTCCAATGGGATCTTGGAGAGAGATGGCTAACAATTGTTGTACAAAAGGTATCTCGTGTCCGTTCGGATGATATTCCAACTGCTGAGGAGCATATGCAGAAGCTTCTAAGACTCATTAATAATTCGCCTAAGAAGGTTGATGTGTACGATGTGGTCGATAGGGTGAGTTCTAATATGTAAGCCTTTCCTGATTTCGATTCCCTACTGACTGTGTCCAGTTCCAACTCGACCTGGTGAGCCAAGTCTTCTTAGGCGAATCCACAAATTCGCTATCTGCAAACGAACAGCCGTTCCGTAAGGCAATGGAAGAGCTTCTGACTTTCAACACCAATCGCCTTCTATTTGGGTAAGCTATAAGGCTGAAATACAAGAATTGTGCTAATGAGATGTGCAATTGCAGTCGTCTTGCTAACTTGTTTCCCGATTGGCTTTTCGTTCCTAGAGCGTATCGCGAATTGACGCGGTATATTAATGATCTGATTGATAAGACTTTGGCGCTGCCGATTAATAACCAGACAGATTGGAAGACAAAGAAAGAATTTAATCTTGTAGAAGATTTAGTCACTACGCATCCAAATGATCGGTACTTCATTAGGGGCCAACTTATTGCTGTTTTGATGGCTTCGAAGGTAAGATCTTGGTTTCAATTATTGTTTCGCGTCAACAGCCTCATCATGGCCATATTACTGATGAAGTTAAACACTAACGATCACGCAGGACCCAGGTGCCATTCTGACTACTTGGACAATATACCACCTGGCCCGCCAACCAACTCTATATAAAAGGCTTCAAGAGGAGATCGAAAAGCAGTAAGTGAAATGTGATACTAGTACAAACTATGTATTTCATGCTGACTAGGCTTTTCCCACAAGCATTGGAATGGACGCAATCCCCACAGTGGAGCAGCTCAGGAAGCTAGACCTGCTGGCCAATACAGTCAAAGAATCTATGAGGATGTACCACCCACTCGGCCTTAACATTCGAGAGGCTAGGAAAGATGCAGTGTTGCCTGTTGGAGGTGGTCCAGATGGGAACGACCCCATCTTCGTCTCAGCTGGACAAATTATTGGTAAGATTGCAATTTGAATGCGGCACCAAGATCTTGGGCTCCTAATATTCACGGTAAACTAAGTTTTCAACTCTACAGTATACTCAGTCGCAGGTCTCCAGCGCAACAAGACCACAGTGGGTGCAGATGCTAATGTGTGGGATCCTTCACGATGGGAAACATGGTCGCCACAGTATGGTCACTATCTACCCTTTAGTGTAGGCCCACGCCAGTGTCCTGGGCGAGTCTTCGGCCGTTTCCAGATTCAGTATGTCTTGGTGCGGCTGCTCCAGGAGTTTGAGAGCATCACATGGTGTGGACTTAATGGGGTTAAGGGCATTGGCACGGAGGAAATGAAGATCAAGGTTGAACTCAACCTCAAGTGCGCCGAGCCAGTCATTTGTAGCTTCAATCCGCGTCGGAAAAGTTCTGCTTAGGAGGATGCTTTTAAATGAAGATAGGTTGAACTTGAGAAGCTTAAAATAGTTTGGGATATTGAGATGCTGCAATAGTTATGTCCGAATTGTCATTGGATGCACTTTTGGTTTCGTACACCGTTCAAGATTTATGTTAGCTTTTTATACACAAAATCTAACCCCGCTCTATCGTAGGTACATTACAGAACCTGGCTCGTAAAGGTTACTGTAGCTGCCATACTCTACATGCGGCATTCTTTAGGAATAGTATAGAGAGGCACCGTAGTTAGCTTATTTCTTATTGCTATAGGTATTTATGGGTCTAGATAACGCTGCATATCTGGGCAAGATGTAACTAATTGCAAACATGGCATACATGCTTACATGCAATATCGATCTGCGCAAGAGCAGGCAATAGTGTATCACTCTTAGTTCCGGTTCTTCTGCGGTTACACTAGTGAGGCTTCTCCGACTGCAACTAGGCTGTAGTAAGTGAGCTAGTGGCGGGAAGCAACAAGGAGACATTATACTGGTCCCTGATGGACCATTGTCCAATCGCAAAACTCACCGGATATTGCCTAACCCACTTAGTTGATTGCGGTCAAATACCAAATTAGTATTCTTTGAAATCGGGTGTTTCACAGAATTACAGGCTGGGGAAATGACCTTGTCTTGCACGCATTGAAGGAGCACTCATGGCCATCTTTCATTTCTGCACGTAATGGACTCCAAAATGGCATGGTCTATTCAAAGGATCCCTGGATTTGAAGAGATTCTATCGATTTGGGTTGTGATACAAGTGGCCTTGTGGGCGGTAATGCTCTAGGAAAATGCAACGTGGAATACGTATTTGCTAACCTGTATCAAAGGTTCTGGGATATATCTTATGGTCCGTCATTTACAATGTCTACATCAACCCACTTAAGAAAGTACCTGGGCCATTCTTATGGTCTATATCGCCCATCCCCCTCCTTTTAATGTCATGGTCTAGCACACCGCACAAACGAATTCTCGCACTGCATCAAAAGTACGGAGGCGTCGTCCGCACCAGCCCAAACTCTGTGTCATGTCTCCACGCAACAGCATGGAAAGAAGTCTACGGGCATCGCAAGCCCGGCCAGCCAGAGAACCTCAAGCACCCAGGCTTCGTAACTGAAGTCGCTTCAGGCATTATCGGAGCTGATACAGAGTCCCATACACACCAACGCCATTTGCTAGCCTCAGCATTCTCGGCGCAAGGCATGCAGCGCCAGGAGCCTCTTATTCAGCATCACGTCGATCACCTTTTTAGCTGCTTCGAAGAGAACTGCGCCAAGGAACGATCATTTGATATAGCTGAGTGGTTCAACTTCTTCTCATTCGATGTCATTGGCGATCTCAGTTTCGGCGAGTCATTTGGGAACATGGAGCGAAGGAGTTTTCATCCGTGGATTGCAACGATCTTGGAGTTTTTTGTTGCGCAGCATGATATGGCACATTTCCGGCGGGCATACCCATTTTTGGAGGCAATGATAGGGCCGCTTGTCAAGACATTTGCTGCGAGTATTATTGAGAAACATAACATGTTTATGAAGAGTCAGGTAAAAAAACGTTTGGCTCTGGAGCCAAGTCGAGCGGACTTCATCGAGGCTATGAAAACTGATCATGCTGCGGGGAAAGAGGTAATTGGATTAAAAATGCTGATTTGGATAGCGGATTTGGTCAAGAAGCTAATATCTGAGCGATAGGGCCTTTCTTTTGAAGCAATCTGCCATAATGCTAGCATCTTCGTCGTAGCTGGGTCCGAAACAACCGCGGTCGCGTATGATAAACCCTCACGTTACCTCAGCTCATTATACAACAACAGAACTGACCATGACTTTGCTTAGACTCGCTGGAGCAACTTATCTACTTTGCATCCACCCTAACATACTTGCTAAGCTAAGAAAAGAAATTGACTCATCTTTCGATAGTGAAGAGCATATCACACTCCTCAGCGCACAACGTCTCAAGTATCTCACAGCTGTAGTAGACGAGACCCTGCGTATCTATCCGGCCGCCGTGGGCTCTGTACCCCGACTGATTCAGCAGCATGGTGAGATTATAGGCGGGTATTTTCTTCCTGGAGGGGTAAGACTCAAGAGGATTTCGTAGATCTTTTCATGGAATACTGAACACTTTACTGACCACTATGCCCGAAATCTAGACAAATGTAGATATTTGGCATTGGGCAATGTATCATAACCCAGCCAACTTCACCGAGCCCGAAGTCTTCGCTCCCGAGCGTTGGCTTAAGGACTCTCGCTTTAAAGACGATAAAAAAGCAGCATTTCAGCCATTTTCTACCGGAAAACGCAGCTGTATTGGTCAGAAGTATGTCTTCACTTGCTTGAAACCTTTTCTCCGACATAATGACGAGGATTTCCACTGATTGAGAACACACTAATAGTCTGGCACATTCGGAGATCAAGCAGATAATGACCCGGCTGCTATGGAAGTACAATATTGAGCTTGTGGACAGCGAATGGTTTGAGAAACCATGGCATGATCAGCGTGTTCGCGCTACATATGTGCATCCTCCTTTGAATGTTAGACTTACTCTCAGACCAGAGAAGTTGAAGTCAGACTGAGATACATTTATCTGGAGAGTGTAGGCAGAAGCTGCAAGGGAATGTGACGATTGTAAAACCATTTATTATAAACATTGTATCAAGGCATTCGGGATATTCATGGCTCCTAGCATCTCTCTGCTTTCGCTCAGAACTTTCTTGATCAACTTCTCGCCCCGCTTTGAATACATGACAACTGGAAATCTAACACACTGTCAGCAAATTATGAAAGGGTCGGAACACATCTTCGTGAAGTACTCACGGGCGAAGTCCCCATTCACTCAAGAAACCTCCATGGCTTTCTCCACCCGCAACTGCCACAGCATGAACGTACGTACTCGCACCCTCTTCCAGACTTCTACTGAACAAAGCAAAGTAGACCGGGAGAATGATGTTGAACAAAGAGCTTGTCTTCAAGGTCCGCCAAATGTCCGTACCTCCAACTAGCCCCGGACAAACCGTGTTGATGATAACCTCATCAGAGTCAACTAGCGCCGCCAGTCTTCTCACAAAAATCATTTGCAGCAACTTCTCGCGCGCATACCATTTTGTGACGTCGTACTTTTCATCAAACTGCGGTAAGACTGCTTTCTCGTGATTAAAATTCGCAAAATATGCAGTCGTAGATGTCACTACTGTGAGTCTGGCCGGCTTGCCAACCAGCCTCCCTTTGGCTTTCAGTATCGGCAGAAGAAGCACAGCCAGCATGATTGTTGAGAGGTAGTTTACTTGGAAAGTCTGCTCTCTTCCTGTCTTGGAAGAAATGACACAATCCTTGTTCTGCACCCCGGCGTTGAGAATAGCAATGTCAAGCCTACGTAGCGCCTGGCATCTGGTGGCGAATTCATAGACTGATTCGGGGTCCTCCATGTCCAGAATCCAGACCTCAACTTGGGCGTATGGAAACTCATTGCGAAGGGCTTCTGCTGCGAGGTTGCCTCTAGCTTCTGATCGGATGGCTAATATGAGCCGAGCGAGATTCAGCTGGAGGAGCTGGCGTGCTGCCTCGAGCCCCAGTCCGGTGTTTGAGCCGGTGATGATGGCTGTCTGGCCATCGAGTTTGACTCCTGCTGCGATTGGAGGTGGGTGCATGAATAGTTGGCGGTATACAAAACCTACACCGCTTCGGAAAATGAGGCGGCTGTAGATTTTCTCCCAAAAGGACATGTTGAACTGATTGAACGGAACCTCCGGGATGCGGTGTACAATTCACCGGCTGAATATCTTCCACTTTTACAAACTTTGCTAGCAGTGATGAGTCCCAAGAAGTCTCATGCCCGAATTTGGCCGGTCCGAACGCCTGAATTATTTTCGTAAGCACTAATCAAATTCTCCGGTTTACGGCCTAAACACATATATCGAATCTCCGGTCCCTTGTGATCAGCAGATTCTTGAAGCTGCGTTGTTCACACAGTAGTTGGATACATACTAGGGGCCCACCATGAAATCTCCGACTCATACTAGTAAACCCAAAACACAAAGCCACGGCCCAATGGGGGATTAACCTACAGCGCTTTTGGATCCTCCTAAGATTGGATAACAGGTACGGCCTAGTCGTTCAGACAGGGTACTATTTACATGAAAATGCCTCAACTCGGAACACTTGCACTTCAAGTTTTGATGCTGCCAATGCCTCAACTCGGAACACTTACACTTCAAGTTTTGATGCTGCCAATGCCTCGGTGATCATCTGTTTCCTGTAGGCAGATTGCTAAGAAATTCATGTCTGCAATTTTGCAACTCCCTCTCAGAGGGCTCGTCCTCATCATCAAATATACACTTGAACCAATAGTCACAGGTACGATTCTCGGCTTACTGCTGTACACTCCGGAACCGACACGGAGAAGTGCCCTGGAATTAACATATCTCTCACACATCAACGACCTGCACACTCCCATACGCATATTGGGTTTTCTAACTGCAGTTGGTGTTGTCAGGAAGACCAATGCAGCTCTCAACTCATGGGCTACAAACAATTGGCAGATATGTGCAGGCCAAGGCTGGAACTGGAGCTCTGAAATTGCAGTCGTTACCGGAGGATGCAGTGGGATCGGAAAAGCTGTCGCAGAAACTCTCGCTTCACACGGGATCCGTGTAGCAGTGCTCGACGTACAAGACGCACCCGACGAGTTTGCATCAAACCACCTACTGACCTACTTCCGGTGCGACATCTCCAGTCCTACTGCGATAGCAGAAACGGGGGATAAAATTCGCAAAGATCTGGGGCATCCATCAATCCTCGTCAACAACGCCGCCATCACGGGCTCTCATACAATATTAAAGACCCCAAGCGAGTTCCTTAGCCGCATATTTGACACAAACATCCTCTCACACTGGCGGCTGGTTCAGCAATTCGTTCCAGACATGGTGGCAAAGAACAAAGGCCACATCGTGACGGTGGCAAGCGTCAACTCGTTCTTAACGAACTCGGCTAATGCAGACTATGTGGCGACTAAGACTGCGGCGCTGTCATTTCACGAAGGCCTTACTAGCGAGTTGAAGATCTGGTATCATGCGTCTGGTGTCAAGACTTCAATTGTGCATCCGAGCTGGGTGCGCACGCCATTGATCGAGGAGTCAATATTGAAGAGTGGCCAAGACCCGAAGATTCTTGAGACCATGTTGAGGCCAGAGGAGGTAGCAGAGGTTATTGTAGAGCAGATTATTAGCAGGCGTGGTGCTCAGCTCTTTATTCCGAGTGCTGCGGCGCCTATCTCATGGTTGAAGGGGTTTCCAAATTGGGCTCAGGAGTTTGTTAGGGATGCGTTTGGGAAGACGAGTGCTGTTACTGGTGGTTCAATGATCGCGTACTAACTATGAAAGCTGATATGAATATGATTTAGTGTAGCGTATTGTGGAGTAGTATCACGTGACTAGTTCGTAGTATATATTGCGATAATCTTTCGTACGTAGATAGNNACCTTCTTCAATCAATTCCTTCACAGCGATTACTTTTCAGCTTGATTCTACCTACTCGATTGCGGGTCGCCCCTCTGATCTTTTGAGCTTGATCACATATCGTGCCACAGCATATACGGTGAATTGGTTGTCTCACTATTGCTGGAATTATTACCCGGGACTAGCGGTGGATAGTAGTACGTTGGGACCCTACGTACAGATGCTAAAATTGTGGGTCCCCGCTCACCATCGGATACCGACTCATATTCGGCCACGTATTTTACAATTCAGGGGAACCTTGTGAGGCCCCTACGATGATGAATGCTCTTACCTGCAGAAGTGTAGTCACGCGCCAAATACTAGTAGGCTCAGCAGAATTGGCCTATACTACTGTATTAGGCTACTAGTATTGCTTGTTGTATATGGATCCGCGGCTTTGTAGATTTATTTAACATGTTCGCTCAGCTGTGAATTCTTGGAGCTATTCGTTACTCTTCATTTCACTTTTCATACATTTAGTACCTGAAATGGTTGTCCAATTCTCCCTGGCGGAGACGCCAATCGGCAGATATTTTGCCTCCATGGCCGAGCTTGGTATAATGCGTGTCTTTATCGAGCACGGTATCTTCGACGCCATTCCAGAGGAAGGAATATCACTTGAGGATCTTACGAGACAGTTGGGTGTTGAGTATAACCTGATTGAGCGCTTCACAGCCTTCCTCATCGCAATTGACGTGCTAAGATCTCCGACACCCGGCCATGTGGCTCATACACCTACATCAAAGGCCTTTACGGATGCCCGTGTTGGGCAATTCTACACGTACCTCTTCGACTTCTTCATGGGACCGACGACACAGTGGCCGGGTTACTTTGCAGCGAACGGGCTCGCTGAGCCGCCTAGGTCAAATCGCTCGCCGGGAGGATTCGCAATGGGCATGCCTGACAAGACGGCATACGAGATCATGGCGGCGATCCCGGGGTTAGCAACTAAGATGAATGGCGCCATGGCTATCGATGGTGATATTCCCATTACAGGAGTGTATGATTTTAGTTGGGTGAGCGCTTATGCTGCAGGAAACGCTGAGAGGGAGCTCATTGTTGATGTCGCTGGAGGGAAGGGTCAAGCATTGAAGGAGATTCTGGAGGAGTCACCAGCGATTCCTGCAGTCAAATGTGTTTTACAGGATCAGCCGCATGTTATTGCTGAGGCGGTAGAAGAGCATAAAGATTCTACTGTTTTAGGCCCAGTAAAAAAGATCGGACACAGCATCTTTGGAGAACAACCGGTTAAAGGTATGAAAACGAGGTCTTCCATCTTCTCGAGATGCAATCTCTATATTAGGAATCAAGGCAGCTCACTCTTCCAGGCGCTCTTGTGTACTACATACGGCGGGTCTTGAACGACTGGTCCGACTTCGAAGCCCTTCAGATCCTAAAGAACATACGCACAGCCTGTGCAGACGACTCCCGTGTACTTATTGCAGAGTATTTGCGTCCCGAAAATCCGAGTGTCTATACTAGCACTGTCGACATGTTCATTTTGAATATTGGTGGCAAGGTGCGCAGCGAGAAAGCGTTTAGCGAGCTTGCGGCGCAGGCTGGGCTGAAGATTGTGTCTGTGGCAAAGCACGAAAAGACGGAGTCAGCTGTAGTTGAGATGGTTCCGATTTAGTTGACAATTTATAGTGAAAATATTCATATATTGACAGTTTGCGCAGAATACCGGTGTAGCTTTAGTTACACGTGGCTCCGTGTACCCACTGCTGCAATCGCTTGCTACTTCTCAGTCCAGCTGTTGCAGTCGCCCACTGATTCAGCTGGCGCTTCGAGAAAATCTTGATAGTAATAAGCTTGGTGTAGTGCATCGTAACATGTAAATGTGGAATTAAGGCCGAAGTAGGGGCAAGATTTTGGTTCTCGGTAATCTAGTCACGTCGTTCAATGGGTGTTCATAATAGTACATCCCCTAGATGCGTATAACACAATTGTATTGTACCAGCACAATGTTGCATATTCTTCCTCCGACAACTTCAAATTAGAAAATACATTACGTCTATCAACATCTCTAAACATCTCTATCAAGGAAACACGGTAGCAGCTAACACCTACTTGCCATTCACTCCGTTCTCCCCATTTTCGCCATTTTCGCCAGCCTTCTTGCTCGTTCCATTTGAGAAACCCGGCCTCGGGTTTCCTTCAAACTCCTTTGCAGCCTTCCATCCTTGCTCCAACGAATTCGCCATCAACCTGGTCGTGCCCCAGACGTCGAATTGGACAGCGATAGCGCGCATGCCGGTCTGAATAGCCATAGGTATCATTTCCAGGCTCATGACGCCACTGTAAAGACGAAAAGTGTTAGCCAAATATAGCTTACTTGAGAAGGAATGTGACCGCAAAATGATTGCGGAGAGAGATAACGTACCCAAAGATCGGCAGATCATTCTTAGCAGCAACAGCATTGAATTTGGCCATAGCCTCAAGAAACTTGGGTTCAGGTTGGCCAGCCAACACAGTACTGATATCCATTCCAGCATCGATCATAAAATCGCCAGGACCAAACATGAGTCCGGAAATGCCTGGTACGGCAGCAATCTCTTCGGCATTCTCAAGACCCTTGAGCGATTCGATTTGTGGGATGAGACAAACGTGGTTGTTTGCAGTCTGGACGTTGTAAGGGTCATTTGGGTACAGGGATTTGGTCAGGCCGGGGGTGAAGGTCCATGGGGAGAATGAGCGGTGGCCTTTTCCATCTGTTTTGGAGTCGTGTTATCATGGGTACTCTTGGGAAAAGAAACGGTGGGGAAGTTTTTGAGAGAGGAAAAACTAACCACCAAAGTACATCTCCTTGATGAACTGCCTGACTTCATCTGCAGATTCGACATGGGGAATCACGATACCGGCACAGCCAGCGTCGAGTGCAGTAGTGAGACTGATTTCATCGCGTTTGGGTACACGGCAAATGACCATTGACTTTCCCTCGGAGTGATGCTGTGCAGCGTGTATACAACTTTTTTTTCCTTATTAGCAAATTGCGTCTCATTCTTCATCTGCTGCAAAACTTACTCATGTAATGTCAACCGGTCAAACATGCCGTGCTCAACATCCATCCAGATGAAATCCGGCTTCGTGCTAGCAATCAGCTTGGTCACAAACGTGCTAGGGATGCCTTGTGCGATTCCCATAAGACTCTTGCTTGCGTCGGCCTGGGCATCTTTGAGTGCCTGGCGGAGATTGGCAGGTTGTGTAAGGGAAGCTGCGCGGTAGGGGGCGTGAGTGTGTAGCGAAGGTTGCTCGCTATAAGGGATAAAAGTGGCCATCTTGAAAAAAAAATAAGAAGTGGGGAAATCTATGGATAGCAAAAGTCGATATTCTAGAGGGGGATATCAAGTACGATTGACACACTGGTGATCTGAGTTGTGTATGAGAGATTCCCCGCCGACCTTTATATGTGTCGAACATAGTTCCCCACTGATTTATATGCGGACGAAATGTACTCGTGCCACACCGGATTTCTACGATACGCGGCTGAACTCGATTGTGGATACCTTTGTCAACGGTGCCAACGGATTTAGCGGGACCCAGTAGTACCATCGCGCGGAGCGAACAAGTACCATACCCAAATCAAACGCTGCTTGCCTAACGTATAGATTGCGTATCACCAATCCTCACTTCTAAGAAGCAGGGCGTTTGCTGACGAGCTTAGGTGAATTGGTAATGGCTCAAGGGGATAGCCAACATAGCGCGTAAGCTAAGGCGGATGTATGTCCCGCAATGATGGCTTTGCGTAGTACAAGGCAGACACATTACTGCTGATGTAAGGGTTTTTAGCACACGATTGATGATATAACCAGGCATCCAAGATGCTGACTGATGTAAAGTATGTTGCCTCAATGTTCCTGAATGGGGCTTGGTACACGCATGTGTGCTGCCGCGGATGAAGAAAGCGCGCATGCTAGCCACAAGGCAGCAGGAAACTCAAACCAAAATCTGGTTGTGCTTATGTAACTCGACTGACTTTTGGACGAATAACAACAGATGGAGGAGACGGAGGCGATGGTTGCGGATCCATAAGCGAAATTGTACTACATACTATCGGCCATAACACCTAACTCCGATCTCTAAGCCACGATAGGGTATCGAGGTGCTGGCTGCGGATTCCGGTCGAAAATGGAACGGAACAGCGACCTCGCTGTTAGGAATCATATTAACTCCGTCTGACAGCAACCAAGGCAAGACGCCCAAATGACACTGTGTGAGACCATCGATATCAGGTGTAGAGACACAGGCAATCAGGTCGATTACGACGATTTCGTGACGGATCGATCCCTTGTAAACCACTCACACACTTCTCAAGTCAGCTGCAGTGCTACCAATTTCGACAAATTTTCACACTGACCCGGTATTGATGGCATTCGCGGAGCATATGTGCCTTGAGGTGGGTTACTCTGCGATGTGCTCGGTACCCTTGACACAGTCACCTCGATAATATCCTTCTCCAAGAGCTCGAAATCTATGCTGTCCCTTTCCATCTCTTCTGACGAAAACGTTCCCTTGTCGTCTTTTCGCCTCCTGCGGTTTGAAATGTCCATAATGGTAGCGGCGAGAATTATGAAGCTAAGAACGGCTATCACTCCACCGATTGCAAGAAAAACAATAGACATGGTAGAGATGTCAACCCATGAGCCGATATTCATGTTGGTGGATGAAGGGCAGTTTAGATGAGATGGCGTGTGGCTTGAAACCAAGTCGGAGGCTGCGAAGAATCGTCTAAGATCTTTATGTCAAAAATTGCGCGATGCTCCTATAGAGAAAAGGTTGTCAAATCGAAAAATAGGAACACAAGTCCAACTGTCGGAAAAGTGTAATACTTTGAAAACGATTTTGCAGGTCAACACCATAAGTGCGAGGACGCCTTCCTTATAGACAACAATTCCCTTCTCTAAGTGTTTTCCTACTCTCATCACCCTAAGCAACAAAGGACAAGATGCCCATCGGGCCCGTTCGGCCGTTGGGTCGTTTACAAAATAGCAAAAACCTCAGCTGGTGGGTGGCTTGTCCGCCACACCAACGCGACAGAACCCCATCTTTTTCCAAGCTGGCAACGTCAGCTCCACGTCTGGGCGGCATAAACATGCTTTTTCGTATATCCCGGTAGCCAGGCTACTGCGCAGATATCATTGTCAACTACTCCAATCAGGACTTGACGCTTTGTGGCTGCGCATGCTCCTGTGCACTCAGGGGCGCTGCCTAGTGATGAACGCTAACAGAATGCGGATATTTGGCTTTTGGGGCAGCATCGGTTTGTATGCTTTTTTCCCTTCTTCCCTAGACTCACTGGCCTTATTGCGTAGTAAGCGAGGGGTTTGTTTTGATGCACGTCGCTCGATAGCATGCTTGGCCACCCTCCAGCTCAAATTTAACTTGGCTTGAGCCATGTTGGTTGATGAGGAGCTGCAAAGACAGTTCCCTTTAGAGTTCTATATTCTGTAGATGAGAGCAGAGACTGGAACTAGCGATTTGATCGCAGCATGTTATGTCTCTCTGATGACGAATATTTGTGTTGGTAAATGCGTTGCCTCAAGCGTTCGCTTGGGAGACGTTGGTGCACCCGCAGTGTTCCAGAAAGACCCAAGTGTGGGTAGGTAGACGTCGCATGTTGATTGCGTCAGGTAAACCCATGAGGCGTTTTCCAACACTGATTTAACGCCATAGTAGTACCCAACAATGTAGTTCACTCGCGATTACTGGTGTGGGGTATCGTATGATCCCAGGCCAGGTTCATACGCAAGTTCATCCTGTTACGTGGCTGACAGGTCCTGCGCGCCTGAAGTCCTTTACTAACTTATTATCAAGCCAAGTGCATATGCTGGTCTTAACTTTGAAATGATTGTCAGCACTCACTGGTGACGCAGCGACGCGCATATGCCATTATCTATAGCCAGGTAGTTTTAATAAGTTACCGAAAATGTTCAACGAGATATACTCCTCAAGTCATGGACAAAAATTTCTGATGTAGATCTAAACTGTATACACATGGTTGGGCTTTGGACATTCGAGAAGGGGCTTCGGGCGCTGGTGCTCGTTAAGCTACAGGACCCGGCCCGTACCACCCCTTCCCGTATGCAATCTGCACGCTGCCGGCAGTGCATTGCTTTTCGAGTCCGCAGTCTGCATGCGCTCAATACCTGCATCCAATTTGAGTCCGATCCTCAGCGAAATTAGAGTTCCACAATAACTAATGAGTATAGCAAAAGTGGCTATCATACCACTCATGCTTTGTGTCAACGGAGTGATGAGTGGCCTTATTGTTGACCCACTGGATATGCGTCTGAAGAGCAGATTCGCTCGACGATGCAGCTAAATATTTCTGAGATCATTATAGTAATTCACCATCCGAAAAGCTAAGAGTTCTCAGGAGCCAATGCACAACTGAGGATCTTGGTTCATACGACAATCAGACAATTTTTCATAGCTTGCTTTTTTTCTAATATCAGAGGGCCGTGAATGCCTCTCAGCCTACCAACTCCGTCCCAAAGTGCCCGAGTAAACCATAGTTTCCATGCTGCAAGACTTGCCCCTTGCATAAGCACCGGTTGGCGGAGAATATCTCTTGGAACCAGAATTTCTTTTGTTACTAAGTCGTTCCTTTCGTGGTTCACAAGCCGTTTCGTAATACCCAATTTTGCGGTAATGTGTCGCAGTGATCATGATTCTGAGGTTGTGATACTGAATGGCGCACTTCTAGCTAACATCTGCTCCTCGTGCCTATTGCGCATAGATATACAACCTGTGTCGATCTGCATTGGCTTTAGCCGGTGAAGCATTCCGAGTTCTAGTGCACGAATAGAAAAAGGGTCAGAAACCCATCTCATGTGAGAGTGGGGACACCGAGCTTGGATACAAGGGTCAAAACTCAGATTAATCGCTCAACAAAAACAAAAGAAAGGGGTCACAGCAGGTTTCAATTTGAGCTCCAGCCATCAGAGCAGCCCAAAAGACAGTCAAACGTGCACAATTGTTGAGAGGGTCTGAGAACAGGCGAGTTGAGACAGGGCTTGACGGCCGTACTTCGAAGGGTAACCAGGGAAAATCCGCGTGTTTACAGAACAAAAGTTTGTATACAGCTCCTTGTATGCTCACGGGTGGTAATTAAAATGGAAACTGGCCATGATAAGCTAAATATTCGGCCGAGGCGTGGAAAAAGAAAAACCCTTCCCCCATGTGTTCATATCTTAATATCAAAGCTCGTCCCACAGCCACAACTACTCGTTGCCCCCGGTATGCCTGTTATCTTGAACTGGCTGCCTATCAACTCCATTGTGTAATCCACTGTGCTCCCGCTCAGCAACTCCAGGCTCGACTCATCGATAACAATCTTCTCTCCCTTCTCCCCTTCGAATACAGTATCTTCCTCGGTAGGTGGATTCTTGGATAAGTCTGTTAGGTCCATCAGATATTGGAAACCATGGCAGCCACCGCTCTCAATTGTCACGCGCAGCGCAAGGTTTGGATTATTGTCGCCTGTGGATATCTTATAGAGGCGGTTCGATGCACGTGGTGCAATAGAAATCAACATTGGGTTGCCCGAGTCGTCGGTTCGTGGATTCTGGATTACATGGGCAGGTTTTGCGGTTGAGGCATCAGATGATGTAGCGAGAGCTCGTCGTGATATGCTTGGTGGTCGTATGGATGCTGAATTGTGTGCTGGAATACGTCTTGAAGCTTTCCATGGTAGGACGGAAGGTGCAAGGAAGTCGAAATATAGCGACTGCGGAGTGGCGCGCGAAGCGGCGATCCTGCTATGCGCCCTTGATTGTGATACGATTGTTGTGGGTGCGGTCACTTTTTGTGTAACGGTCCGTCTCGCTGTGCGCCAGCACGACACACACATGGTAGATGGAGATGCCATTGTTGCGATACCGAAGTAGTCCGAGAAGATGTCCGAGGTGGAGGGATCGAAGATCTGAGGTCATAGCTAGGGATGTCACAATTTCTAGCACCAATCAACATTGATTGTTGCCTCGCGGTTCTGGACCGCTTAGTCATGAAACCACCCCCACCTTGTGCCACCGCCACCATTTATCGGGTGAGCCACCGGGTTGTTACAGCCCTACCCGTTCGAGCTATTTACTTATCGCGCCTGATGCTTACTTAAATAATCCCATTCAGCAGAAGTTCTGATCTGTAACCTTGGTACCTCATGCACCGTGACTCAGCATAGCGCTGACGCTGCCTTCTTTGTCCCTCGCGACAATGCCTTACGGTCACAACCCTTACCTAGCGATACCGGAGCCCGAACTTCGCGCCGAGCAGTTTGCGCGACGCGAAGATGAGAAGGATGGATTGAGTAAGCTGAGGAGTGAGTTCGTCATACCCACCAAGGGCGATCTGAGGAACCGCAATTATGGGTTCCAGCGGAAAGAAAAAAATACGAGTGCGCAATCAGACGACAACGAGGAATCCATATACTTTTGCGGAAACTCTCTTGGGCTTCAACCGCGAAGAACGAAAGAGTACATCAACCGTTATCTCGATACTTGGGCTTCAAAGGGCGTCTTTGGACATTTTACCAATTACGAAGGAGGCCTTCCGCCATGGCTACACATCGACGATGCAGTCAAAAACCAGACAGCAAAAATTGCGGGGGCGCATCCCAGTGAGGTCGTGGTCATGGAAACATTAACTGCGAACCTACATCTTTTGATGGCTAGTTTTTACCGTCCAACCAAGGATAGATGGAAGATCATTATCGAGGGCAAGGCATTCCCTAGCGACCATGTATGCTACCCAACCACAATTCAGTATGCACCAGTGACTGATGACCCAATAGTATGCTGCTCTCTCGCAAATCGCACACCACAACCTTGACCCCTCCGCTTTGATCACCATCGATCCACCATCACCCTCCTCGCCCTACCTCTCGAGCGAGCACATCCTCTCCGTAATCTCACACCACGCCCCAAGTACTGCCCTCGTCCTTCTACCGGGCATCCAATTCTACTCCGGCCAATTCTTCGACATCGAGCTGATAACGCGTCACTGCCGATCATTGGGCATAACAGTAGGCTGGGACTTGGCGCATGCAATAGGAAACGTACCATTGAAGTTACACGACTGGAATGTCGACTTTGCAGCGTGGTGTAACTACAAATACATGAATGGCGGCCCAGGCACTATTGGCGGACTCTTCGTCCACGAAAGACACGGCGAGGTAGAAAGAGCCCCTGCACCCCGAACAAACGGCACAAGAAGCACCTCAGTAAACGACGCACAACTTTCATACCGCCCCCGCTTGAGTGGCTGGTGGGGAAGCGACAAGAGCAGCAGATTCCACATGGACAACCAATTCGTCCCTATCACCGGCGCTAGCGGCTTTCAACTCAGCAACCCAAGCGCACTCGACATGACCTCCGTAATGGCGAGTTTAGACGTCTTCGCACTAACCGACATGGAAGCTCTACGAGAACGCAGTCTCAGGCTGACCGCGTACCTCGAAGCCCGGCTACTCAGGTACCCATATGGCGAACCACCATACAAAATCATCACACCCGCGAATCCCATGGAACGCGGCGCACAACTTAGTGTGCTTCTCAAACCAGGTTTGTTGGACAAGGTTCAGCACTACATTGAGGAACGCGGTGTTGTAGTGGACGAGCGCAAGCCTGACGTGCTGAGAGTTGCGCCAGCACCATTGTACAACTCCTTCCACGACATCCACCGCTTTATCACTATCTTCCACGAGGCGTGTCAAATGGCTTTAAAAAGCGGAGGGAGGACTGCTTCGTGCAACGATGCTGTGCCCAGAGGCATCGCAACAGTATAAATGCAATGGTTCTGGAGGGAGAGGCTCACTTGAACAGTATCTACTCGTCAACAATAAACGAGCCACATAATTTTTAATATGATTATCCCCAAACATGCACATACACTTGTGTTACAAAGGCAAAGAAGGAAGCCTAATGTCGTGATTACAGAATTCGTTGATTGAAGAAAAAGGTGCAACACTATGCAACTAAGCAAAATCATAACATGATAACTTCTTACCCTATGCAAACCTCATCATCTACAATACTTATGAAAACAGTTGTTGGTATCCAAGCATATGTCAAACCTGTTCATCATGCCTTGGGCACGAAGGAAAACAAGCTATCCATCTGTACCCATTGCCTTCCGTTCTTTTCCAGCCATTTCTGAACAACACTCTTCAGCGTATCAAATCTCTCCCTGTTAACTTCAGCAAGCACTTTGATCTTCTCTCTTCTCTCCATATCCTCGGATTTGATACCGCCATCCATCTTGCCCGCACGATCAACGTCGAAAAGAGACTGATAGTACAGAAGCTGATTCCATACATCGCGTTCTTTAATCTCGTAAGTCATCTTGCCTAAGCAATCCCGAGCGAGGCCCTTGGGACCCAAGCATCGGTGTCCATAGACGGAGATGCTGCGTGTGCGGTTCGAACATTGTGGATCATCGCAGAGAACGTATCCCGCGTAGTAGGAGGCGACGACCTGGCGAATTGCAGACTCTAGCTGTGCTACTACGCTGATGTTCTGTAAGATCATGCCACAACCTTCAGCAGGGCACTGGATTCCACTGTGCGAGATTGTTTGTAACGACGCCGAAGTTGGTGAAGTTGGGGAGAGACCTTGGAAGGGGAAGACAGTTGTGCAGGTTCGACAGCGTAGCCAAAGCGGCGAGCATGATTGGAAGCGCACGGAGTCTGGGATCTGTGATTCCAAAGGGTGAATCTCGGTCTCTTGTTGCGCACCTCCAGAAACTGTGCTGACGCGATATTTAGAAGTATCAAGTCCAAGACAGGCGGCAAGAAGTGTGATATTTGTTCCGCTAATCGGCGCACAAAGACGCTCCACCGGCGGCAAAATCTGTTTGTGAAGATAGTAGTCGACATCCGGCTTCAGTCCGCTGTCAGGCTTCAGGACTTCATCGACCGGGTAGGCGTTTTTGGCTGCATTCTCAGCAGATCCAGAAGAATCTCCAGTGATGATGAAGCTCATGACATCCTTTGCCTTGACGTGTTTACCTTTGGCCATGAGGCGCAAAGCAACTTGTACCGAGGGCATGGAGTTGCCGTTGGGATATTCCTTCGGGTTCTTTCCGAGCTGCGTGTAGATGGTGTACTTCCGAGGCGGGATGGCGTACTCGCGCATTTGCTTGCTGAGCTCTCGTAGGTGATTGTGAATCTTCTCGACGACTACTTCAGGGTCCTCTCCACTAAGAAGAAAGTTGAGCAGCTCCCTATGATCCGTTTAGCTATGTACAATAATCAATGACGACTGCTAAAACTCACGTTGATGTCTCCTTGGAGAGAGCGCAGTACTCTCTGCGCCTCATATCGAGACCCTTGACTTCGAGTTTCTCGATATACTTGCCATCCACAGGCACCATGTTGATGGCAGCGTACTTCTTCTTTGCGTGGAGCAAAATTCGGCGGAAGACGTTATCAATGTCAATCTCCAATAGCTTGTAGCTGTCGTTGACCTCTTTCTTGAACTCATTACCCAGTTTGATCGCATCCTGGATGTTGTCGACATTGGTGTTGATCATGACAGAGTCGGTATCACCGTAAATGACACGAAGCGCCTTCTCCTCGGCCATATCCTTGGTCTTTCGCAAAATCTCTCGACCTTTGTATGTGGTGAGCATTGCGAGCGGCCGGGCGTAGAAGCGAGACTTGGTATAACCCAAACATCCGTACATAGAGTTGGCGGTGAGCTTCAGAGCCATTTGCTTGATATCCCAGGTAGCCAGCTGATCCGGAGTGGCATCTTTAGCCTTCATAAGCTTCTTCACCTCCCGACGGCGAGAGACAAGCGTAGCAATAAGGCGCGGTAAGATACCCTGGTCTTGATCTGAAGGAACTTCGGGCACCTTGTCGTCATCTTCCGAGATGTCAGATCGCTCAACTGTCGTGAAGCAAATGTTGTACTCCTGAATAATACTGGGATAAAGGGAGTTGAAGTCCATGACCAGGATGAACTTGTCATAGAGACCCTTTTCAGGCTCGAAGACGAGACCACCTTTGAACTTGTCCTTCTTCTTGGCGTCTGCCCCTTCTTCTCCCTCGGCCGCCTCTTCCTCTGCCTTGACTTTGCTCTTGCCCCACTGCTTGTCCGGGCAGATGTACTTGTTTCTGTAAAATTCGTGGAGCAAAATGTACTCGTTGCGTTCGGCGCGAGTTCCACTCAGCGTTCGAGCCCAAGAGTTACCAGCCAAATTGGTCAGGACCTTGGAGAGGGGGAGCATCTGCACCTTGATTGCTATGGCAGCGATGAAGTAAGCGTCAGCCTGGCAGTGTTTGACATAGTTCAGGAGACCATCTTTTGTTGTTGCCCAAGTCTTCAGAGCGGCCTCATTGTCGAGCTCTTCACGTCGCTTGTTGAGACCGAGCTGACACATTTCTTCCAGACTCCACGATTGACACTTGGGCATGAGAGACTTTCCCATGTCATTAGCCAAGTCACACAGCAAGCGGCCAGAAGCCAACTGCTTCTCAGCGAAGAAGCTGCCTCCACCTTTACCCATAGTCTTGGGCCAGTCACTCCTCTTGAGGCGCCCAATGCGGTGCCACCCGGGTGTTTTCTTTTCGCGCAGACGATTCAGCAGGACACTGTAATCCACATCGTCCAGACGATGACCGACAAGGACATCGGGGTCGTGCCGTTGAAACATGGCCATTAAAAGGCTGAGAAGTTCTTGCTCAGTTTTCTTGAGGTACATATTACCCTTGATCTTCTCGACTTCGCCCTGAAAGCCAATGGGGAAAGCAGGTCCATTCGGCCGCATGATGGTAAAACTTTTGCATTGCATCTGGTCCACGGGCGTGGTGTCGGTCAACGAGAAATTGTCGTAGATCATGGCGCTGGCCATCAGGATCTCCTGCTTGTTGTCCTTGGCGTTGAACGTGGTTCGAAGAGAGAGACTCATAAGTGTCATGGGAGGCGCATCGAGGTTGTCCGAAGCACTCAAGACCGTGATGTTGTTGGGCTTGACAACTTGAGCCTCGAGTTTGCACCAGGAAGCATTGGCAACTGGACCAAAGTCAGGCGCATCGATCTTCAGCCAGCATGGCCCCATGATGTTCTTCCACAAAACGAACTGCTCAAAGAGGGATGTGTTGGTTCCAAAGACGTGCGAGAATGTCTCTCCTGTCAAATCAGTAGACAGAGGCATCTTGTCGTAACCGTAAAGAAGTTTGAGGTAGTCTGCCTCTTTAGGGATGTCAGCCAACTCGAAAGCGTACTTTCTTGTGCATGGCTTGATCTTGTGTAGGTTGACCCGATGCTTGCTCATAATCGAATCCACCTCGTCTGACACATCACTTAGCCCAATTTCTTCATCAGTAGTTACCCCTCTGACTTGACGGTATTCCCTGGGCAAGAAATATAGCTTTCGTAGGATGTTGTCGATTTTCAGGAAGCAACTGACATAGTTACCCGACTTCCGATCCTTAACTTTGCCGAACAAGCATAGGCTGCCGTTCAATTCAGTATAGTCAATCCAGAACATGCGCAAGCTACCATCATCTTCTAGAGCATCCTGTGGCTGCAATTTGCCGGCTCCTGCAGTCTGTGGAGCGGGACTGCTCATGACATTGAGGTTACTTGTGACGTCATTCCAAGAAGAAGCATCGACGTTCGCTGTAGACGGTTTAGTAGGTGACGAACCAGCGGGTGTAGGAATGTTCTCCTGTTTGATCTTTGCTATCGGCCGCCGGCCGGCCATGTTGACACTGGCAACAGGGGCACCGAGCTGGCCCGTAGGCTCGGAGATCTCCATGAGGTCGTCTTCTTCTTCCTCGATCTTGACACCAGGCTGTGTTCTCCGCTCGACAGCCTTTGCGACGGGGGATGATTGTAGTGGAGGATCGCTCATGGGAACATCGTCGTCGAATATTGGAAGAGCGTCATCGTCTGCCTCTGCAGCTTCTGTTGGCGGTGTACCTGGCATGTGACGGTCCGAGTCATTCGTCCGTCGCTTCGTCGCTGCTGGGCGACTCTCAGATACCGGAGGCGACAATACGCGGGTTTTGCGCCTCGCTTCGGTTTTGATGGGTCGTGTTCGGATCGTAGAAGTAAGGGTAGGGTTCGTATCTATTTCACCCAGCAGATCATCCATAAAGTCTTTGTCTGCGGCAGTAGCAACAGGCTGGAAATTTCAGCTATCGAAAAGGCATACAAAGTGCTTGGATTTCTGACCTTGGATTTTGGTGCCATGGCAGCATTCTTTGCGCTAAAGTATTTGCTGATGCCATTGTCAATCTTCTTCCGCTTTTCCTCGTCTTCTTCGCGTTTACGCTTGGCTACTACGTGTTAGTTCTGTGAAGAAGCCGTTGATTATCAAAGTATACCTGCTTTCCCCTTGGCGGGTCGTTCGTCTTCGTCCTCGCTCTCGGTCCCAGCATAGCGGTATCGACCCTGATCATCGTCCCACTCTTCTCTGCCGTCGTCGACATATCCCTCGCCCTCATCACCAACCACAAAGTCATCCTCATCCAATCTACCCCGCACAATCTTCTTGTACCCCTCCTCGTCGACCTCGTCGTATAATTGCTCTTCTTCGGCAACCTCATATGTGGACATGCGCGTTTTGCCAGCGGCACGATTGGCCCGCAATTCTGCCAAGAGGGCAGCGCCCGTCTTCTTGGCTGCTCGTGGCATGATGTATTACAACGATTAAGTATGTGAGCAAACAAGTGAAGAGAAGGAATTGGGTATGGGATGGGCTTGTGGGCGTGTTTGAATGGCGGGACAACAGGTAGAGCGCAGGAGCGACGCGCTAGTAACGGCCACCGTGCACGCGACGCGACTGCCCATTAACCGCGCCAAGCCACTATCCCAATTCGTTCATTCTATTACTTCCCCTCCATCAAGCATTTACAGCCCACACACGTACACATCACAATGGCTTCAGTATCGAAAGCTCCTCTGGTCTGGATAGACTGTGAGGTATGCTTACGATGAGATTTTTGAATCATTTTCGTTGACCCTGCTAGATGACCGGCCTGGACACCAGCAATGACACCATCATGTCATTTGCCGCATTTGTCACTGATGCGGACCTCAATATTCTGGATGACACGGGCTTTGAAGCAATCATTCATCATGACAAGGAGCAGCTTGACCGCATGGGAGAATGGTGCACCAGCCATCACGGGGATTCAGGGCTGACGCAGGCCTGCATTGACTCTACCACCACTGCGGAGGAAGCTGCTGAGGGTCTGCTCAACTACATCAAGAAATACGTACCTGAGCGTCGTACAGCTCTCCTCGCAGGCAACTCTGTGCATGCTGATAAGGGTTTTCTCGTCAAGCAGCCCTATCACATTGTAGTCGACCATCTTCACTACCGAATCCTGGATGTCAGCAGCATCAAGGAAGCTGCACGCAGATGGGCCCCAAAAGAGATACTGGCGAAGGTTCCAAGAAAAAAGATGCTACATGAAGCACGTCAAGACATCTTGGAAAGCATAGAGGAAGCAAGGTATTATCGAGAGACATTTTTCTTGAAACCTCAAAGTACGGTAGATTCACAAAAGAACTAGGGGGGGGGTTATATCAAATGAATTTATTGGCTCAAGATGGTGCTTTTCTTGGAATGAGGTCCGGAGTACTGTTGTATCGCGTGACCGTATTCATAGGCATCGATTTGAATTGGTAAAGCCAACATATTCTCACGCCAGTCACTTCAATATCTGATCAGACTATAGCTACGTGTCAATCACTTTTGATAGCTATTCGGCAGTTGGTCACTGATTATATACCAATCAGCACATATGTAAAACATCATCATACGATAGTCGTAACCTCCGGACAACTGCGAAGTGGTCGGGGCTTACTCAGCTTCTCGGTATACTATTTTTCTAGGTCTACTCCATTTGGCTCCGGCCTTTCAAGAAACGGTTTTGTAAAAAAAAAAAAAAAAAAAAAAAAAAAAAAAAGTACTGCATAAGTATTGAAGGTAGTATATTAAAAAAAAAATACCTAAAAGTCTCAGGGTTCGGAGAATAGTACAGGTAGAGTCAACTCAGACTCTGTGGCTCTTAAGCGGGCTGTCCCCAGCAGTGACATTCCCCTTGTAGAAACTCAAAACGCACTGATGCGGACCAGGCCTGTCTGCCACCCTACCCACCCGTCTAACGCTCAGCGGCTGCATTAAAGTTTACAACAGTGCAACAGCAACAACCTACCCGGAAAAACAACCAAATACAGCTCCCTACTAGTATTCCTTTTTGCAATCATACACATGCCTTACCACCAAACAAAAATTCATGTGAAACAAGTCCTAACCCAACCGGTCCTGTCTTCATTCGCAAATTCCCCGCACGAAACGAAGCATGACCAGCACTGTTTCCAAACACAAGAAAACATCCAGCAAAACTGAAATGCATGTCATAAAAGTAGAGCATGCCCATCTCTCGGGTGGAGATGCCCCGCCATAACGCTTAGTCACAAGCGGGACCGGCAGAAGAGGGCAAAAGTATCTCCGCAAAATGCAGCCGGCCGGTCATTTTTTTGTGCTCGCCAGAACAAACAAACAAACAGTGAACTGTTTCGAGCAAAGACATGTTCGGTCTAAATGACCATTGCAAAAAAAAAAAAAAAAAAAAAAAAAAAAAAAACTCCCTTCCCTGCCTGCTCAATCCGAAAATCGCAAGACACAAGTTACTTACTCTCAGCCGCAACTAGCACATACCCGCCGCAAACGTTTCTCAGGGTGTATGGTAATGCCACAATACCGCATGCGCAACCTCTTTCCATACCCTCGGAGAATTCCCCCCCAAGTGATAAGCAGCGGGGGAGCTACTAGCTCTCCCACCCACATACCCACCCCCACCTATCCCTTGCCGGCCTCTCAGCCTTCTTAGCGGTGGAATCGCAGCAAGCGCGACATGGGGTATTATAAAAGCAAGAGCGAAAGAAAAAGAGTTTTAGAAGTAATAAGGGGAAAAGCTTAGCACACTCACTGGTGCGTTTCAGACCCAAGAGTGATTTTCCGGCAGGTAATCCCATGTACATAGTAAGCACGAGAGGGGGACCGTGATGTGTGTGTGGCGGCGGCAGTAGGGTTAATATAGTATGTGACTAGGTAGGTACCAGACCATCGGTCATTTGCACGGAAGAATTGAAGGAGACAACGGGCGGGACGCCATGTCCGTCCTTGCGTCTGTTTCATGGGTACTATGTATATTAGATGAGAGGGGGTGTGTGTGTTGATGGCGCACATATGCACCTGTGTATATAAAACGGGTCCCTTTTTCCCCGCCATGGGTCAAGCAAGCTGTTTATTTCTTGAAAGTTGTCTTTCGGTTGTTTTATATATCCTAGGTTGTCTGAAGACTGTAAAGAGAAGAACCAAAAAAAAAGAGAAAGATAGTTAGAAAGAGAAGAAGAAGAAGAAAAAAAGGGACAGAAAAATGTACACACCAACTCTCCTCTCCAGCATCGCGCTCGTCGCAACCGTCGCAGCCGCACCGAACAAAGAGCTCTACAAGCGCGCCCCAACTGCGTATTTCGCCGGCGACTCGACAATGGCGAACGGGAATAACGTCATAACGGGTAATATATTCCTCCCTCTCCTCGCTCTTTTACCCCATTAACCGGCAATATATCCTAACGCGAATTATAGGCTGGGGCGCATTCACCAGCTACTCGCTCACCATGCCGTGCGTCAACAAAGCGATTGGCGGCCGGTCCTCGCGCTCCTACACGGTCGAAGGGCGCTTCGACGAAATCGCCAACCTCGTCCAGCCCGGCGACATTGTAACCATGGAATTCGGGCACAACGATGGCGGCTCGCTCAGCAGCTCGGACAACGGCCGCACCGTGTGCCCCGGCACCGGCAACGAAATCTGCAACTCGACGTACAACGGCCAAAAAGTCACCGTGCACACGTACAACTGGTACTTGACCGAGGCGGGCAAGAAGTTTATTGCAAAGGGCGCAAAAGTCATTGTGAGCTCGCAGACGCCCAACAACCCGTGGGAGAGCGGCAGTTTCCAGTATGGCGATGGCGGACGCTTCGTCGGGTATGCGAGGGATGTGGCGACGGCGTTGGGGGCCAATGCTATGTTTGTGGATCATGGCAAGTATACGGCGGATATGTACAAGACTCTCGGTAAGGCGGGTACGGATGCCTTGTTTGTGACTGGAGACCATACGCATACGACTGCCAAGGGCGCAGAAGCTGTTGCGAAGGCTTTCTTCAAGGCTGTGCAGTGCGCTGGAGGAGGCTTCTTCCAGGGTTCCATCAAGAATGCTACTAACTCGATCCCGGGGACTTGCTTGTAAATCTTTTGTGGGGGAAGCGAGGGAGAGAGGAAGGATTCTAGTGTATATACTTTGATCGGATGGTTTATATGCGATACTGGCTGTAGTAGTTTTCCCTACAGTTATGTAGAAATGCCATTGTGTATATGAATGATTAACAAGATCCCAGAGACATGTCTGCGTATCGTGATATATACACACTATACTGTCTATATGTCCGCTTTGTTGTTGGTGCCAATCTTTGTAGTATAGTGCATGGGTTGCTATTTTGGGTTTGATCTAGGTACCGAACACATGTAGACCATCCCTATATAATTATGTAAGCGCAAGGAGATAAGATAAATCACAACGCCCCATCCGCTTGGTAAACGGCTAGTCAAATATGCATACAAAACTACCACCATCTAAATAGCTAATATTTAAACATTGGATACCTTGAAGTATCAACAAGTATAAGCTTGGCCGTTGCAATGCCCTTTAGTGTTTCTTTGCCGAATCAAGTCCATGATTCACAAACACTTGTGACCGAGAGTACTCTGGAAAACAGACGGGAGAAGAGGCAGCCCGGAGAAAGCGAAGTTTTGGTTGTTCCCAGCCTCATCACTAGGCAGATGAAGAACGTGGAAAAGTCTACTGTGACAGCCACACGAAATGCTTGAGTATGACGGCAATGGTAGAAGACAAAGCAAAAAGGTAAAAAAAAAAAAAGTATGGTACGACACCAGACTCCATACGCCAGTCATGTTACACCGCTGGCCCGAGCGTAGACAAGCGTCGTGGCCTATGCATTACATCATAAAAAAAAGTAGAAGAAAACAAACCAGGCGACAACCATGTTAAGATGGCTATGCCGTCTGCTTGGCGTGGTGCATTTCATTGACGAATGCATCGTAATCGGCAGATGCGCCCGAGCCTACTACGCTGGTAAGCCATGGATCGGAGTGGCTACTCTCTCGATAAGCAATTGAGCTGGGGTTATAGAGGAACAAGGGAGGGGGTAGCGGATAGTGCTGACCTTGGGGAGATTCTTCGACCTTTTGGCGCTTCTCTGTGAAGTCGTATGAACTATCGACATTTGCGTGTTTGGAGCCAGCCGTGCTGTGTTGAGCGGCAGCGGCAGCTTGGGCAGCCATTTGCAGCTCACCAATCTGGCGCTCCGATAGACCGCCGTTGCTGTTGTTCTGCGCGGGTTGTTGCTGCTGCTGTTGCTGCTCGGGCTGTTGTGGGGTCTGGGGTGGTTGCGGTTGGGGGTGCATGTTGACTTGCTCGGCGTGCGGTCGGTTGAGATCTACACCGGCTGGAGCAGGGGGGATCTCGCCCTGGGTCTCGAGGAGTCGGGATTGGAGGTTGATGATGTAGTCGCGCAATTGGTAGTTCTCGGTCTGGAGCGTTTTGTAGAGCTCGCATAGCTGCTCAAACTCCTTGACCTGGTCTTTGAGCTGCTTGATGTACTCCTCCTTGCGCTGACGGAATGCGCGCTGTCCAAGTTAGCATGGCGCGACACGAGGGGGGGCTGTAGACTGCATCTGTACCTGAGCAGCGCGGTTTTGGGCAGCGCGCTTGGACGTGGACAGCTCTCTCCGTCCCTTTGAGCGACCCTCGCTGGTGTTGCCGTCGTCGGGGCCGCCAGCGCTCATGTCGTACGATGGTGGGCCGCCAATGGCAGGGTCAATGGCGTGGGGCTGGCTGGGAGGATGTGGGTGTTGGGAATGTGTTGGGTGCTGAGGCAGAGGCTGGACGGCGGGCTGGCCGGCGCCAGCAGCGAGTAAGTGTTCTCTTAAGCCTTGATGGCGATAGGCGTTAGTCAGCTGTACGAGAGGCGGGATGCGGGGAGTGACTAACTCATCTCGATGGTAGGCTTGGACTGGTCCTGGGTGGGGAGTCAGCAGGGCAAAGGCCTAAAACCGTCAGCAAAGCTTACCTGAGCAGCCGATGTCTGCATGATGGAGGCCGTGTCGGTGTGGATCGAGGGACGGTGCAGAGTGGGACTCATTCAAGGCGCAACGGACTGAGAGGGAGCAGAGCAGCGCTGATCGTGTGGCTGTGGCTGTGGTGGTGGGCGAGCTGTGGCAGTGGCAGTGGCAGTGGCAGGAATTGGTGCAGCGGGATGCAGGTGACGTCGCGACGCTGGAGGAGCTGTGGCTATGGCTATGGGGGAGAGAAGAGCAGCAGGAGCAGCAAGACCAACGACTGTGGGCGGGCGAGTCAGCATGTCGGAGTCGAGTTGGGCGCGCAGCAGGCCGTGTCGCGACAGCATGATTGTGTGCGATTGGGGATGGTGTTGCTCACCTGGGGACGTGATGATGCAGTTGGTCGGGAAGTGGATTACGCAGCTTTGACTAAGGTGGGCGGGCGGTGCGCGTTTAAGTAGGCGGGCGGATAGCCGGAGAGCACAGCGCCATGAGTAGGGCAGAACAGCGGCCCTCGCAACAACAACAACAACAACAAAACGTCGCGGGCGCCAGGCGTGGCGAGCGTATTGTAGTGGCCTGCTGCTCACCTGGCTGCTCTAGTGCACATGGACGTGTGTTAGGCGCTTGGCCAAGGATGCAGACACTGAGCCTATACAGACAGCGTTGTCGACCTGCTCGAGCTGTTCACTCAACCGCTGACCAATTCGGCAGCCGGCCAGCGCCCGCACCCCATGCGCACGCACGCGCCGCTTTGGGCCTAGCGCGTCCCAGTGTCTGATTACTCCATCCGGGCCACAAGAGCTTCCACATCCGACGCTCCCGTCTGTCCTCGACTCTCTCTCCCAGCTCGCCCATACTCCTCCGAAGCCCTCTGGCCTGTATGGCTCCCTCTGCCCGCCTGCTTCGGGCGGTCCCGTCACTGCTCGCCCACACCACGGCCACTCCTTGGCGTGCGTCCCCTCACCCTCCACTCACCCCCTCTAATCCAAAGGCCAAGTACTGCTCCAGCATACGCCGACTATTACCCTATCCGCCACTCTTGTCCCACGTCCGCAGTCGTCGCACAACAACGGCCCAAGGTACCGCGTTATTGCCCTGTGCAACTTGCTCGTCCCATGCTCGCCCACCACCTCCACCACCACATGACATGATCCTCTCTGCCGACCAGCCCGCTGACCTGCCCCATCGAGCATTAAACCTCTTTCCTGACTGGCATCTCACCGCCTCCCGGAAAGGCGTCGTGCGTCAATTTACCTTTTCTTCTTTTACCAAAGCCTGGCGCTTCATGTCCCTCATCGCAGATGAATGCAAGGCCAAGAACCACCATCCCTCGTGGTCCAATCTCTACAATCGTGTCTCCATTGAATGGACCACTCACTCCCCCAACGGACTTAGCATAAAAGACGTCGAAATGGCCGAGTTTTGTAATCAAAAGGCTGCCGAGATTGGACTCAAGCAATAACCTCTATCTATTACTTACACCCAATACAATATCCCTTCCACCCCCCCGGCGGATCTGCCGCTCTTTGATGACTGAGCAAGCTCCACGCACTCACGGTGCATCATCTTGATCCTCTCCTGTAATCATAATCGACTACACCCACAGCGAAAGAGAGGCAAATCAAGTTCAGCGTACAAGTGGCGAGTGACTACCATGGCAAGCGGCCCCACCGGAGTCCCAAGCACGCTTACGTACAATACACTTACTACCCGCATACGTATAACCTCCGCGGCTTGTCCGAAACAATTTTAGCATCTGATTCCCTTTTTCCCCCAACCCAATCTAGACAACAAAATGCCTTGCATACACGCCATGCCGAATCTCGATGGCTTACTTGCATTACATGCGTGACCATCACCATCCTTCCCGTCATCACCGTCTTCCACAATCTGATCTGGCGCCGAGAGTCCACCAGCTCCACTCGTATACCATTCGTTGTTGCACATGCTGACAAATCTTTTGCCTTGAAATCATCCGACAACGCGGGTACCGAAGGACAAGATACTCCACTGATTAACGCCCCGGAGGTCCGGAGTCCGCGGCATCGTCACCTTTGCCCGTCGTGTCTTCGTACTTTTGTCCTGAAACATGTCTAATAGCACAACAAAGAAATGATGGCTTTTACTCGTAAAACAGAAATGATTGCATGTTTGTTTTTTCGGCGCGCAAATACGAGCTGATCTACTTCGTTATCACGCAATATAATCAAACTCGCTGACAAGTCGTCACCCCCTGATCTCAGATATGCCATTTGTTTATCTTTGCGGGAAATTACTTCGTGTAAGTAAAGTTAAAGAAAAAAAAAAGGCCAACACAGACACAGACCGTACGGATTTGATTGTTTTTTTTTCTCCCACCCCACAAACTAACAATAGTAATCTCACCTTGTTGTGGAGATGGATGCATGGGGCATGTTCATGGATAATAATAATCGTTCATGTAACTTTGATACAGTTGCCCAAGTCTGGGGGGTTTTTTTTTTTTGGTTTGCTTTGGAGAGAAAGAAAAGGAGGCATAGGAATCAACTTGTTTGTAGTGTAATATGCAAGCATAATAATAAATTATCCAACTAAAAAAAAGGTGTCTGTGTTGTTTGGGGACCATTCTCTCTCTCTCTCCTATACACACACACACACACACAATGGCCATCTGATTTCCCACCGACGACAAACAGAACAAATCACTCAGACACTCGTATACCCATTCCCATGTAACCAAAAAGAACACAATGATACCATCTTCCCCCCCCCTCATCTACTTGGGAAAAATAATAATAATAATAATAATAATCAGATAATATGTAACTAATCCCTTTGCACATTGGCACTCTCCCCCTCTGCCCTTCACCACGCAAACATACATTTTGTATTCAACAACCTTGCACCAAGCATATCATACTCATACCGACTAATCCACCCGTCATTCCCATGACTACTCAACCGCCCAAACACGCTTCCCCCCTTCCAAACCACCACCTGCGGATCAAAGTCGCGCGGCGGCGGCCCCACAAGAATCTCCTTGCCGTACCCCGGGCGCAGCTCGCGGAGCCGCATTTCCAGAAACTCGCGTAAGCCGGGCGTCTTTGAGGCACCGCCGACGAGCATGATGCCACCGAAAAAGTCGCGTAGTTTGCGGTCGTCGCCGCGGGCGCCATGGGCGAGCGACTCGAGGATGGCCTGGTCGAGGGCTTGGATGGGCAGGATGGCCTCGCGGGCTTCGGCTACTTTGGTCTTCTCGTCAATAGGGTCGCGGACGAGTAACGGGGGACCGTCGCCCTCGCCCATGGGCGTGTCGCGGTCGGGATTGGGTGTGTTGGCGCCTTCAGGGCCGGGGGAGCCTGCCACGGAGGACCGCGGCGTGTTTTCGCCTTCATTTAGCCGGCTGAGCAGACTCAGGGCGTTGGCTTGCGGCCGTTGGGGTGTTGATACGGGAGCGGTGGTGTTTACTGCTTCCGGTGCCCCGTTGCTGATTGGCACGACGGGTTTGCCTGCTGCCGCTTCAATAACGGCAATTTGTGCCTGGGACATGGGGTCGTTTGGCGACCCGTCGTATAGATCTACAGAACGAGGCACCACTTTTCGTCGGTTCTCGAGTTTCCGAGAGTTGTCGAATATTGATGGTTTGAAGAAACCCTGTGCACATCAGCAAACGTACCGTGTCCGCTATACATTTGTTACTCACCATTACCGAGAGCATAGTCTCATCGTATGTCTTGAACGTATACTTGCGTGTGTCCTGGTTCCAAGCTCGGAGATGAAAGTCCCAAGTCTGCACCGTGACAGCACCCTCATCCATGGAACAGAACTTTTGCTTTAGCTCTTCAGCAAGCAGCCAGTCATACCTCCGCTTCAGATTCATATCCGCATACGGGAAATGGCCGTACAGCATCATCTTGATGAACGTCTCCGTTACGTCGGCACCGCCCATCTTCAAGTTGACGCGGGACTCCTCAGCACACAGCCCTTCATCCACACAGCAAATCGACGTCTTCTGCGCACCAATATCGACGACGCATGCAACACCGTAGCCCGCGCCGAATGTAGCCGAGAGAGACTCTTGCTGCAGGCAGACCTTTCCAAGGCCAAGGTCTCGCATTAGGATATCGAGAATCATGGTTACATACTGTCGTTCGTAGAGATCTGGGATAATGAACACACACTTGTAGTTAACAAGATCCTTAAGCTTTGTAATCCCCAGCTGGCTCCGGAAGGCTTCTTCGAATATCTTGGAAATGTCGTGGTAGATTTGATTGCGATCGCGGTAGTCTTTCTCGTTAAACGTGCCATTCCGTATGGGCCAGAACAGCTTGTATCTTGGGTTCGACTTCTCTGGAATTCGTAGTGCCTCGTTTCCAGTGAAGAAATCCGGAGCCTTGGTTGGGTCTTCTGGTATCTCTGTCCACTCAATGCGGTTGATGTCGTTGTGCTCCGAGATGATGTCTGGGGGTGACTTTTTGTTGTAGTTTTGGACTAGGTCCTTCGAATTGGGAAGTACTCGTCGCTTGTTAGCGCGCATGCGCGTCCTGAGTTCAGTCGACATGGTCATGTACTGATCGGCGAACTGTATTGCATATTAGTGAATGCAGAGCAGGGTCCATTGGGTAACTCACGTCTTCTCCAAACCACTTCTCTGGTTGCGCATCCGTGGACTCAGATGCATCGACCTTGATCCTCTTAGGACAGGGTTCTCCACCCTCCTCCTCGTCTTCGCTCTCTTTCCATTTCCGCGCAATGACCATGGGCACAGTCTTGGGCAACGCATCTGATCCAAGCCCTATCCTCAGATTCTGACTGCCAGGGTGTATTACAATGAGCTTTGAGATGTCAGTCCTCGATGCAAATGAGGCCTCGGCATCTTCCATTGTCTCGTCTGCAGCTTGTGGTGTCGCTCCTTCCGCTGCTGGCACACCCAGCGCGCGTGCGCGATCCTTGTCCCGCGCTTCCTGCACTATGCGGGCTCTCTCCTCATCTTTTGGATATCGCACTGCAAGAAACTGCTCGTCTCTTTTCAGGAACTCGGTATAATAGTTTTTCTGGTTGATCATGCCAACTTGCGGCCACGTCGTGAGATCCATGTTGTTGTCCGTCCGCTCCAGCCCTATGATCTGTTAGCCGTCATATCGATTCAAATTATACAGGCGTTGTACCCTCTTCCCTCGCCTGGGCTCTGCCTGACTTCTTAACAGCCATCTTGTCTGAGACGCTGTTTGTGCTTGATTAAGACTTTCAATGCAAGCCTGTGGCAATCACAAACAAAACTCGAGGCCAAGCAACTCGACGTTTATCCGCTGGGGAGGGTTGCAAAATCGCAATGGTGTTTCTCGTAGAAGTAGGACGCGCTATTGGGCTAAACTGTAGCCAATCTTGGAAACAGCACGCCGCGCTGTGCTCTCAAAAGGCGGTATGTGAGAGGTGATAGCGACTGTAGACTTCGTCGATGGGCGTGATCTCGTAGCAGAAGACGATGCTGCGTGAAGGCAATGTCCGCGATTGGTGGCAAATGTGGGTTGAAGAGCACAATCAGACTGCAGGGTGCTTTGTTCTATTATGTCTGTGAACAGTCGTGAAGCCGCGTGAGAGAACGGCTTTGGTGTTCGCCGTGGTTGCGGCGCGCTTGTCCCGTGATTGGATCGCGAGTCCGCAACTTCGGTTCCACAACCCTTGCTACGAAGCTATGACCATACAACTACAGTGCGCGGGGTGATTTGCACCGCATGCAGCTTTACCTCTCAGCCCTCGTGGTCTGTCAATAGCAACAGTTGTAGATCAATTGACCCATGTAGTCTCGCTCTTGGGGCAAGTTACCTGATGTGAAAATACGGCTGATGGGAACAACAAGGATAATCACACGATGCTCTGCACTTGAAACTATGACCGACGCCTGGGACTTGTTCGTATACTTTCAGTGTCCAGTTCGATTCCTAGAGGAACCCCCCCCCCTCATAGGGCTATGTTATATTACGAATCATGATACCTATAACTCCATGATACATTCAGTCATGAACCCGTTACATCTGTTCTCGACCTTGTCCTGAACGAAAATCTGGTTGCCGACTTCTCTGGGAAAATAGACGTGTACTGCTCAGAACATGAGAGCAGTGGCCACCATGCCGAGGAATAGCGCAACGAAAGATACGCCATTCTCGCCAGCCATACCTTTACTAGTCGTCATGACGAAAGAGACGCCACTCTCATTAGCCATATCTGTCTCAGTCGTGATGATGCCAGAGGCAGTAGTGGTGACAGTCGTAGTAGATCCGGCCTGTCTGATGACATTCAAACTGGGAACGTTATATCCAATGCCGGACGAGGTGCTGTTAGTGGGTGAATGTGGATAGTAGGTGACCGAAACAACAGGGGTAGTCGAGGGGATGTAGATAGTCGAAGAAGAGTTAGTGGGTGCGTGAGTGGGGAACAAGTCGAAAGAGGTGAAGTTTATGACTGGGGAGGTCAAGTTGAAGACCGGAGGCTCCCTCATCCCGGTAGCTGCTGGAGAACTCGTGGTAGACACATTCTTGAACTCAGACCACGTCGGCTTGATGGGGAACGGTGGTCGTAACTCAGAGAGCGGGATTGCTGTAAAAGTAGCAGTGATGATAGCCGGTGGCGGGAGGATTGAAGGGGTGGTAGCGGTGCTAGCTCTGATGACCTTCTCTGTAACCGTGACTTGCGTCGTTGACTGGACTGTCATAGTCGTGGTAAGTTCATCGCAAGCAAAGACAGAAAGCCCAGCCTGACCAGAAGATGGGGAATGGGTGGCGCTGCCAGTCACAGTACGAGTAGTAGTCGAGGTGATAGTGACAGTGGCAGTCGGGCCCTGAGTCTCGGGGCACAGATAGGTGAGAATCGTCTGACCACCGTGGAGTAGCACCGTATCTGTGCAGAGCTTGGGTAGCTTGCTACAGCCTTCATCACGAGCGGCCACTGCTCTAACCGGGGCGGGCTCCACGAGATATCCCTCCAGGTTAGTCTGGAAAGCAGCGACTGCTATCTGGGTGTCAGTCTGTTATGATACGCCGAAAGCACACTTTCCAAGCATAAACAAGTGCAGAGGTACCTACCAGAAACTGCGAACAAGGCAATGGCGCGCATGGTGTGCATGTTTGTAGCGAGATTGGTCTTGAGTATGGTGTGAGAAAGAACAATTGTGGACAGTAGAGACCGTAGTATCAATCACGAAGTTGAAGGAGCGTAGTGTGATGAGGTGAGAGAAACCTCGCGGGGTAGACGACAGTAAACAATACCTCAGTGAAATGAGCATAAGACTAGCCCTGCACCTTGCAAACGGCCGGTGGCCAATGAGAGCAAAGCCTGCCATGGTCTTTTGGAGGTCGAGGCTAGCGAGTGTTTGTTCTACGCTTGGTGACTGCCTCTGACTGCTCTTGCCTATTTAGTAAGACGAACGTGTCTGGTAAATAACAAACGCCAAGACAGTCTTGACAGCGCCCAATCAAGGCAGTGGAGGTAGGGTAGTTGTGTATCGATACTACTTAGCTAGTTCTCCCATTCACTGTCTGTGTCCATCTATGCTTCTCAGTGTTCAGAGAGTCTACCTTGAGAGAATATTATCTTATTACTTCATTACCAAATACTGAATCTTGTATACACGGATACGTCCACCAATACACAAGTGCATAGTACAAACTGATTGTAATAGACCGAAAATTATGTACGACGTTCAGAATTAAGCCTATCCCTATAAGCATAACATCGAGCATTAAGCAGACTAAAGAAAAACTCATTCTGCCACATACGTTAAGAGAAAAAAAACTAAGAAAATAATTCACATTCATAACTCTATATTTTCGTTCATAAAGAAACGGGCTTACATCTCGCGCCCTAGCAACAAAATTTGCATACTGTATATGTTTTTGAAAGAAACAAGTCCCTGCTTTCCAACATCTCCCTAGGCCAAAAGGAGAGAAATGATCATGGATAATGAAGAATGATGTCGAGGCCATGCAAGAAAGTGCGCGCTGCCATGCATGCCAAATGTCTAAACAAAACAAGATAAGCAGAAAATGAAGGAATAAAAAACTTTGCTCAGTGTTTGTGAAAAAGAATGCCGCTGAAGGATGGCTCGCGCTGAGCGTCCGTATGCAATCGCCGAAATGTGGGGAAAAAAGTGATGTGTGTGTGTGTGTGTGTGTGTGCGTGTAGGAGCATGTCAAGCCTGTCGACAATGTCCATGAAAAGCTTGCGCATGTCGTGGAAATACATATGTACGAGTTTGTTGAGTCAAAGGCATTTGCCTTGGGAGTCTCCAAGTACATCTTAGCCGGGTCGTCGGAAAGCCTCCACGTTCAACGTGGGTGTCTCCACCTGTCTGTTCGTCGGCACGCCTTCATTCTTCCTCCTATCAAAGAAATTCTGGCACTCATGGCTGATGAAAGTCCATTCCGCAAGCGCACGTCCGGCATAGGTACTCGACGTCACAGCAGCACCAATGGGTGGTGTGCTGAGGACGGGTTCGAGGTTGATGCCCTTCTGCATCAAGAGGTTCTGTGCTGGAAGTGGGAGTCGTGGAGGCTGGAGGCGCATAGGTTGGTATGCGCCGAAGCGCTTGTCCACCCATTCCAGAGAGAAGCGGAAATGGTATGACCGATGGGTAACCGGTGGTGGTGCTGGTGCTGGTGTTTCGGTAGCCACAGGAGTAGAAGATGCTTCGTTGGCCGAATTAGCGCCAGTGGTCTTACTGGCGTTCTCCCTGTCTTTAGCGGGCCCAGGGCTCTTTGATTTAGCATTCTGCTTCGAACTTCCTCCCATGAGGCTACGCAAAATGTTCCATCTGCCTTTGCCTGAATCCTCTTCTGGAAGATCGGGCGATTCTGTTGGTGGAGGAGGTGTTGGTCGAAGCTCGGCTTCCGAAATCAAGGGAGCTGGAAGAGAGGGCTTTCGCTGATGGGGGTTTTGGACCACACCGTCGAATGTGAGAAAAGGACCACTATTGGTCACAATAGGATTATCATTACGTATGATGAGAAAGCGTCGGCCTGGTGCAGGGTTGCAAGCCTGTGTCGACGGGTAGATGGTCTGTTTACGTTCAGCCTCTTCTTGAAGCCAAAGGTAGTGAGACCAGATTGACCGGAGACGGTCACTCAGAGCGCGTTTGATCGCTCTGCAAATATGTCAGCATACACTGTAATGACGAAGGGATTGGCTTTATACTCACACTTCGGCTTCGGTATCAATGCCATCGAATCGAGCGACTCGCCAGCAGATCAGGCGCATAAAGTAGGCGCGCACCATAGGACACCAGTGGTTGAAACGGCTTTCGAAAAATTCGGGTTCCAGAAGGAACTCGAGGCAAATCCCTTCTTTTCGTTGGTCGTCCGAGGTCAGAGTTGCCCAACTGCTGTAGAGGAAGGCATACAACCTAATCTCGGTAGCGGTGTTGTGACTAGCAGCCATAGCTTTGAACACGGTTAGCCAGAAAGGCCAGTCCATGATCGCATGGTGATCGCTGTCGTGTTGCTCGTAGCGAACGAGGATGACAAGAGCCTCTTCAAGAAAGTCGCAGAGGGTATAACAGGCACTGTTGTTGTAAATTGAAATCTTGCGTGCTTGTGCCTGCAGAAGACGAGCAAAACTCTCAGCAAACATCTTCCTGGCAGTGTGGAGATGGGCATTTCGTTCGGAAAGGAAATCGCGTATTAACATTATGATTCGGTTTTCCTGCATCATGCGGGTAGCGTTTGCTGGTGGAAGAGCGAGGTTCGAGGCAGAAGCATCAGGTTCCAGGACATCGTCAAAGGTAATTGCCGATGTATCGTCCGGCGGCTGCTGTTGCTGCGGTACAGCATTCCTGTTGATGGTTGCATCCAAATTAACCAAAAGCTGGGCATGCACCATAATCAATCCAGGTACACAGATGCGCTCTGCGTTGGTAGGCTCAAGGGGTAGGAAATCGCTGACCAGAATGTGGAAGTGCTTAACAAAAACGTAAAACAGGTCGCTCTCGGCGCCGGACCAGCGCTTTGTCCAAAGTCCGTACCAGTCGATGTTGGCCATGGCGAGCGGGGGTAATATGGGCTTGTGTAGTTGACGCATGAGTCGGTTCAGAGAAAGCAACTTGAGCGGGAGAAGCATGGGTGGGAAAGATGCTGCAACTCGGTCGGATACCGAGTCCAAACGATCCAGCTTCGACACACCGGACTCTTCCATTACCCGTCTCATCATTTCGAGAGATGGGCTCCACAGACGTACCAAAACATCGGCAACTCCAGGGCAGAAGCAGAAAGCGTATGCACATGTCTTTCCACAGAACGTAACCAGACTTGCAGCAGCATTTCGCAAAGACATTTTCTCTACAACAAAAGCCATTTGAGACTGCAAGTTTTGCGTGAAGATGTTGCGTACATTGTGGTGAACAGATTCTGCGAGGAAGTCGGCCGAGCTGGAGCTGGAGGCTCCCGAACTAGTCGTAGATGCTGACAATGGCTCTTCACGGTCTGCAAGGGCACAAAAGGGCGAGGGGTAGAGTCTCCATTCGGGTCTCTCCATGATTGCAGCGATGCCCTCGAGGATAACCGGACGGTCTGTGCCAGAGATGGACTGGTTGTTCCGGCCTGCCACGAGCTCCAAGAGACCGGTCCACCAGCCATTAAGAATGTTTACGCGGCGGTCGAGATCTTCAGGCCTGAGCTTCTGGTCTATAGGCCGATGGGCATGTTGGCGGAGAAAAGGAAGAAGGGAAGTGCGAACCACGTTTGCCTTGAGGGAACTGGATTTGGATTGAAACCTATGTATTGTTAGTTTGAGTTATGTTGTTGTCGTTGGAGGAGCAAGGGGGGGGGGGGGGGAGCCATACTTGCGCAGATCCGCATCGAGGGATCTGAATGCGTTCCACAACTCATCCTTTTTGCGGGGTTCAGTCTTGATGCCTTTTAGCTTTTCTGCAGAGATATCGCGTGGTAGCGGAGGAACGACATGGGTGGGGCTGACTGGCGTTTGATTCTGGGGATAATTCGGGAGCTGTTCAGTCGAGAAAGACTTGGGCACTGAGGGCGAGTTGGAAGAGGCAGTGGGAGTTGCGGTGAAGAGGCCGCTGAGGCGCTTGTTCTTCTTGCTCAAGGGAGGCGGAATTTCCTCCTGTACAGTATCTCTTGCCTCCGACTCCTCTGGGATACTTTCAGTGGCTGTCTGCGTCTTCTGCTTGGGCGGCTCAACGGCTGGTGTCTTTTTTGGACTTGGTTCCTTTTTCTTGAGTTTCTTGTCCTTGGATGGTGACGTCGACTCTCTCGACTGTTGCGGGCCAATGACCCACGACTTCCTGCGCAGGTTTGTCAAAGAGCGCGAGGGCGAAGGCGAAGGCGAGTCTGCCTGCTTGACAGCCTCTGGTCGGCCGCGTTCTGGCTTTGGTTCTGCGGAGGGATCTCGGCTCCTAGTGGAGAAGGGCAGAAACCTTGAGGAGCGGCGGGATGCTGGCGTCGGCCTTAGCTGAGGCATCTGCACGTCAGGCAGCTCTGGAGCATCCTCTGACGAGGGACTGGACCCATCTGAGTGGCTCTCGGAGGTCCTCTCCTCGCTCCTGGAGCGATCGGCATCATCCTCGGAGGCTCCCCTTCGCTCAGCAACAAGCGAACCCTTGTCGAGATCCTTCACCTGGGGAAAGTATGTGTACGAGGCAGCCTTTGGCAGTTGGGCGCGTTCGGGTTCCTGGGGCAGGTGGAGGACGGCGTCGGAAGTGGCCCTGTTCCTGCCGCGGAGGGCATTGGTGATGGAGTAGTGGCTGCGAGGAGCCTGCGCGACGGCGATGGGCATTGTGAAATAGGGAGCGGGCGCAGCGAAGCAGTGGCTAGACAGCCCTTCTTCAATGCAAGTCGAGTACGCGTCTCGGGCAGGCTACGGGCTCATGGCGGAGTAATGGGACGGGAAGCGGCGTGGTGCTGGCAAGCTGGTATTAGGCGGGCCGTTGACAAGGCCGTTGGACGGGCTCCAATAGAGTAGCGACAGTGGTTGCGGGAGCGACGTCACAGTAGAGGCTGAGGGGCCGGGGAGGAGGGAAGAGGCAGAGGCTTATTGGAGGGGAGTGGGAGGGGGTGCAGCGGGGATGTGCAGCAGCAGCAGGGGCAGCAGGGAGTTTGGAGAGTAGAGAAACAGAAAGGCAGTTCAGCGAGTGTTCAGTATTCGGCGAGCGAGCGTTCCGTAGCGACTGGACTGGCAGAAGATTCAGGTTTGAGATTCTGGTCCGAGCTGGGAGTGCTACTGGCGGCACTAGTACACAGATAGGACGGCTACGGGGGGGCCAGCAGGTTGATTGAGCTAGTAGTATTGCAGCGAGTGGTGGTGGTGGTGGTGCTGCTGCTGCTACTCTATTGCCTCGATGGTGTGGGCGCGCGGGTGCAGGCCCACTGGCAGGCTAGCAGGGATGCAGGGCAGATCGCGTCGGAGCGATGGTTCTATATTAAAAACGGGCGCATTTGTTGCAGTTGTGTCATCTGCCATTCGTCTACTGATGCGCCCTGTGCCTGTGCCTGCGCCGTTTGCTTGACGTGCTCGCTCTCACGCGTTCCCATGGCCGGCTTGGCCGCTGGCTGTGTCGTCTCGTCTCGTCTCGTCGACGCCATTGCCGCCTCGCCGCTGTCCGCCGTCGAGCGCTGTGCATTATAGCCAAGGGCCGCGTTGGCCATGCATCGATGTCCTTACTGCGTGCACATATTATCGATCCTCTGCCAGTGCGCCCGCCCCCTAACAGGCCCCTACTGCTCGCTGCTGCTCGCTAGGCCCCAGTGGGCCCGCCGAACCATCTTGTTTTTTCGCGACGTGAACTGTGAACACTGCAATCTCTGCAGCGCCCTTGACCGCAATCTCCTTGCCCACTGCTCCGACCTGACACGCTGCTGGTGGCCCCCGCGTGCTTATCGCCCAGTTTCAGCGCGAAGACGTCACTGCGTCAGCCCCGGGCGTCGCCTGGCTGTGTCGCTCGCTCGCCTGCGCGTCTGCTTCGCCTACCACTGCTGGCAGTGGCACATCGACATGGATGCGGATACGCGCTGGCTGCAATCCAGGGTAAACCCCTCAACTGACCGTCCATCTACGGCCGCCTCGGTCCATACTATGGAATACCCACTAGTCGTGCCCCCATGCATGCCAGAGCCGTAAGTGTACACATGCGGCAGAGCCCATCCGCTGCTGCATTCAACATTTCCGCCTTCAGGCCCACGCTTTCGCCCTGTTCCTCCGACCTTCCGACCACACTAGCCGCCAGTATCGGGAATTGGAGCCTGCAAGGCAGTCGGCACTGCATCCCGTGGCTTATCTGAGGGGCCGTGGTTTGATCAATTTGTTTGGGACATGCACATGTAATGCAGCAGATCAATCGGCCCAAGTACATGCGCTGCACGGCGCGGAACAGCCTGCATCGAGTCAGTCGCCAGAATATACATACATACGTGTCGTACGCGCATGCTAATCAAAACAGCAATCCACCACCGCTAGCATACCGACTACTGCCATGCTGCCTACCGTGCGTCTTGCTGACTGACCTTGTCCCTCCCCATTCCGACGCTCCCAAAAGCAATTCACTCTCTTGGCAACTCTTGTCCCCCATGCCGAAACCCACACCCCGCCACCCTCTCCGCGTCCTGCAGGCCACGCATCCAGCAAACTTGCTTCTCTTGCCATAGCCTTCGTCATACACAATGGCGCTCACAAAAAGTACCGCCTTCAACAACCAAAGGGGCCGCCACCGTGCCAGTCTGTGCTGACATTGTTGCGGGATATTTACATCATAGGAGTGATGACCATGTAGATCAATGGCCACCATTGACCGCCGACAACCATGGCTACTGAATAGCTCAAACTCGCATTCAGCCCCCGATAAGGTGCACGTACACGTACTTAGATTCAGCCAATATGCTCAAATCCCCCCGTGCAACCACCCCCATCCATGTCCTGCTACTTAGCCTTGATCCCTCCACCAATCTACCATGTTCACTCAATCAAACAAACAATCAATCCACATGAGGCCTATCACATAAGCAATCCATTTCGTCACCCGCATGTCTTGTCACGTGATATACATGTTCCCAGACAATGCACCCAATGGCTCAGCATTTTTGTTGCCCAAGTCGTATTGACACAGTCGCTAGTATTCTTGATACATCTAGTCCTTCACCCAGCAATCTTCTGCGTCTAGTGGGTAGCACCGGCCGTGGTGATGCTTTCGTCCTCCTCCTCAAACCAGTCCTCCTGGGGCAGGACCTCGCCGTCCTCGGATGAAGCGCCCTCAACCTCAACAGTCTGTGTCTCGTATGCCTTGAGCTCGCTCGCAATGTCCGTCTCCTCGGGAGATGCGGGGGCCTTGGGGATGGCGAACTTCTTGACCTGGCCCTCGGCGTCAGAGGCCTTGACTTGCGGGACCTTGTAGTTCTTGAGCTCGCGGAGGTACATGTCCTGCACCAGGTCGGCTACAGCACCAATTGGGTCAGTATTGTCGGCTTTTCGAGCGGCTTAGGATGAATCACCTGATCGGACGGCGGTGGGGGTGATGAAGGTGCGGCGAGCGACGTAGGCAGGTTGCTGCCGGGCGACGCGGACGAGCGCCTGGCGCTGCAGCGGGTCAGTACATATCCAATTCGTGCCAGCGAGAGGAGCCTACCGAGGCCCTGATGGATTGCGCAATCATTGTTGATATGTCGGGGGGTGGGGAGCTGACAATTGGAAGCTACAAGGTGAAGGTCGATGTTGGGGAAAAACCGTGGACCGCAGCTTGACCTGCCGCCCAAGACGGCTTAGCGCGGGCGGAATGCCAAGCCCCGCAGGCTGCCCGCTCGAGACATAAGGTTTCCATTGCCGTTGTCCGACCTTCGTTCCTCCAGCCCTCTGTAGCCACACTCGTTTCCTGCCTCCCTTGCCCAAGAGCAGTCTCCAAGTGTCGGTCTCGCGAGCCCAATAGCTAGAACCCAGAATACAAGCCCAGAACTGCTTCCACTTCGTGAAGAAAGAGAGAAACATGTCTTACGCACCCGACGGCCGCCTCCTGTCGCCTGGTGAGGTATATGAAGCCGCGCCCGTGCAGGTCAAGGACGACGAGTGGCAAGAGGACCTGAATGTTGCTTTGATCTGCCCCGACTGCAAAGAGAACCCTCCCAATCTGGTAGAGGAGTTCAGTGCTGGCGATACAATCTGCGGCTCATGTGGTCGCGTCCTCGCCGACAGGATCATCGACACCCGCTCGGAATGGAGAACCTTCTCTAATGATGGCAAGTGGCGCCCTCTTACTTGCACCAGTGAGGCGCATGCTAACATGGTATTCAGACCAAGGTAACGATGATCCATCACGTATTGGTGACGCTGCCAACCCCCTTCTGCACGGCTCCCAGCTTCAGACTGAGATCGGTTTCGGTGACGGCGGCATGAGGGTTCGCGATCTTTCCAGGGCTCACAACAAGAGCAACCACGACAAGGTCAACAAGGCGCTGCAGGCTGCCTACGGTCAGATCACAGCGCTCTGTGACAGTCAGAACATTAGCAGACCGACGGCCGAAACGGCCAAGATGCTCTACAAGATGACGGACGACGCCAAGCTGTTCAAGGGCAAGTCACAGGACGCCATCATCGCCGGCTGTATCTTCATAGCCTGTCGAAAGCACGACCAGCAGCGCAGTTTCCGCGAAATCTTCAAAATGACCAACGTGTCCAAGAAGGAAGTCGGCCGCACCTTCAAAGTTCTCGAAGCTTTTATTCAGAAATCGCAGAACAGCGGTCCATCAGTCGCCGGAAATGGAGCTGTCATCGACACAGTCAACCTTCTCAACCAAAAAGGTGGCACCACTGCCACCAGCGCCGCCAGCCTCATGCCTCGTGCCTGTGCCAAGCTGGCTTTGGGTACCCAGGTCCAAATGGTGGCCGAAGAGTGCGCCGACCAGGTTGCTCACTATGGTGTCGCAGCCGGTCGATCTCCTTTGTCTATCGCTGGTGCTTGTCTCTACCTGGTCTCACATCTCATGGGCCAGCCCAAGTCACCAAAGGAAATCGGCCTCGCCGTCGAAGTCAGCGACGGTACCATTCGTACCGCATACAAACTCATGCATATGGAGCAGGATAAGATCATCAAGGATGAATGGATTGCAAAGGGTGGTGACCGATCTAGGATCCCTGCTGCTTAGATTTTTCTTGTCTCAACTACTACACTGGGAACTTGGGGGTGGGTGTTGTACCGGTTTCACGTTTTGGTTTTTTTTCTCTCACTTTTCTTTTCTCTACTATCAAACACCCGTTCTTCCTTTTCTTCTCTCATCAAAATCAACATGGCATACGAGGGACTGGAGTTTTATCTTGTGTTTTAGACCTCTTTTTTGGTTTTTCTGGTTCCCTATCTCGGGTTGTATTTTGTTTTTTACTCTATTAAACTGTTTTGTCTTTTTGGGGGGGTGATTTTAACGCCTGGGGAATGGGGGGGAAGAAAGATTGAGACGGCCAATTGCCATGAACAAGATATGATACCCGGATAGATTGGCGGGAGGGGGCAAATTCGGAAGGAGAATATTCAGATTGTGAACAAAATCGGCCGTTTTTTGCTTATGTGCGGGTATGAAGTAATGTGGATGAGGAACTACTACATAGAAAATGAGAATGCTGTGGCGGTGTGTACGTTTGTGTTTTATACCGTGATGTTGCATCCTTTGCCTTTCTCTCTCTCTCTCTCTCTCTCTCTCTCTCACTACCCTCGCGGGAGATTCACAGTAAACTGCGTTCATCACATTCAAGTCTTCACATGCCAAACTCAAGCCCCTTTTCCATCTTACTTGGACAAATCGATGCCTAGATTACTATTTTCCATCCCAACAAAAAAATACATTCACTAGTCATCCCTACTCTCATTTGAAATGGACATATTTCTACCCGCTATGTAATAACTGACTGCTGCTTCTCGTCCCTACATCAAACCACGGCACTTTTTTTTCGGTTAACTAGCCATCTCTTTATTATTACCTACATCAGCATTCGGCTATTGCATGAGCAGCTTTTATGCAATGTGGTTATAACGCAAACGTCCTGATTGGCACAAAATGTCTGTGACGACAATAGCGATGACAATAACAACATTTGATTTTTAGTCCCAAAAAAAAGATAAAGAGTCATTTACAACCAAGCCCAATTCAAAAAAAAGCTAACTCAATTGGAACCAATTAGGATATCACAAAAAAATCCAACCAACCAACCAATCCTTTTCATAACCTTTATTCTAATCCATCAAACATAATCTGTACCAAACTTTATTCTGTAATCCATGCCCATACAAACATGGTAACCCCAAACCATTCAAACTTGCAACATCCGTCCCTTCATCCACTCGCCAAATCCGCCTTCAGCAACACTCTTACTAAACGCGACCCAAAAAGCTTGTTTCTCGCTCACAGGTCTCGCGCATCGCTCAACCAATGCTTTAACCTTGATATCTCTCAGCCCCTTGATAGCCATGACCTGCTCGGCCCACTCGAGATCCACGCCACCGAAATCACCACTGCCGCCAAGCCACTCGTTCTTCATGCGCAACATTGTGTCGAAGTCGGACGGGTTCATGGGGGTGATGGAGTCCCAGGCTTGGTCGGGCTTGCCGGCAATCATTTGAAGCTTGAGTGTGCTCAAGTGTATGCTTGGGCCGCCTCCTACAGCCAGGGTGTTGTCTGTTGCGCCGGCCAGGTAGGCGCACATTCCTGCCCATTCTGCGCGGTCAAATTCCTTTGCGTATGGTAGCGCTTTCTTGGTCAGACTCAGGTGTCTGATTGAAGCCCGACTTCGGGGTGTTAGGTCCGAGAGGAAGGGTACCACGGCTTCCACGCTCATGTGGAAGCTGAATGTGTATGTGGAGTAGAGCATTTTGCTCGCTTCAGCGTGTATTTGCGAGTTTACACGCATGAGGGAGGGGACCGTATGGCGTAGATGTGCGGTGTAGGGCGAGAGGAGGACGCGGTAGGTCGTTGGTGCCGTGGTCGTAAGAAACGGGCCTTGGGAACGTTCAGTTAGCATATGTCTTGTTTGTCTAACAGAGCATTTGAGAGCCATCCGTGTTTCGTGTCTTGCGCCCTCAATCTCTACGATGTTTCCAAGTGGTTGGAGAATCTGACTTACCGGTTCTTACATGATAAGTAGTCCTCCTTTTCCATGTCTTCAAGCCTTGACCCCCCAGCCAAGGGTCGATTGTCCGTACGCTCAAAGTAAACGGGTCATTGTTCGTGTCCTTGGAGAGGTAGGTATGGAAATCAGGTACCAAGTTTGCGACCGACGTTCCGTGCCCAGAGTGGGGTGTCTTGGAGGGTAGCAGTAAATATTCGTAGATCATAAGGCGGATCTCGAAAGGTAAACGGAGAAGTGACGAGGTTGGAAGACCCTCAGTCATGGCAGGCGTTGATTCCATGACAAATAGTTATCTGCAACTGGAACTTGAGCGCAACCTACCCAGTTGAAGCGTACCAGATGCCGCCAAATGTGTTGGATTACAGCCTGCCAGGATAATGACTGATGTCGCAAAGCAAGGGAACTTTTAATCAGTCAATCAATCAGCGTAATGCTTCTGACTGTGGCGTGACTCAGATGCTTCTCAGCTTCTGTGAACAAGGCCAGTAGAGTAAGGTGCAGGACATAAACCGCGCAGTCAGAACTAAAAAGAAGATTTGCAGGTGGTGGACGCGCACGACGGGCTCGCCGCCATTTTGTTTATCAACGTGTTAGGCATTGCGTGTTGTCCCGTTTTGTCACCGGCATTACAATGCTGAAAAATAAACTCGGACAATACCTTGATGACCAGGATGCATGGCTGAGGTCACCTTGCCACGTATGGTAAAGACCGTTGGGCGATCTGTACTTGATGTAGTATGGCCTCAGATCTAGAAGTCCAGTAGCTTGCCGAAGGTTGGTTGAGGTGGAAATGACATTCCGAGGGCGTTGCTATCGATAAAGTTGAGGGCGGTGAAGAAATGCAAGACAGTCCGGCGACGCTGATATGAATTGCGTGTTACACCGAGATTGTTTCAACAATTCGTAATCCGGCACATCGCAGTTACTGACTTCACGTGAAGATTACCGGCTAGTGCGAGCACCGACATTACTATTTTGTCAGAACGGCCTCTGCAGAGATTGTGAAAGATCCTATCGCAATGACGAAATCGAGACTCAAGCTGAGCAAGGTGTCTGTCGGATAAGGTAGTGATAGTGCGAAAATCATGTCGGGGAAGCGTCGGAACAACCACAATTGTTTGCATGCTCTGTATCGGCCCTTTCGCTTAAGATTCGGAAAACATGCCCTGGCCTGCGCTTGGGCTGTACCCTAGCGTGGCAATGGCTATTGTACTTACGTAGAGTAGTGTAGGATGGTCAGGTGGCGGGAAAGGCCACGCTGGTTCGTAGCGGAGCTGTGGAATCGTAGTGTTGACATTGGATTGATGGAAAAAAATGAGAGTGTTCAGTACTCGTACATAGTTGTCAAAGGCGAAATGGTTAGCGTCTCAACCCAAATCGGTACGTACCTGCAGCGCTGGACCCTGTGCCAAGTCCCAAACGTCATCGCAACAGGATGAGTATCCTCGCAAACTGGCGGGTCTCGACATTCACAGCGGCCTGCAAAATTACGCAACTTTCTCCACAGCAATGAAAACACAAGTTCATGCCATGTTCAATGATATCATTGCTCAGCTGTAGCAGCTCCATCCCAACTCCGTTGAGCTATCCTATTCTCAAGTGCTGCTCTTTGCCCACCCCCCAAAAACCTTTAGCTATACCCTAATACAATTTTCTCTCAAAGTGCTAGAGAAGAAAAGTCGAGTGCAAGCAGAAAACCAGACAAACAAACATCTTTTTGAGTTTATCCCTCCCTTGCGGATATGAACGCCTCGCGACTGAGCACGTAAACTTTAACCAAGTGACCCGTAAAAAAGAGAGGATGCAAGAGGAGAGGAACAAGAAACGAGATTGTCATAATACAAAATCTGAGGCCTTATCGAGCGTATCAAAGAAACATGCTTTTCCGTGCCATCAGTCAACTCAAAAGAAACGGGGAAAAGAGAAATTGGTCATTGGCCATACCCATTCGTCATCATGATAGGACTTGACCACGTCCCCTTAAGCACGCATCCACTTCTCCCAATTATGATTATATGAGAGACGGCATCTAGTGCTGCCCGTAATTTCCGCCCCAACCCCCACGGTTGTAGCTGTTACCGTATCCTCCAAATCCACCATAGTTGCCATAGCCGCTCTGCTGGTGGCTTGCAGAAGTCTGGTGACCAAGCCCGCCTAGGCCACCGTATCCGCTGTTACCAAGGTGGCTGGGGTAACCACCATAGCCTTGCTGAGCGTGCTGAGGTCCGCCTTGTCCGGGAGTGCTCTGGTTAGCTGAGCCAGGACGGCCAGGCTGGGCCCCAAGAGCAGAAGGGCTTGGTCCTCCGCTCTTGTAGTCATTGGAAGGCTTGAGGGCATCATCGCCAATACCCTGTCCACTCTGCTGGCCATACGAGCTCTGGTGGAAGTTTCCAGGACGAGTAAAAGTATCAGGAATGGCGCCAAATCCGGCAGCTCCAGCAGTTGCGCTAGGGTTCTGAGATGCGGCCGAAGCTGAACGACCGTAATCACCAAAGCCTCCAGCGCCGCCACTGCCACGGTCGTGCAAAGAGGACGCACCAAAGCCTCCAGCATTTGCGGGAGAAGATGAGTGTTGATCGAACGAAGCCTGAGGAGACATGCCGTAGTGGTGGGGCTGACCATACATGCCCTTTCCGAATGATCCATAACCGGCTGCTCCTTGGCCGTAGCCTCCAAACTGGTTCATGTAGTTGGCATAGTATGGGCTGCCATAGTAGGGGTGGTTGTAGGGATAACCAGCGCCATGGCCATGCTGCGCGTGCTGGCCTTGTGCACCATGTCCTTGACCAGCCATAGCTGCTGGATTAGGGGTGTTGTGTCCGCTGTTCTGGGCGTCGCCGTATCGGCTCTGAGACTGTTTTGCTTCTTAGTATATGGTAGTCAATGGATGAGGATCTCTGGCTCCGCTGCTGTTCTTGCTCGGTCCGCGACCTTTGCTAGCTCCCCACAAAACATCTCGTCTGTACGACATGTGTCGAGGTGGATAGCATAATGATCGGCCACGAATTTGGCAAGCTCGGCACGAGTCCGAAGAAATTCACTTACCTGTGGAAGCTGACTCTGAGCATAAGCCGAGTCAGTAGGTCCAGAACCGAAAGCGCTGCCAGTACGCTGTTGCGCTGAACCAGCTTCTTGCTGGGTTTGTGCGATAGGCTGGCCGTAGCTACCATAGTAGTTCTGGTATTGCGCACGTTGTTCAGCGGTGAGATATGAGGGATAGTTGTCCGGGGCAGACGAGAAAGCACCGGGCTGAGATGGTGCTTGGCTTTGCTGAGCAGCGTAGTCGTAGCCAGGGGTCTGCGAGTTGTTTGATTGTGGGATCTGTTGGCCGAATGGGTCGTACGGCTTCTGAGGTGGGGCAGAGGCTTCCGACTGGATGCCTGGCTGACCATATCTGGCGAACTGGTTGTAGGGTTGATTTGATTGGGATCCCTGGTTCTGCATGGCCTGGGATGCAAGTGGGTTTGAGGGCGATTGGGGTAGGGTAGGCTGGTTTTGAGGAGCAGGGGGTAGTCCTGGGGCCTGCTTTGGTGTAGAAACGGACTCCGGCTGCTGAGTCTCTGCTTGAGGTGGCGCCTGGCGTGGAGCTGGGGGAAGAGAGGCTCTGGGCTGTGCAACAGGCGAATGCTGGGGTGGTTGAGTCCTGGTCTCTGCCTCTTCTCTGTCCTCATCAACATCTGGGTCGGATCCCTCACCCAAGCCCATACTGCCAAATTGGACAGCCGCCCGGTCTACAGCATGATTTCCGGGCATAACAACTGCCTCTTGTTGCTCAACCAGCCTCCTCTGGAAGCTTGCGCTTCGGTGCGGGGTTCCCGAAGTCGCCTTCAATGCGGTCGTCTGGTATCCTCCAACAGCGGGACGGCCGATGGGTGCTTGGGTTGGCCCATTCAAGGGGGTGGCAACAGCACTTCCAATATCCTTTGAGCTTGCAACAGTGCTGAAAGCTGTCTCTGTAGGGGGTGGGTGTGACTCGTCAGGAAGATGCTCAACATTCTCTTGTGTCAATTGATCCGCAGACGGTGGCAGGGCGACTTCGGGAGTAGCCACTCCAGGGCTCTTGTCTGGCGTCTTCTTGGGCGTATCCTCAATGGTAGGTGGTGGCGTTTCAACCGGTTTTTCTGCAACTGGGGGTATGGGCTGTTCTTCGGTCGGGACAACTGGTTCATTGGGAACGTCGTTCGCGGGCGTGGCTTCAGGTACTTGCGGAGGCGCTTCGGGAGCTGCAGCGGGGGCAGGCTTCGGAGCTGCTTTGGGTACCGCGGGTGCAGGTGCGGGCTTTGGTGCGGCAAACATGCTCGCCCAAGTCTTCTTTGCAACTGTAATGGTAGCCTCGACAGCAGGCTTGATGACTTCTGGGGTACTCTCGGGCGCCTGCGCGGTCGTCTCGTCATGTTTGCCCTCGCTGGGCTCTTCTCCGATAGCAGGCGTGTCCCATGCAGAGGACTCGTTCGTCGGGACTGATCCAGCAGCCGTACGAGGTCCAGCAGCGGCCCCACCACGGCCACCTCGAATGCCACCACGACCACGATCGGTGCCCCGGCCTCCACGGCCTCCACGACCGCTGTCAACTCCGCGGCGAGCGCCATCAGGCCGACCACGCAGACTGGAGGTTCCATCGGCCGGAGCGACGCCATCTTTCGCCTTTGAGCGGGACCTGTCCTTTACCTTCTTAGGGACTTCTGAGAATTGAGAGACGGAGCCTGTGCAATGTCAGCAAACGACGGGCCCCTTGTTGTGCAGAGTGTTGTCCCGCGTGCGCAGTGCACGGGCGCAGGAGGGGCGCTCACCCTCACTAATCTTCTCAATGGTGGTTTGCAGGTCGCCATCAGATTCTTCGATTGCGAGCACTAGGTCGGCGTCGGTCCATTCAGGAAACAGTTCCTTGAGTGTGGGTAACTGTGAGTTGTAGCGCTTCTTAAGCTCTCCGAGCTCGCCGTGGTCTGCTGATGTGTCAATGGTTGAAGATGCGCTGTCGCCGTTTGTTTTCCTAGGCCCTCGAGAGCCGTATGATGCCCTGCCGCCGCGGGCAGAGCTCCTGCCTCGCGCAGGCCGAGATGGTGCTTCAGACATTGAATCTGTGTGGGGTGTGGACAAGCCGCTGGCGACTTTGGGTTGTGTGAATGTGTGGGCGGGTGTGGTGGACGTGCGTGGTGATGATGTAGAAGGAGGTAAAGTTGGGGAAAGCTAAAGGGCAAGCGACCACGTCGTCTTGGCACTGGAGGTTCCAATGGCGCAGGACGCGGCAGTGTCGCGTTGGCTGGGGTCTGAGTGGGCTGTGTGGTATGCAGAAGTGAGGGGAGCGTTCAGAAGCGATTGATCTACGAATAGCTGGGGCGTATTGCTCCAGCCTGCCGTCTTGCGCGCGCGTCTAGCCCGTCACGTGTCATACAGGGCGCCCGCTTGCCGCAATCCCATGGCCGCTTGTGCCTGGCCCACCTCTCGTCATCGCCGCACCGCAACACGACTCACGATTCACGACAACTGACTGCGCCGCCATGCAGTCCGCCACCGGCAAACGCGTCCTGAGCACCCTCGCCTCCAAGATCCACCCCCAGCTGCCGCTTTCCCCGCGAGAAAGCCAGCAGTTGCTGTCTCTGCTTACCCAGTCCTTCCGCGCCCACCTCGACCGCGAACACCCTTTCCCCCCCTCGGAGAGCACCCAGAGAGCACCATCCCGGCAACTGTTGATTAGCAGTGGGCAGCGTGCCCCATCTCCGCACCATGCAGCCGCCTCTTCCTATGCCTCGACCACCCAGCATCTGGACTTGATCCTAAACAATCCACTGTTTGCAGTCAAGCCCCGCCGGAGAGGGTCGGGGTCTGCCGCCGTCGATGTCCTGAGAGACCCTGTTGGGTGGTTTATCAACGAAATAGCGTCTGGTTCTGCCACTTTACAAAAGGCGGCCATTTGCCTCGAAGTACTCGAGAAAACAACAAACGAAAGCCTATCGCGGCTCAAGGATGGAGCCACACCAGCAAATGTGCTTTCAGAATGGCTACGGACTAGTGGATTGGACACATCACGTCAATTCTTGGACATGTGTATATCAAAGTCAGGCAACGGCAGTAGATTCCTCGACAGGCTAGTGGCTTTACAGTTGACCGAAGGCGAAACCTCTGCACCATGGCGCTGGTTCATCCGATCGAATGAGCAGCGTGTCAAAGAAACTGGTCTGGACGTCTCAAGAGTGACCAAGTTCAGGCAACAGCTTCTGGAGAAGATGGTATCGATTGAGGCAAACACAAGCTTGAACAGCGGTCTGGCTACCTTTATGCAAGCATTCCGCTTCACGGAGAATGCGGGCTACGAATCAGCACACGGTGTGTTGAGGACCGCTGGCGGTCGTCTTGTCAACCGCATTATTTCCAGCCGGGACCAATCTATCGACCTTGAACTGTACCAATCATTCTCTTCATCGTTACAACGTTGGCTTGGAAGCTGGAGTCGAGCCGTCGAGGCCATGCTTTCCCTCCATCGACCTTCAGAAAGCAGTCCAATGCCAGGACTCAAGTTCATTGAGGACCCCGCTGGAGCCGCCACATTTGCACAGTCATCACGAAGCCGACGCAATTTCCTCGTCCAGCTATGCCTGGGTGTTGCCAGACAGCTTCTGGAACAAGAGAAGTTTTCACAAGCACATGTAGCCATGGAGTTCACCAAGATGCACTTTGCAGACCTTGTGCTACCAAAGCCAGCAACCCTGGCGCAACCAGCATCAGAGCCGTGGAGCGTGCGCAGGGAGCAACAGAACTTGGAATTGCTAGACCGGCTGATCCCTACCTGAAGGGGCATTGGAACGAAAAGAAGCGAAGAAAAAAACGAAACAAGAAAAAAAAATCACTCATAGTTGTGGCTCTATTTTTTTTTGCAAGCCATGATCAGGTCACAAGCGTGTCTTTTTGGGGTTTTGGCCAAATGTCAGATTGACAGGTCGCCACCGATGCGGGTCCAAGGGGTTTAATGGCACCGCACTTTGACCGTGCGGGGAAAGCGGCCGGCCTTGGAGTTTAGAAAACGTGGTCATCACATCGTCATAGCTGTACTACGATCAACGTAGAGTAAGCAAAATGAGGGGGAAAAGGCGCGATTTACATGCAACGCAACAATTGCCATACACACAGAAGCAAGCAGTATGCTGAATATGAAATTTAATTCATTTTTCAATTGGCTCTAAGAGCTGGTTATTCTACATTAGTCTGTAATAGACTTTCTCTCTCTGTCTCTTCCATTCTCTTGGTATCGCTCAAAATAACAAAGACAACAAGAATTGAAGAAGGAAGGGAAAAGAAGTCCCGTCGTATGTCATCATGATGTTTTAGTTTTGTTCGTAACACGTCTCGATTTTTTTACCCCGCTTTCCTTTGTACTGCTCTTTTACGCCTTGAGCTCTCCACCGTCGGTCTCCTCAGGCCAGACGTCGTAGCCAAAGGTATCCTTCATGTTGACAAAGCGTGTGTGCCTGCCTCGGGCGACCTCCTCGACGGCCTCGAAGTCCTCCTTGCTGAGCTCGGGAATGTTCCAGTTGCTCTCAATACGTGAGGGGGTGGAGCTCTTGGGCAGGACGACGTAGCCGCGCTGCAGACCCCAGGCCAGCAGGACCTGGGCTAGGTCGTAGCCGCTGCGCTGGGCGACCTCGTTGAGCTTGGCGTTTGTACGCACCTTCTCGCCGGTGCTGGGGACTTGGTTCTGGGAGCCGAGGGGCGAGTAGGCCGAAACGAGGATGTCGTTGTCCTGGCAGAACTTGACGAGGTCGGTGTTGGGGAGGAAGGGGTGGATTTCGATTTGGTTCATCATGGGCTTGACTTTGGCGAAGCTGAGGAGCTTCTTGAGGCCGTCAATGGTCCAGTTGGAGACGCCGATGGATTTGGCCTTGCCGGATTCGTAGAGCTCCTCCATGGCGCGCCATGTGGGCTCCGGGTTCTCTGTCAGGTCCTTTTTGATGATGTACCTGCCGTCGGGGCCGAGCTTGGGCATGTGGTTGTCGTCGCTCTCGGCGGCAATGGGCCAGTGGACGAGGAAGGCGTCAATGTAGTCCATGCCCAACTTGGTCAAGCTGCTGTTGAAGCTCCATTTGACTTGGTCGGGCTCGTGGAGGTGGTTCCATACTTTTGTGCAGATGAAGAGATCTTTGCGGGTGACGCTGGGGTTCTCGTTGAGGAAATCGCGCACGGCGGCGCCGACCTCCTCCTCGTTCTGGTAGAACCAGGCGCAGTCGAGGTGGCGATAGCCCGTCTTGAGCGCGGTGGTGACGGCGGCGTACGTCTCGCCGGATGCGCCCTCACTGGCAAAGGTGCCGAAGCCGACGGCGGGGATGGTGACGCCGTTGTAGAGCTTGTAGGTCTTTTGGTTGGCAAGGGGAGCCATGGCTGCGGGGTGCGGAGTTGAATGCGAGCAAGATTGGCGGGAGGGGGTCTGTCACTATGCTTTGCACAGAGGGCAGGAAAAGAGGGATGGATGGAGCTGAGCGAGGGTTTTCTTGTCGACAGCAGCAACGGCGGCGTGGCAGGCGTGCAAGGCTACATATGGCGAGCGCATGTCGGGCCTGGTGAAATTTCAAACTTTCCCCCTCTCGTCACCCTTGGCTGTGCTGCTGTCATCATCGCTCCATGGGCCACGCCCCGAGCAGCCCGCCGCAGCCAGACGGGCGTCCCTCGACAAGCGGCATGCGGCCAATCGCGGTGGCACTGTGGCAGCATCGGTCCCATTGCGAAAACTCGTCATGATAGTGCCATCCAACAGTTTCACAGCGACGCTGAGGTGTTGTCAGTTGCTGGCCGCCATGACGTCGTATGTGGATCTCCAGGGTCCACTGCACGGGCCTGCACGGGCCGGCCAGGGCGAGCGTGGGACAGAGCAAATGCTGCGAGGGGCAGTTTTGCCGAGTGTCGTCGACCAAGGCGACAGCCAGCAACCCGCGTAGTCAGCACCCACACCCACACCCACACCCACACCACCAACCGAACATGACGCCTAGCACCATCCAACGCCCTCGCTCGGCTGGTGCGGCTCTGCCCTCTCCAGCCGCTCGCTTCGCTGCGTCCGCCCTAATTCGGCGAGGCGCGCTCAAGGCCCCACCCGTCCTTCGTCACTGCGACATGATGCTCCCTGCACCATCCTCGTTCTGCTGCACTCGTCTCTACACAATTCCCACCCGTCGACCGATAGCATATGCACGCCAATCCGCTTGGGCCGGCGGAGGGCGTCTCCTCGTCAATCAAATCCTTCCGGCCGCGCTCACTTTTCCGCTTGCATGAGGCTCTGCGCTAAGCTTTCGCGGCATAGGCGAGACGTATACAGCCATGTCTCCAGGTGTTGTGGCGACTCACATGTCGCCATCCCTATCAGTCCCCAGTTTTCGGCTTTATCCCGGCGGTGACGGTATCCAGTTCTCATTCTCTGGTCTGGCAAACTCGTCCCCTAGCGCTCTTCTGCACGGCCGTACCTGAGCCATGATGATGTCGACCTGTGGGTACAGAGATACTTGTTGAACCCATTGAATGCTAGCTGGTCCTTGGTCTGTCGGCCTAACTCGGGATAGCCAAGGCCTGTCTCCAAACTTTCCACTCGATACTGGCAAATGACGAGGGCATATGGCGTCCATCACCCATCCGACCTGACAGCTGAGATGATGATATATAGCCCCTCCCCCAGGACCCTGATGTCAACTATCCACCATCACCTCCTCTCCACAACTTCACTCACTTTCACATATAGTTTCTGTGAAGTTTCAATCCATCTTTTCAAACTTGATATACATATCCCTTTTACATCATCACCATCATCAACATGTCTCCCGCAGCTTTTGACGAGAAGGAGCTGGCTGAGACTCCCCTCACCCAGACAAAGTCCAACACCAACAATGCTCGCTCGGGCTCCCTTGCTGTTGGAAGCAGCGAGCTTCCCATCCCTGGCGATGCTCACGATGACGGCACCGCCAACGCCATCGAGGTCCCAGCAACCCGCAGCGCCATTGCTGACACCACCAACTACATGCACAATCTTTCCCTCTCGCCTTCCATGAAGGAGAGGAGAGGATCCCGAAACTCCTTCGGTACCTCACTGCCCATCCCCCGCTCAAAGAGGCAGTCAAGGTTGTCTTCCGTACACTACCCAGATGGCCACGGTGCTGCCAAGCGCCCCGGCATGCCCGCCATCCAGCCATCTCGTGATATCATCGCTGCTCAGCTTCAAGACTTGGCTAGTGAGAAGGTTCACGCTGCCAAGGACATGGCTTTCGTCTTCGACATCGATGGTGTCCTTGTCCACGGTGACCGTCTCATTCCCGAGGGTCAGCGCGTCCTCGAGATCTTGAACGGAGACAACCAGCTCGGCATCAAGATTCCACACATCTTCCTCACCAACGGTTCCGGTAAGCCTGAGCAGGCTCGTGTCGACCAACTGTCCAAGATCCTCCACAACCCCATCTCCACCGAGCAGTTCATCCAGTCACACACTCCCATGCGTGCTTTGGCCGAGTACTACAAGACCGTCCTTGTTGTCGGTGGTGAGGGCTACAAGTGCCGTGAGGTTGCTGAGCAGTATGGCTTTGAGGACATTGTCGTCCCCAACGACATCGTTGCCTGGGACCCCACCATTGCCCCTTACCGTGTCTTCACTGAGGAGGAGCGCAAGACTTCCCGCCCCCGCGACTTCAGCAAGACCAACATCGAGGCTATCATGGTCTTCTCTGACAGCCGTGACTACGCCACCGACATCCAAATCATCATGGACCTCCTCCAGTCCGAGAACGGTCGCCTGGGCACCAGGGCCAAGGACCCCGTCTCCCAGCGCATCCCCATCTACTTCTCCCAGGGTGACATGCTCTGCCCCACCGAGCACCCCTTCCCCCGCATGTCCCAGGGTGCCTTCCGCATTGGTCTCGAGGCCATGTACAAGTCGCTCACTGGTGTTGAGCTCGAGCGTGTCGTCTACGGTAAGCCCGAGTTGGCTACCTACAAGTACGCCGACGAGGTCATTGCCAGCTGGATGGAGACGATCCACAACGAGGAGAAGCTGCCTTCTCACATCTACATGATTGGTGACAACCCAGCCTCCGACATCATCGGTGGTAACATGTACGGCTGGAACACTTGCTTGGTCCGCACTGGTGTCTTCCAGGGCGGCGACAACGACGAGAACAACCCCGCCTCGTTCGGTGTCTTCAAGAACGTTCTCGAGGCTGTCCAGACTGCCATGAAGAAGGAGCTTGGCGAGGACTTCCAGTTCAAGTTTGATGAGAAGATCAACCCTGTTATGCAGGAGGGTGGTGTCTCTGCTATTGCCTAGAGTACTCTGACTCTCTTGCTTTCAGCAACAACCTTGATGTGACGAAAAGGTTTTCCTTTATTGCATTTCTACGGCGTTTTGTTTTCTTCCTTTTTTTCCCTTTGATGGTCGATATATCCTTTGCATAGCGCGCATCGCTTGCATTATAGATTAACGAAGCTTCTTTTTCTTTTTTTCCCTTCTTTGGCTGAATACACGAGATAAAAGTCTCCTTTGGGGCTCTTGTTATCTTATTAGTTTATCAATAGATCTCATGAATTTTAAGGAAAAAGCTTCTTTTTTTTTCAAACTACACATCTCGCTCTCTCTACTTGTTGTTGTTCTGACTTCACGTGACATGCACATATTCACTTTGCCTTACTTACCTACTCTTCATCCTCGTCGTCAAACCCAACCAGCCCCCGTTTCAACCTCACCGTATTAACCTCACCATCAGCCTCCCACACAGCTCTACATTCGTACCTCCCATCCAACCTCACCCAGACATCCCACATTAAATACCGTGCGAGTACCCTACTCTGATACAACGCAAACTTGGCCTCCCTCCCCCCACCATCCCCTTCATCTCCATCTCCATCTTCCAACCCAAATCCCACAACTCCGCGCAGTGCCGCGTCCACACTACTCCCTTGTCGCTGCTGCTGTTCCTCATCATCATCACCTGACCTAACACCGTCTGGCGTGAAAACATGCCACATCACCTCTCCCGCCGCCACCACGGGCGTCGCCCCGCACGCAGGCGCGCCATACTCATCATACCACTGTCCCAGCGCGTTAAACCTGCTTCGGACATATAAGCTCCATTGGAGCGAGAAGCCGTGGTTGCGGTAGCATCCTGCCTAATTTACACACACCCCTTCCTGGTTAGTAAAATATTTAAAATACATACTATGTAGAGATGATGATTGATTGGATATTCCGGGAGCCCAGGGAAAGAAGGGAGGAAGTGGGCGAAAGGGGGGTGGGGGACACTTACGATTACGGAATTCTGGTGTCGTCGGATAAGCAGGGTGGTTCCGCCCTTGCGGCCCTCGACTTCGCGCTTGTATGTGAATTCTTGAACGGAGGGGTTGAGAAAGGCGGTTATGCAGGCAGTGTTTGTGTGGCTGAGGATTGTGGCGGTGGCGTCGCAGAGGCGTGGGTGGGCGGCTTGTAGGAGAGGGTCTTGCGTGGTGAAGTAGCGTGCGAGGTCGATGACGTGCATGGTTCGGGGGGAGGAGGTGGTTGAGGAGGGGAAGATGCTGGAGCGTGGGAGGAAACAGGTAAGCATTATGGAGTCGCTGAGGTCGCCATTGGGAGAGGTGAAGTAGGTATTTTTGAGCATGGAGAGTTTTTCGTCGAGGTCGGTTTCTTCTTGGTTGGGGCGGTTGGTTGGCGGGAGGGGGATGAGGGATGTGATGGTCGATGTGAGGCGCGACAAGGCACTGCCGTCTTTTTGGGAACTAGATACTCCATTCTGTTGCCCGGGGTTCTTGAAGGACGCGTTGAAGGTGTTGGTGATGCGGTAGGCGTCTACTTCGGCCCATTCTTCGTCAGAAGGGTCCCATATAGAACCGCCTGCGAACGGAGATGGGTTGTGTGGAGTCGCCAGTTTGGTGGCTGTCAGATGGCGAATGGAGAATGATGCGGAATATCCAGAAAGCGTCGCTTGTAGGTTGATTTGGAAGGCAACGGGTTGGTCAAGGTAAGCCGTGGAAGATGCGGAGTTGCTAACCGTGTCTGATACTGAGACTGAAACGTGGGTGTTACTTGAAGCTGGGCACTATGCGTTATAATCTCCATGTGAATCTGGTCGTATTTATGGGAGCCTTGAGGATCAGTTTGTAGTTTGAGCCACTCACTCATTGATCGTTTGCGTGACAAACAAGCGCAATGCCAAACACGTCATGTTCCTCCAGACGGACATGTTTACTGCCGTAAGTGAGAACATTGTAATAGTTAAATACAAGGAAACCTGGGCATGCCCATAGAGCCTTCTATGGTTAGCGATATGGTGGTTTGTCTCCTGACATTTTGAAAACACCGGATATAGTTATGTACGACATGGACTTAGAGTTTTGGAAATATTCAGATCTGAATTGGTCTTGCAGGGCTTTTCAGGACGTGGACAGCGATGTTATTCAAACTAGGCCCGAGAACTAGACTAATTAAGTAAAGTCGTGGTTGAATTGGAGTGTGTACAGGGTTGAAGATACAGGTGTACCAACGCGTTGCGTATTTGAGTGGTTCTACAAAGATACTACACAAGCTTTCTATAATCTTATAGTTGCGCGCCGCTTGAAGGTAGATCTTTTGTGGTGACGAGAAAATAGAAGAAAATAATAGTATGAAAGGTGAAGAGGGAAAACGCGAGGTCAAGGTCTCATCAAGGCTGAACTTAGCCTCGATTAGGAGGAAACACTTTGGACTGTTAGAAAAGCCAAGGCATAGTGCTAAGACATGAATCATTGCATATAGCCTAAATTCAAACCCCACAATACACGAGACCAATGGAGTGTGATGCGGCTTGTTAAATATTTGGAATGTTGACGGAAAGTAGAAAAGGTAGGCTGCGAGCGAAGGAGGAGCGTTGTGTGAACGGATCTAATCTGCTAATCGAGTAGTACTCTTAGCAAGAGGCACTGAACGTGATGATGACATTGCCTAGACATTTTTCAGATTCCCTGCACATCTTGAACTCTGGCATTAGACTCAGAGACAGCCACAAAGCGTCACAACCTATCCAAGGCACTTGAGGAGTTGGTAGTTTTCGATTCATTCAGGAAAAGGCCAGACTCTTTGATATCAGTCGTGATCGCATCTCCCACATATCTGCCATATGCTCCGTAGCCGCTGCAAGAACAACTACGCCATCATTTTGTCCATCCTCGTCAAGTCCGTATAGATGCCCATAGCTTTCGCAAAGAACTCCGGTAACCGAATGAAATGCCGCTTCCCTCTCTTTTTTCCCCAGAGAGTTGATGCGCTTATCGCAGACGCCTGGCCTCACGTTCGGACTCGAGCAGGCAGAGAATGTCGTTCTCGCGGACTAAGATGTTGGAGTCAGCTACGGCCAGAGGGGAGGGGCGGCGAAAGAGAAGCGGGCAGGAAGAGATCCTTACCTGGGCCCTTGACGTTACGGATGATGGAACGGGTCTGGTCGTCCATGAACTCGACACGGCACTGGGTGACACCACCACGGGAACCTATAAGAGACCGTCGTCAGCCTTCAATTCCCTCTATCTCTCGCACGTTTCTTGCGGCGCGTATGTCGCATGCGGGCCTCTGTGCAGCAAATTTCGGCAAATTTCGCGTACCGGTTCGGCCAAGGACACGGGTGACCTTGACGAGCTTGACGGGAGCCTTAGCTGAATCCATTATGTGCGGTTGTATGTGTTTTTGACGGGAGTCGGTCGGTCGGTGTGCGGAAGAGCTGGGTTGGGCGTCGGGATGGAGTTGTCGCTGGCTAGAGGCTCAGAGCGATCGTGGGCTGGCAAAATCTAAGCGAAGGCTAGAGCAACCGGGGTTGGCGCACGGCCCACTTGACTACCATTCGATGGCGGACCTTTACCTCTACACCCAATCACTCGCATCAGGGGTTTGCGCATTTTCTTGCTAAACAGAATATAGTAAAAAACTCGTGATTTTATGAACAATCAATCAACTGTTTTGAGGTTGTTACTGCGGATATCGTATCCTGCACCCTCACAACTGTGCCAAGACTAGTGGGAAAGAACACACCAACGCTTACTTACTTGATACATTCTTTATTCCTAGCTAACATGTATCTATGAAAACACTTACAGTCGGTATTATTCACATGTTTCAAGATCTTGGAGTTTGTATCATATAATGAAATCCATTCTGCGCCAGCATGATAGCGCCCAGGTCGTCAACTAAGCAAGATGTCAATCATTTGATTACATGGTCATTCTATTAGTTCATATCATATATAAGTCATTGAAATTTTTCTCCTTCCAACATTACGCTGCGCCGGTACCATCCTTCCAGTAAGTACCAAGCCACTCATACGGCTCCTCCGGTACATACTGGTTCAAGATCTTTCCCTCAAACTCAGTAATATGGTCGCGCGTCAGATTATACAGCGCATATTTCTCATCGGGCCCAGTTCCAACAGTATAAGGAACTGTTTGGACATTGTTTCCAATCTCCTTGTCGACGTACCGGTCAACATCTACGACCTGGGAATCCTTGATGCGGTATTCGTCACCGTAGTTGGGGTTGATCTACCGTCGTTTGTGAGTTTTGAGTTTATCAAATAAATGGAATTGAAGTGTCTCGACTTACTATACCCATCCTTGTACCCTTTACAGCAATGACGTTCTGGATGGTGACATTGCGCTTTGCCTGGTTGAGGCAGTTTCCGCAGGATTGATAGAAGGTACCAAAGTTCTCGGCGTAGAAGCCCGTGATGTTGAATTTGCCTCCTAACGAGTTGTCCTGGAAGATCTTGTCGGTTGCGTTGCGTGCGCCTCCGCCGATGACGCGGAGTTGGGTGTTCAGGCCCTTGGACGTGAGTGCGTCCTCACATACATCCTCCCACCATACTGTTGCACGACAAGTCAGTGGTTTGTTCAATACTCAAAATGAAACGAACTGTCTTACCATTCTCTACCCAGGCATCTCCAAGAGCATGAATACCTTCGCTCTGGTGTTTACCAATAATCACATTCCGGATTGTAGCTCCAGGAAGTAAGTTGAAGACAGCATCCGCGTCGGTTCCTTCTGCCTGCTCACTGCAGCTACCTTCAACACGCTCGTATCGCTTCATTTGCCCATCGAAGACCTGGCCAGCAGCAATGTACATAGCCTCTTGGAGCACAACAGTCTCAGTCGGGATGGGAAACTTTGTGACTGGAAAAGGGAATTTTGGGGGAGGTCGTGCTCCAAGATCACCCTGTGTCGAGTCTGCGCTACCTTGGGCTCCATCGCCATTCTGGCGCGGTATCACTGCTGCCGTGGACAGTGCAGGTAGAAGGGGGAGAATGACTGAGGTAGAGAACTTCATATTGAAGACTGTATCTGAAGTGGAATATCAACCAGACTCTTGAGACTGCTATTTTGGCTTCTAAATGGAGCTTCAGTAGTGCAAACAAAGAGGTATTCCACAATTAACAGAGCACATCCAGCCTTTATACCTCACCCGCCACGCCAACATGCCCAGCAAGTAGTCTCTCGATCACCTCCATCACGCACACTTCTCCACGCGCAACCCCGTATTCTAAACCCATCCCAAACCCTTTTAGGTATACTATGTAGGCGCAAGCAGGCTCTAGCTTCCCCCACAACTTGCTCCCCAGAACGCCACAAACTGCGTTCCCCAAGCCAACCGGAAGAAGTTACGTCCCACGTCTTTTGTTTCCATGAATAAAAGGTGCCAGCGTAATGTCAGTGAGAGTACTTGGCATGCGGTTTACCCGAGCATAGCAGTGTAGCCTAAGGCCGTGAGGTGCATTGCCAAGGCGATGCCACGCAGTAGTACACCCGGTGGTGATTTTCTCCACGAATCATACGGGTACTTGGCGGCTTTGTTTCCCCAACCTCGAGGTATCTGTGCTCCTCGTATATTCTGGATCGTCATTCCCGGGGTAAAAGTGGATTCGTGCTCTAGGGTTTGCTCATTGCTATGTGTTGTGGTTGTGTTGTGGATTTGAGAGTTCATGTACGTAAGTAGTAGTAGTACTATGATTGGAATTCCAAAACTTGAAATCCTAACTAGGGGAAAATCATGTTCTATGGGTTGCGGGTGGAGTAATGTGTAGATAAACAGTCGCAAACGGCCCGTAGTCTTGGACCCTAAATCGTAGTACCGTCTTGGGACCGTATGGCAAATACTCGGCCATTGTACATCTGCATATTGCAATAGACCATAACGCACTCTTATTCCCACTGGTCAGCCATTTCCTTTACAGCCTTCTCCAAACTATCCCACCCGGATCCCTTGACTCGTTTCAGCAACTCCTCTGCTCTCTGATTCGGAACCTTCATCTTGTCTTCGCCCAATCCCTTGATATTTTCTGGGAACTCCCTCTCGGGATACTGCTTACGCCAAATGTTCATTATCTTGTTGTAGCTCCACGGCTCTGCGAATGCAAAAATGCGTTCGGAGAGTACGTCGCTGTAGATCAATGCAGCTACATGTAGCAGCGCGCAGTCGACGGTATGAACATACCATTGTGGGACGGCAAAGGTGGTGAATGCTTCAAGATTCGTACTCGTCCAAGCGAAGTGAGCCCACTGGATGGTAGATGGTTTGCCTTGGCGTTCGGGGAGGAGAAGGGCGCCGAAGTTCACATTTGGTAGCTGTTACAGTTAGTATTGTATATAAAACGATATCTGGGATTACGACTGACAATGGAATTCAAGACAAAGCTTGGTTTGTTCTCTTCCATCCACTTTACTATGGCCTTTTCCGTCTCTGTCTTCATGGCCGCATAGCCCAGCAATCCTGATCCATTTCCCTGCTCTCTGACACGTCTTAGTGCCTCTTCGTTGAAGGTACCCTCGTCGATTGAGAACTCTACATCGGGTTGAGGGAAGGTCGCGGCGATCGATGATGAGGTAAAGACGAAGCGCTTGACCGAAGGAGTTTTCGCGCAAGCCTTGAGGGCATTGAGAGCGCCTTTTACCGCGATGGGAATAGCCACGTTGATGTCCGAACTCTCACTAATAGGTGCTGCGACATGGATGAAGCCGTCAATACCTGGTAGTAGAGTAAGCCTAGCTGCCATCTTTGCCAAATTAGGTGTTGTAAGACTTCAACATACCTTGCATGAAATTGTCATAGCAACCTTCGATAGTCATATCCGGTACGTTAACCAGCTCCAGCTTTGCATTTTTGTACTTTTCACTAAAATAGTCGGCCAAGTATTGGTGCTTCTCAGCATTTCTCACTGCGCCACGAACGTTGTATCCCCTCTGTAGCAATTGATCGGTGATATGGCTTCCGATCAGACCATTGACGCCCGTCACAAAGACAGTAGTCCCAGATTCGAGCGCAAGAGTAAGCATAGTGAAGCAAGAGCTGTCAAGTATGATTAGGAGGCGGGATCCTCAAGGTATGCAGGAAAGGAGTATGAGCAGAAGTGAGCAATGGTTTTTCGACAAGAAAACTTGGATTCTGTTGCCAGATCAGAGAGGAGTTTATCGGATGAGGTATTTAAAACCAAATACTTGCAAGATGAGAGATTAAGTACTTTTGTGGAGAGTGTCAAGGTCGCCAGCCACTAACCGTATTTGGAAAGGCGTGTTCGCCTGCATGCTGAAGGATGGCTTGCTTACGGATAGGGTTCAGCATCACACCTCGGTTTTATCCTATTAGCGAGCATTGGCGCTGATATTTTCTTGGAATAAATCTGAACAGCAGTAGTTCGGCTTGGATCTCTTGTGACGTAGAGCATGTAGCTCCGAATGAAAAGAGACTGCGTTCTCGTTGGAAGAGGAGTCATGATAAGTGAAATGTAGCAATTTATCATGAAAAGAGTTTGTGCTACAATACGTGTGATCAAGTGATGTTTTCATATTGGAGCTGTTTAATTCTGCATAACTTTGCAGGAGGATAAGATCACCCGACCGTTCTGACATTTCGACGTGATTGATAAGGGGCATGATTCGTCATAAAGATATTGAAGCAAAAAATATAGAGATGTTGAATTTGATTATTCTGTCTAATTCGAGGCTAATCCTCGCACTTCCATGTGGATGCCTGAGAGATGTAGGACTTTGCTGCGTCTGATGATGTGTTTTCAGGCGCCCCGGAAAAGGACGTAGTAACGAGTTGATTAGCCAGGGTCTTGACTGTGTCTTGGCCAAGTATGCGGAGCAAACGTAAAGTCATGAAGGCTGTGAACTTCAGTTAGAGGAGTAAACTTTTGTTCTCTCCGAGAGAAACCGCTTCCGTGGGAGATTGAGCACCTTGGTGCTCCACAAGTTTTGACTTCGAACCTGATACAGAAACAAAGTAATCCTGCATTTCCTTGTTTCGAACAATTTGGGCATTTCATAGAGGTATAAGCAAGAATGAACTCTTGGGAGGCAGCAGGTCATGCGCGCATAATATTGATATTTTACAATCAAAAACAAAACGGCGCATGCGGCTTTCTGTATGTAATCTTATATAATTGGGATAATCACATTTACAGCTTTCCTCTGCTCTTCTCCATCTCCTCTTGTAGCACCAATCCAACAGGACCACCACGGCTTCCATCACCCGGCCACTGATCCTCAGGAATGCGTTCAGCGGGCCAATCCCAAAGTCCCTTGAAGTCCTCGGGTGTTCGACCTTGCAGACATTCTACAATGCTGTCACCAATGACGGGCAGAAACTTGAAGCCATGGCCTGAACCACCCGTGGCGACAAACAGACCGCTATACTTGGGATGGTACGATATCAAAAAGTCACCGTTCCTTGTGTCCGTATACCAGCAAATCTTCGATTTGGTAAACGGCCGTGAGGGCGTAGCAATCGAGGGATGTATTGCCCTGAGGAAGTCACGACATTGGCGTTGCCCTTCTACCGGAACAGCTTGTGTAGGATCATCGACACCTGTGTAGGGCAGAGAAACCGTGATTGTTTCATTCGGGTCGTCTGACTCGGGATGCGAAATGGTCGTCGGATTGACGTAGCCATGACCGTGGCGTGCCACCTTGAGCAACCTCTTAGAGGGCGGAATCATGAAAAGCCCATGTGAGAGATTCAAGAGAGTTGGCCTGTTGGCCATCTTCGCTTCCTCTTCCTCAGATATTGGCATATAGCATATGGCCTGTCCGGTCGCTTTGCAGATGCCTCGTAGATCTATTAGCGACGCTGTCCATGCGCCTGCTGCCAGTATTGTCAAGTCGGCCTTCAGCTCACTCGAATCGTTCAACCGGACGCCAGACACAGTGCTGGTCTTATAGTTGATCAGCAACTTCTTCACTGGTTTGGTGACAAACTTGACTCGATTCAAACTCTCGACCTTTTCCCGCAACCAAATCATAGCCCCCTCAGCATCAGCCCAGCCAGAGCTCCAGTTGACGTATCCTGTGGATCCGTTGCCCCATGGAGCATTGCCCTCAAGACCACATGCTCTTTGTATTTCTTCTGCGGAGTTGAGGACTTCGACCTTATCTGTTCCTATTGCCCGGACATTTGCCAACGAATCTGGCACGTACTGTTGTTCCGGCCCCCAGGCAGTCACACACAGTCCGACTTCATGGTAGTGTTCGGTCGCAAAATCGGTTCGCCAGCGGTTCTGCGCAATAGTTGCTAGGCGGGTGTAGCGCGCGGCGGCATAGTCGGGGCGTATGATGCGCGAGGTGTCAATCTATTTGTGCTTGTCTGAGCGTTTGGTCTTTGTGGTAATGACATTATGCGACAACCGGAACAGCTTGCTCGGCAGGGTGCATAAGTGCCATGTTGAATTGCTGTACTTACGCTCGAGCCGTCAGGTGTAGGAAAGGGCTGTCGGTCTACAACAGTGATTGAAGTATCTTTGTACTGAGGGTTTCGAGATAGAGAGTAAGCAGTTGAAAGGCCAAATGCGCCGCTTCCGACGATTAGAATGGATGAAGGTATACTGGAGACTGTAGAGGGAGCCATTGCGCACAGTTTGAAAGAGAACTATATGCAAAACAAAACAAAAACAAAAAAAAGCATGAAGCAGAGAGGTACAAGGAAATACTAGACTCACAGACTTGAAAAATCCCGACCAACAGCCGCTGGTAGGCCGATATCGTCGACTGATTAACGGCAGGTATCGGTAATGTATGGGCCGACCCTGATGGCTTGCAGGGCGCTTTGACACTAGACTACTCCCGACCGATTGGATCGCGCGTCAAAAGATTTGAGGCTCCAAGCCAACATTTGCTGGCCTCAGCAATTGAAAACCAACCACACTCGCCACGCACTTGATCGATAAACATTGGCGCGCCATGGCGAAGCTGCCTAAGCCTCCCAAGTCGTTTCCTATAAAATCTACTATACCGACGAAGCCTGCCGCGCCACTGCCCCGGCGAATTCCCCGAACGCAGCCGACGGCTGAGCATCTGCTACGAGTACCCGAGAACCAGACGCCCGAACAAGCAGCTAAGAGAGTATGGGCGGCACGACCAAAGCTATCTGATCTCCAGCGGCTGTCGGACGAGGAGTTGAGGTCGGCGCAGCACCAGGCCAAGCTGCGACAATGGAGGCAATGGCCCATGTTCGGCATTGGTCTGATCGCATTCGGGATGGGCACATACGCAACAATGCTCTGGACATCGCTGACTCATGAGGCCGACTTGAAAGACCTGCCGGTGGATCTTTCTGATCGGTTTGACAAGGAGGCTGAGGGGTACGACGAGAAAGTGGATACATCGGAGATGCTCCTCTTCCTAACTCGGAAGCGCAAGAAGCTCACAGCCATGGCAAAGGGACATGTGTTGGAGGTGGCCGTGGGCACAGGCAGGAACATACCCTATTACAAGACGAAGCAATGCGCGACGGTAACGCTGCTGGACTCGAGTGGGCCTATGCTGGAGGTTGCCAGGCGGAAATGGAACGACACGCACAAGGAGTACTTTAGCCGCGTCTTTTTTAAGCATCAGTCAGCCATTGATCCAATAACGCCTCCGTATGGCGCGCAAGATGGATACGACACGGTGTTGCAGACGATGGGGTTATGTTCGACGCCGGAGCCCGTCAAGCTACTGCAGAACCTAGAAGCGTCGACTAATGAGGATGGGCAGATACTGCTTCTGGAGCATGGAAAGTCGCATTACGAGTGGCTCAACAAGATGCTAGATAAGACGGCCCCCACACATGCCGATGAGCATGGCTGCTGGTGGAACAAGGACATTGGCAAGATTGTCGAGGAGAGCGGCTTGGAGGTTGTCGAGATGAAGCGCTATAACTTTGGCACGACGTGGTGGCTCCAGTTGAAGCCGAGGAAAGGCATACGGCAGAAGCGGACTACGGCAGGTTCAGGTGAGCAGCCGGCCACTGCGCAGGCCGGGCCGGCAGTCGAACACAAGCCATGGTGGTGGTTGTGGAGTTGAATACATAACCGTCCGTCTCGTCATCTCCACCCCGCATTATCGAGAGTGGAGACCTGGCACGACTATCAGACACAAGGCATGCAATGCTCAGTCTGGACTACTCGACGGCTACGTACAGCTGCGCATACGTAGCCCCAGGGGGGCGCTGGGTCGGGCAGGCCAGGCAAGGCCAGGCAGCTTTTGTTTTTGCCCAAGGTGACGCAAGGCTTGGGCATGGCTGAGATGAAGGAGGGGCACGACCGGATGCGGTAATTCCAGGATGGCGAGCGAGAATCGTCACTTGGGAGGACCCAAGAGCAGGTGAAGCGAGATCTGCGGTTGGGATCATGGGCAATGCACAAACGATCGCGTCACCATCACTACTTTGCAAGCGCACGGCGGCTCATCCAAACTTTGATATGTTTTACCATGAGGCCAGGCCATGTGCTTTCGCGTGCTTTGGGCGTGGGCGGGAGGCCCGTTGAGCAGGCAGGGCAAGGAGATGAAGCTGCGTGCTCGATCACACAACAGCCCTCTGACTCGACGTGTTGGCTTGTGGAAAGAAGCAAACAGACATGCGTCTTCACCGTCTTTCACGACTTGCCAACTGCCTTATCCAGCCTGCACTTCGTCTGGGGAAGAAGGATAGTGCATCCGCAAAACTGTGTGCCCGCAGCCCAAGTGCGGCGCCAAACCTTCCAGTTCCCCACAAAAGGTGACGCTGAGCTGCGCATGCAGGCCAGGCTTGGCGGGCTGCGGCTAGCCGGATGGGGCAAGGATGTCTGCATAGCCCATGTCGCATCATCCGAAGTCATGGCAACTCGCGTGCGCAATGTTTGGGGCACTTTCACCATGGCCCCCCCCCCTCAGTGCGGGCATTGCGTGCGACAGAGGCGCCACGATGCCCATTGCTGGACGCAGGCACGCTCACGCGGGATGTTGGCAGCTCGTACGAAGCGGTGGGCGTCCTTGACTCGCCGTGGGTGGCAGCAACGCTCCTCGGTGCCGGCAGCGCCTCTCCGTTCACATGTCGACGTTGCCGAGGACTGGCCGCATGGCCACAGCGAAAAGTTCCGTCAAAGAAAAATTCGCGAAAAAAGTGTGCTCACCGCCCTGGGGCATCCCGGCTCCATCGTTGAGGCTAAATCCACTTTTGCAGCTAGACGAAACCTCTGGACAGGGATGCTCGCACGCTGGAACTGGATGATATGCACGCAGCATCAGATCATGGAAAAGCGTCCAACCAGCCGCGACGTGGCCGTTGCAAGGCCTGGAGAATGGCATCAATTGAGGCGGTCAGCTGGCGGGACAGCTGTGACGACCCGCCCGTGTGCAGGCAGAGGGATGCCAATGCCAATGGAGGGGCGGATGAGGGACGTCAACCACGGCGAGATTGACACCCGTCGCGGAGGTTTATCGGCTACGACGCATTCCCACAAGCATGGTTTAGCAAGGCCCACTTATCTCGTGCCCGGCGCCAGATGTTAACAGATCCAAGCTTGACACAACAAGAGGGGCAAGCCGTCAATGGCAACCGTGGGATTGGCCGAGCCCACGCCTTGTGCACAAGGCGTGAGAGCAGCCAGCCGGTGAAGGCAGGCCTGGAGGGGCGGCTACTTACTCTACCTTGGCCGGCTGCTGGAGACGACCATGTACAAGTACGTTGCCGCGTGGTACATGCGGGCGGCCACGGCATCTTGATAGGAGCGTAACGCTCTAGCCCCTGGCCAACAAAGCAAAAACGGGCTCTAAAAGTAGTATGCTGTCATAACCAGCCTGAGCATTACTGGACTGGGTACATTCACCCTACCAGCAGCGCACGGTCTCGTGCCGGAGCCTAGTCGCTCGCTCCTTCTTCACCCAGTTGCTCCACCACGCCTCCGACCTTTCCCTCGCAACCTCCCCTCTTCCCACCACCCCTCGAACTCCATCAGGGACCATTGTCCATTGTGCTGCCTGCGTCTCGCCCCTTGCCTCTTTCTCTAGTTCTTTGCTTGCTGTGCTGTTGCGGCGACACTTTGCTGTGCTGTTGCAACCCTCTCGTTGCCGTCTTCCTACTTAAGAGGCAAACCCATTTGCCATCGCTGCCTTGCCTATTTGCTGCCTTCAGGAGGCAACTTGCGTAGCTGCGACGACACGAGTGCCACCCTCAGCATTCACCCACTCTCTACCTCTGCCTACACCACCACACCCACCGACGACCATCCCTCCTCTTCCTGCCCACAGTAATCAGGCGCCCTCCTCGACGCCATCCCTGCAGTGCAGAACAAAGTTGCATATTTCGGCGGCAGCGCTTGGTGGCATAGGCTGTAGTGCATTCCTACCGGACCAATCCACATCCCTGAGCCTTCTCGCAGTCACCAAACACTTGTGGCTGCACACCCATTACCAGCCTTAATAATATATCTTTCTCCCTGCAAAGGCTACCCTTTGTCTTCTTCTCTTATCTTACCGCTTGCGCAACTGCTGCGACCGAGTCGCTGCGACAAGATGCCCTACAACACCCGCCGCAAGTCCCTGTCGCTGCCCTCACTCGGCATCCAGCTCCCAGGAGCGCCCCGAACGGTGCGCTCACCGCCTTCGACAAGCGACGGCCAGCACGCCGCAAAGAAACAGAAACGCTCGCATTCGGGCTCTCTCTCGTCCTCGCTTGCATCACCACCACGCCCATCGGCGCTGCGTATCGACGAGCACCGACCCAAAAGCTCAGGCCGCGTCGCCGACACCCCGCCACCGTCACCAGGCGGCGAGTCTGGCATCGCCAAGATCGACACCCAAGGTATTGATGACGAGATTGTTGTCGGTGTTATCGAGCAGCTCGAAAAGACAGGCAACCGACCCCATTTACTCAAGGAGCTTGCCCTTGTTCTGTCGCCCATCATCCCCATTGTCGAGAGGTACGTACCCAACCTTGGCGCGTGTTCATAATTACTTATGCTGATGTGCGCTAGCTCTGCCAACCCAGCAGCCATCATCTCGTCACGATTAGCCACATACCTCAAGCGCAACTGGACCGCGTTATCGAGATGTCCCCTCGACAAGAAGCTGGTGGGCACCCACCCAAAGCGTGTCTACTACTTCCTGTCCACACGCCCACACCAACCGATTCCTGCTGATGGGGGTAATGCCCCAATCGCACCGCGCATCGTGACGCCGTCACTTTCGTCTGCCACATCGGAAGAAGAAGAGGACATGGACGCAAGATCACGAGATCGCATGTCGCCCTCTCCAGAACTCGACCTCTCCGACTACGACAGCAACGCTAGCGACCCCTTTTCCAACCAAACCCATCCTCCTACAACCGCCAACATTTCACACAACCGCCGCGCCCAATCTCCCCCGTTAGAAAAGGACGAGCGCGAGTTCACCCAGACTGCCTCGTTTCTTCAACAACGCCGGATGAGCCAAGAAGCGGAGCGTGCACGATCTGCCAGCGCATCTGCTGAGCCCGCACAAAGCAGCGATGTGAAGATGGAGGAAATCGCCGCCTCGGTCGAGGAGACGGTTGAAAGCGCCGCCCGCAAAGACTCCGAAGCGGCGGCCACTCTCTTTGGTCAAATGGATCAGGTTGTGAGCTACAATTCTGCACTCTCGCCCAGCAGCCCTGCACTCCGGCCTACGCTCCATATCGACATGCCGCCACCATCGCTCAAGCGTAAAGAGATAAAACTCGAGTTTGACGATGACTGGGTCATGAGGAGCCCGGAACTGATTGATCTGGACGAGCTTGACGATCTTTTTGGTGGTTACTAAACCATCAGCCCCAATCTGCGCTTTTTCCGGCACACGATGTTTACGATTCTCTTGGGACATGTTCTCTCATCTACTTTCGACTATATTCATTGTATTCTCACCTCATTATCGTCTTCTTTTCTTTTATGCTCTTTTACAGCGTATGTCCTAGAAGGATTCGTTTTGCCGCTCGCGCTGCATTCATTATGCACTCTAGGGATGTTGGGATATCGCATGGAGTTCTTGAGATGTGGGAGTCTAGGAAGGAATTCTGTACGATAAGTGTAGAGTGTGTTTGTTGCGACGGGCGCTGAGGCGCCTGGCTGATGCGCTGGACTGTTACTTGGCGTGGGAATTTGTGGAGCAAAGGGGTGCGGGCAAACATGTGGCACTGTTGCCACCTGCCCCGCGCGACGAGCAAATGGGTGGGAATGGAAAGGAGCAGGACCGCTATATAAAAGCTCTTGAAATTGGAAAAACAGTTAATATGCTTCAACATTTGGAACGTTTTGCCAGAGCGGCGGTCACGGGTGTTTGCTTATTTGCTTGTGACTGTATGTACGTACGTACGGGATTGTTGTCGCCAAAGCTTGGGGAGGGGGCCGGACTCCCTTACTATCCACGTACCGCTTGCTCACCGCCCGACTTGTATGATTTCTGCACCTAAGACTACAGTACACCTGGCATTGGTCTAATGCAGAACAGAGTGGAAAAATCGGGCCCTCACCGGCAGGTCTACCTGTGCCCAATGCGTGCCTCGATCTGACCCAGACAGTCCTAGTCTCAGAGGGGAAGGGAGCTTATGATTGGCAACGCCTGGTGGACAAGTTGCGGTCGAGGACGATGTGCTGGAGACCGCCTCACTTTCCACCAACAGTACACTACACCGAGGGGCGAACGCTGTACAAGCAAATTCTCTGCATACCCGTCGACGGTTTTTCTGAAAAGCTCAGGACAATTCTCCATCTTGTGCAATCGCCTGTTCGCAGAAAAAGAGGCTGGGTAAGCGAGTCCAATGACTTGGGCACCCCAGCCTACAGCAAAGCTTTGAAGCCGGCGCCCAACCTCACGGAGGAAACAACTGTGCGCTGTGCGCGCCGCGACACGTCCGCTCTACCATCTTTCTTTTCCCTTATCGACTCTCCCCAAGCCCCTTCAAATCCGCGCCTCCTTTGTGCCCTGCGTCAAAGTGCTTGTTGCGGGCTCCCAGGGCTTGCTGAGGTTCCTGACTGTCTCGCTTACTTTGCGCCGGACCAGTCTTCGCACTTGGTGACGGAAACAACTGGCCTGAGCATTCACCACACAGCCCTCCGGTCGCATCGTTCAAGCCTGGGTGGCTAAAGGTGAAACACATTTCTTCATAGACTCTTCACGTGGCATACGCGAATTGGACCCTTTGGATACGGACAACCACACTGCTGCTGCTGTCCCGCAGAAAGCCAACACAGCACCCTCGATCATCGACGCCCGGCCATACAAAACCACGATCAGCCGCGTTGCCTGTCAGCAAATCACGCCGCAGACACAAAAGACTTCGCCATATTAACATAATCATCTCTCCCTGGACCAGGCCTTCGTCTAATTTTCCCCGAAAACAACTACCTTTTTTTCAACTCCATATTTACAGAGGACTCGTAACCTAAGGAACAAAATGTCGGTGGCCATGTCACGAGCCAGAAGCAGAAGTCGGGCGCCAAGCACCAGAGCGCCCCTGAACTCATCACCAATTGTTGTGGATATCCCACGAAGCGGCGCAAAGTCGCCCCTCATTGTCGATGTGCCCGCCACCCCGAGAGCAAGAAGTAGGAGCAGAGGCAGGGTTGAGCCGGCAGTGGATGCGCCGGGATTGAGTGGCGGCAGAGGAATGTTCAAGAGGCTGATTGTTGCTTGTGACGGCACTTGGCTAAACTCGGACGACGGAACCAAGAATGGCACACTCTCCATCCCAAGCAACATCACCCGGATCTCAAGAGCTATCAAAGCAGTCAGCCAAGATGGAATCCAGCAAATTGTAAACTACCAACAAGGTCTCGGCACCGAAGGCGGAAAGATTTCTCGTCTTGTTGGAGGCAGCACAGGCAAAGGTCTTGCTGAAGATGTTCGAGAAGCCTACTCGTTTCTTGCAAATAACTATCACCCAGGAGACGAAATTTTCCTACTCGGATTTTCCAGAGGCGCCTTCACCGCACGCAGCATTGGTGGGCTGATTGGAGAAATCGGTCTCCTCACCAAAAAAGGCTTGAACACGTTACCAGAAGTTTATGAAGACGTCCAAAACCGAAGGAACGAGGACTACCGACCAAAACACGAGGACATTCCATTCCCACGGAAACCAAGCGCCGGTGATCCACGATATGCGGAAGAGCTGGAGCGCCGAGGCCTGACCAGACTCGACATTCCGATCAAATGCATTGCCGTGTGGGATACAGTTGGAAGCCTTGGAATACCCAGAATTGGCATATTACAGCGTGCAGGCCTGCAGTCGAAGCAATCAAGAGCAACCACGTTTTACGACACCAAACTTTCCAATTGCGTGGAAAATGCATTCCAGGCTCTTGCTCTGGACGAGACTCGATCATCATTTGCACCTGCTATCTGGGAAAAGCCCGAGGGCAACCGCACGACGCTCCGCCAAGTGTGGTTTCCAGGTGCGCACGCAAACGTAGGAGGCGGTTATGACGATATGCAGATTGCCAATATTAGTCTTGCGTGGATGATGAGCCAGCTGGAGCCATTTTTGGATATGCGAGGTGAATATTTATTTGAACAAGACGACCTCAATGAGAAGTACTACAAGAAAGAAGAGGGCGCCATCCGGCCATGGAGTTTTGGTAAAATCTACAGCGAGCTCAAGGGGGCTTTTGCACTAGGTGGAAGTTCTGTAGGTTTTTTGTTTTCCACTTTTTTTGTTGTTTTTGGGAAGTTTGGGCTGACAAATACTGAAAGCAACGCAAACCTGGACAATACACTGCAGTCGACCCGTATACGGGTCGGGCAACAGACCGACCGCTACGGCAGACGAATGAGTACATTCATCCCTCGGTCCGCACGCGGTTCCGCCTAGAAGGCCCTGGAGTGCAAGACCGGGGCTTGTACGAAGCGCGGGCACTGACAGACAGCTACAAGTTGGTGGTTGACTACGGTTCGAACAACTCGCGCGCCGGTGACGCCGAAGTTTTCTGGAAGATCAAGTGGAGAGACGCCAACGCAGTCAAAGTGCTGCCGGAAGCACCATTGTGGCGGCTGGAGCGGGAGCTCGCACGGCGGGATCCGGCAACATACGACTATGTGAAGAAGCCGCCAGCGACGAGCTCGACCAAGAGCAAGCGACGAGCGCCACGGCCAATGTCTGCTGATTTTTCAAACTCCAAAGTAGGTGGATTGGGCAGTCCTGTCTCGCCCCGAAAGAGTCGTAGAGAAACTTTCTCACCAAGATCCACGTTTCCAGTTGACGACAAGCCCCCAGCGCGGAGGAGCAGTACGAAGATGGACCGAGCGCGGAGTCGCAGCCGCGCGAGGAGTGTTGAATTTGCCAGCGATCGCGAAACGGATATCCGAGAAAGTATGCCACATCGTCGGGAGAAGGACAAGGCGTGGTGGGAAGGCAAGCGGTGAGGCTGTGTTTGAGAAGAAGCGAAATGATACTATTGCCGACTTCTTTTAAGAAGGGAAAAAAAAGAAAATGCTTTTTTTTAGTATGTAGATATGCGAAGGGGGGTTGGATATAAGCGGTATACCCTTTATTTAGGTTTTTCTTTTTAGATAATGACACTTTTTTTTTATAAAAGATTTAGGTCGGTAGTATATATTTAGTAGTACACAAATATTCAAGGTTGACGTATTATTTACATGGGTTCGTGCATCGCTTTTGTTACCAAGACCTATACTAAAATATACACTCTGTGCTAATACTACTCTCACAACAATTTTTGTGAGACTGACTTATAAAGAAGTGAATAAAAGAATTCCGTAAAGGAAGGGGGGGGGATGTTATGGTCCCTCCCCTATATCTCCTGCAAGAAGCAGACTGATCTCATTAGGGTTGTCCGGCGAGGAACTAGGCAAGCTTAAAGGGTAGTGAGGGATGTGAGGAAATTTCTAAAAAAAAAAAAAAAAAATAATGGAAGTAGTTATTGTTTAACTTCCTCTCGCTGTAGTTGTAAGTTTCACATGTTTCACCTTTTTTTTCATAGATTTCGTCCTAACTTTTCGTGGTTCAAAAGTTCATAGTGCATATACATGTACATTTCCCTTTTTTTTTTTTAAAAAAAAAAAAACTCTAACAGAAATCCCGATGAAAAAATAGCGCGGATGAATGCAGTCAGCAAGCTCCTATGTACATATCTTCGTCCGAAACCTCCGGACCAAGACTAACTAGCAAAGCTATACAGCCTATATGTGACACTTTTTTTTCTGTTTTAGTAGTTATAGGTGCGTTAACAACCAAAAAAAGGGTACTGTGTGAATCTCTTTCTTGTTCGGTTACTTGAAACGTGTTTACATACCCGCAGTCCCACCAACAAGTCTAAACATGACTCTTTTTCTGCATAAGGAACAGCCTTTCTGGCCAAGTTGGTGGTGGTGGGGATTTCTTCCTGGTATATATTTTTTTCTTTGGGGGGTTACGTGTTTAGATTTTTGAGCAAGAAGGCATGCGGAAATGCAGTGGGACATTTTAGCGATGGTTGGGAAATGTCAATTGCAAAGGGATTTTTGCATGTGGATATTGTTGAGAATGATGAGGCTGAGACCGTTAGGAGGCTCAACGGAAGCTAAACGATATGCGGTATAGTAGCTCTTATTTCCTTTCACCTCCCCCACTCCCCCCCTCCCCCTTCCGCGCTTACTAGTGGTCCGTGTTGTCATGTTCCGAATCTCTCATGAGATGACAGGAGACGACAGCATGGATCGAATTTTTCTAACACTATCCCAGTGCCCCCCGCCATCATGTTATTCCTTTTTGATCGCCGCTCTTTTTGTCCCTTCAGTCCACTATCACGGGCTCCACTTCGATTTATTCGGCGTCTTTGTTTGATACTGCTGCTTACTTGTGACATGGCCCACATACAAGATTTTAGTCTTTCTACCATTGTAGTGGAGGGATGCGTGGATTAGTGACAATGTACCCGGGTAGACAAAGTTACATCCGTCAAATCTTTTTTGCAATAGAGAAGGCTTGTTGTGTCTAATTACCTCTACTTCTTGATAAATCATACAAGAAGGGAGGAGTGAGGCTTTCCATTAACGTTTAGAGGTAGCGCCATGTTATCTGTCTTATCTTGTCTGATCCTGTAGTAGCCAAGAAAAAACACCCTTGTTGGTAGGGGTCACATGGTGAGCATTTACGCTTGCATGACTCCACATACATATATGTATTATATATTGGAGAATCAGAACCAGAAGAGGTCCATAAACATCCGCTTAGTAACCTTTTGGCGATATACTTATAGGAAGAAGGAGATCAAGTGTGCCATTATCATCAACGACAGAACAATTTGTTTGTACATTGACGGGGACCAACCATGGGTCGGGTGCAGAGTTTTATTAAACCCACCCACAATCTTCGCTATGATGCTTCGTTTGCTTCTATTGCTACAGCAGCGGTGGCATGCTTTCTGGGCGTTCTCTATTTCTTTATCGTTGATCAACGCGTGGCTACGAATGCGACTTGGTACGCTCTCACTGAGGATGCGTTGAAAAATCCATTCAAGGCGAGAGAACAGTGGGCTGTGAGCGCGAAAGAGATTCTTTATGGGGGATTGGAAAAAGTAAGAAAAAGTGTGAATTGGCAAGTGATACATCTGCTGACGGGTTGTCATAGATCAAAGGTGCTATTGCAGTCATTTCTTCTACGGGGCCTTTGGTTTTTCTGCCAAACTCGTTTGCTGATGAAATACGGAATATGAAGGAGCTTCAATTTGGAAGTTATTTGATACAAGTGCGTCAAGTTTGATGGAAGCTATCTTGTCGTTGGATGTCGCTGACTATGTCACTTGCGACAGGACGCGTAGGGCCACTATCAGGGGTTAACCCCGTTCTTAGTGGTCGATCAACACGACGTTACTCATGAAGTTGTCCGCCGTAATCTTACCCGATCTTTGGGTATGCATGCCCTGCAAGCTTTAAATGATGTACAGTGTACTCACTCACATCTCCAGATAGCATCACTGAAGACATGAACGCCGAAGTCGAAGCCGTTCTCATGGACATGCTAGGCAATGTTGAGGGCATACGCTGCCATTCTTTCATAGTTACTACATAAATTAACAAGACTTTCCCTCTATAAGACTGGAAAAAGATAGATCTAAAACCCTTCGTCCACCGTTTAGTCGCCCGCGTCTCTTCCTGCGTTTTCCTTGCCCCAGAACTCTTGGAGAATGCTGAATGGATCGACATAGCCGTAGCCTATCCTGAGAACTCCATGAGGGCAATCTATCAACTACGCAGCTTACATCCAATCTCCCGACCCATTGCCCAATGGTGGATGCCCGCCCTCCGTGTATGCAGGCAGCAAGCTGCAAAGTCACGCGAAATTATCAATCCACTCGTCCAGAAACGGCTGCAGAGGAAAGCCAATGGCGAGATTACTGGAAAAGCTGCTGATACAATCAGCTGAATCGACGACAAAGCCAGGGCGAAGAAAACAAATATTGATTTTGCAGAGCTACAGCTATTCCTCTCGTTCGCGGCTGTGCATATTACGACGGAAATGATATCCGGGCTAATGTGTGACCTTATCGAGAATGAGCACTGGATGCCACAAATCAGGGAAGAGACAGTGTCGACTCTCTCGAAACACGGCTGGAAAAACACGTTGCTGGCTTCGATGAAGATACTCGATAGCGCGATGAAAGAATCGCAGCGCTTAAATAAGCTGATTGATCGTAAGTCCCAGACCTCCAACTTGAACTATTTACACCTAGCATTTATTAGTCGGAATGCGACGCGTAGTTCTATCCAACACAACCCTATCTAACGGCACCGTCATCCCCAAAGGCTACAAAACTCGCCGTCGAAACCCGCTTCTCGGACCCGACTCTCTGCCCAACAGCGAGCACTTTGAAGCAGATCGGTTTCTCAAGCTGCGCGATACTGACCAGAGTAAGTGGTATTTCGTGACGGGGTCACCCGAACACCTAGGATTTGGATACGGAAAGCATACTTGCCCCGGCCGCTTTTTCGCCAGCAATGAGATCAAGATTATCATATGCTACTTGCTCGTCAAATACGATTGGAAGTTTGCCGAGGAAGAAAGACTGCCGACTCTTTTTGCTGGAGCGGAGTATATTTTTAATGATAAACAAAAGGTTGAGGTGAAGAGCAGGTGGGAAGAGATTGATCTGGGTTGCCTTTGGGTTGTATAACAGCGTAGTATTAGAAGGTAGAGAAAAATGTTAGGGAGTGCAGTTCATAACGTTTGATGACTAGCTGCAGCGTGCTTAGAATCGTCCCAAGGCTTTGTCGTCTGGATAGATGGGCAATGATGCGGTTCGGGGGGTCCTTGGATTTAGTGCAGTGCAGGAGGAAGTGGGCGACAACCTGCCGTCTCTCTCCACAACTGCTGCGGGGAATGGTAACGGTCGGGCCATGTCGATGGAAGAGGAAGTCGTTGAGGTCTATCTTCTCGGTTGGCAGATGCACTAAGTAGCACCGCGCCCTCCCTTTTGCTGAGCTGCAGCACTTTCTTGGTGGGCGTCAGCGTGTGCCTGTATATCGCGCAGCCTTTCCTGTCTTTACTTTCTGCTAGAGTCTTGTGCCGCTTCATGGGCGTTGTGCTAAGTGGGTACAGCTGCGAAGGCGGTGTGCAATGTCGATAGGGTGTCTGGCCTCATGTGTACAAACAGTGTCTCTTGTGTGAGTGGGCATACCGCTACCATCGGTGTGGATGCTAAGGCTTTTGTCTGTTGCGCATTCTGCGGCGTGGCGGTCTCAGGCCTTGTCTGCGTTGCCGGCGATTTAGGTATGTAGCCCTTGCTGCTACGGAGGCGTGATGAATGGCGTGATGTGCTCTTGCCTGTCTAAATTACGCATTTGCTTGCTCCTTAGTGCTTCATAGACTTTCTGCGAAGGACTCTTGTATGTGGGTTGTTATTTTCGCCACAATGAATCGAAGTTATAGTGGTGGCCTTGTGCATCATGAGGCTTGTTATTGAGATGAAGCAGGTGTCTTGGCATGTATAGGAGGAAGGTATCTACGCCACTGTAAATGCTATGTCGGCAAGCATATCTTGACTTTCAATCGACCCTAGTATATACTCGAGTAGACAAGTATATCTTCCACGGTGTCTGTAGGCTACAATACTGCTGTGGAGTTAAAGTGCCTGCAACTTTGTCTCATATGGAGGCTGTTCCGTTACAAAGCAATGTAGAGTACTGAGTATACTGTATGTCAGCTATATGAAGAGCTTATCTGAGATAGGTAAAGCGCGCTTTTCCGTATGATACAATATGTGAAAGATATCTATCTTGGTCACATTAACGTCTACTCTACTACGCTGCGCCTCAACGTCGCGTTTTAGTATATGTAAAGCATACTTGTAGAGCATTTCCATAAGGGGGCAGGGTGGGCCTAATGGTGGACTAAGCCCGATATGCTCAGGGGTCCCTAGTCGTGATCGCGGCCAACGGTTTCACCAGGTAGGGTGCATCTTCGCAAGCAAGCCACCTATGAGAGGGCAGCATGGGGAGATGATGATGTGGTGTGTGTGGTGATGCACCTTCAGCCGCACGAGTGTGGGAATACTACGTAGCTATGCAGCGTCCGAAATTGGAATAATCTAGCAACAAAAATAAAGAAAGATTTTCGTGCTGGGACAAGACGGCACAGGGGGGAAGGGGGGCTGGCCGCAACGCACTGGGCTGTCTTGAACGGCGCGAGCAGCAAGGGAGACGCATGCGCAAGATCGTCGCAATGGCCTTGACTGAAGTGGACGAAAAAAGGGTGTTGGCAAGAATGCAATACGAAAGTGCATGAGGAATGACCTCGGACAATAATTGGGATGCGGAGCCTGAATGTTATATTTAGCGTGTCCATGGCCCAGTAGCGCGGCGGGCGGCCCCCTTTGGCTTAGTTTGCCTCCGCCGCCCGCTTGCTGATGCTGCTCTGCTGCCACTGCGCGCAAAGACCAGCCAGGCCCGGCTCTCCTTTCATCAGCCTTGAATCATCCACAAACTCTCTTCCTTTCCCTCTCGCCGTCCCGCCTCACCCTCGTTCCCACCCCACACCTCCCGCGCCCTCTCCGTCAGGAATTCTACCCTTCGCCAGTCACTCGTTTCAGTGGACGAAGGAGTGCCCTCTTCACGGCTTGCGTAATCCCTTTTTACCCTGGCCTCGCACCTGCATCCGCCCTAGTTGTTGACACTACTCCCGCCCCCCCGAATACTTGCACTACCACCCACTCGGTCCTCGACAGCCTCTTGCCCGCCCCTCTGCGCCTTCACTCGCTCAATTTCTACGCGACCTCTCCGCGGCCCTTCGAAACTCGAGGAAGAAACAACATAATCACCTTTAGCTTTTGGCATTAATTTCTTGGCAAACATGAGACCAGCTCGGATTCTCGCGGCCGTTGTGGCCATGTCCTCAGTCACCCATGCTATTTCGGATGCTTTTGACAATATCCATGGCCTGGCTGACGTCAAGGAGGTGCTCTTTGGACGGCAAGACAGTATGTTTCTCTCAGACGAAATCAGTCCGTTTCCTTGCGTGATAACTAATGCCATGACCTGTAGATAACAACAACAACAACAACAACGACAACAACGACAACAAGTCGACGGATGCCCCAGCGAGCACACCAGCCCCCAAGCCCACGGGTGATAACAATAACAACAACAACAACAACAACAACAACAGCGACAACAACGACAACAAGACCAGCGACAACAATGACAACAAGAGCGGTGACAACAACGACAACAAGACCGCATCCGACTCCAAGGAGACCGGAACCCCCACAGGCAAAGCATCGGGCAGCAAGACAACCAAGAAGCCAACAAAGTCCACAACCTTTGATCCCCGACTCCCCGCCGGTGGTATCACCATGGTCACCCCAGACGCTCTTGCTGGTTCACAATACTACAAGGTCGGCGACTACATCACATTCGCTTGGAACTACACCTCCCTCTCCGTCACCCCCACAGCCATTGACGTCCTTGCCTCCTGCACCGCCAACCAAGCCACATATACCATCTCTGTCAACATGTCTTCCACCGAGACACAGGTGGTATGGAACACCAAGGAGACCCCAGAGGGCCAGGCACCCTTCTTGACCGAGAACTACCAGCTCCTCATCTACGACGCCAACTCGACTGTCACGGCACCACCGCGGGCTGGTTACTTGGGTGCTTTCAGCGGTTTCACCTTTGGCATGTACCTGCCCCAGCCATACACCTCCCTCCAGGGTAAGTCTTCTTCATTTCTTTTCTCTGATAAACTCCATGGACTAACAAAGTACAGATGGCTGGACCTGCCCCAACTGCAACGCCGCCCTGTCCAATCTCGAACGAATGACGCTCACAACCATGCTCTTCACCTGCGGAACAACAGTCGGCTCGCTAGTCTACTTCACATACCAATTTGGCCTGTGGTGATGAAACAATCCATTCTGGCTCGACTTCATCCCGATTTAGCCTCTCCTCCACACCCCCTTCCAGAGACGCTCAAACGCAATGACTCGATCCTTGGTCGCTTACGATAACGGCATTCCTTCTTTACGCTTCACTCCTGTCGATATATCTACGTGTATACTGTGCATTTTCACCACTCCTTTAGATTACTTGTTTTTAAAGAAAAAAATTGGCGGCATCTTCGTGGGTGTTGCAACGGCCGTTGGTCTCGGTTTATTGTTGTTTTTTGCCTCTCGACCGACTTGCACAAAGCAGACAATGGAGCAAAGGCAGACCCGCTAGCTACACTCCTTTAGTCTTTTTTTGGAGAGGGGAAGTAAAGTTTAGACTACTCAAGCATCCGGCGCTGCAAAGGAGTTTTTTTTAATTTAGGTTGTCATTTAGGAACGGAAAATGGGAAAGACAAGCTGAGGAGATGTTCTTGTAAACCTATGAACAATAGGATAATATCTTGCCGAGTAGCAAAGGCGCGGGGAGAGAACAGAGAGAGGAGAAAAGATGAATACAAAGTTTAGTGCCCTATTGGGACTGGCCCTTTTTCTTGTCCAAGTCTCATGATCCACCAACATCGCACTCCATATTCTGCCATGCACACCACATCTCAAGGACATTTTTGCTATTGTCCTCTACATCTCTAGAATAATCCTCTTACAAACAGGCATTATTGATGTCCATCAGTAAATTTTACATAATACCTCTGCACACCCACCCAATAAGCAACATGTAAAAAGAATAAAATATCCTGCAAAACAAAATGGTCATAAGAAAAATCCCGAAATGGGCAAATGGTATCTTTGGTAAGCACACCTCATAAACCCCTACGCAAGGATCACCAGAGGAAATAGACGAGAAGAAAAGAAATGGAAAGAAAAAAAACAAAAAGAGGGCACCTCCATCCATCCATCCTGGGGAATGAATTGCAGAGAGGAAAGAAAAAAACTGGCCCTGCAGCGAAGAGGAATCTGGGACTCAAAACTTTCTTCCCTACCACGTTTCCCTCTTCTAACACCCACAAACGCTTTATAGATAATACTAGCATCTCCCTACCCACGGCGAACACTCGAAGCGCCCCTGGCAGGAGTCCTCCACTCATCCTTGAGCACCCACCTGCCCCTCTGCGCACTCCCGCTCTTCTCAAGCGTAGCAATCAACTTGAGCATTTCCTTGAACTCTTCGTTCCTGCCAGGCTGCGCACGACAGTAGTGGTCAAAGTGGTCGACGAGCATTCGACTGGGGACTGTGCCGCCGTGGGTAAGCATAAAGTCACGGATCATTTCGAGCATGCGGCGGCCCCGGAAAGTCTGGGGCGTCGTGGTAGTGGCAGCAGCGGTGGGGGCGTCTGATGTCCTGCTGCTGCTAGGCACTGGCCGGCCTTGACGCGCGGCGAGGTTGTTGAGGATCGAGGTTGATGAGGGGAGGCCGCCGCGAGCACCTCCGCGTCCACCGCGACCACCGCGCGTAAATGGGCCTCCTCCGCGAGGGGCGTCGGGGCGTCCTGCTTGACCGAATTGGCCGGTCCAGGTTGGGGTTCCTGCGGGCACGTTTCTCGCTTCTTCCATGCTTTTCTTCAGCTGCTCGGCTGCCAGGGCGGCTTGTCGCTTTGCTTCGCGTTGGATGTAGGCGGGATCGGCCTGCACTTTGCGTTTGCGTCCGCCGGCTGTCGAGTTCATAATGGCGTCGTGCTCGAGCACTGAGTGGACGCCGGTTTTAGCGAATATGGTTGACATAAGACGGGAATCGGCGGGGGTTTTGTCGTCGGTAGCAGTCCCATCTTCGTTCGTAGTGGGTGTTTCTTCAGAGTCGGAAACGGGAGCCTTGAAAGCTTCGGATCGTGATATGCCCTTTACAGCTGCCAGATCCTTGGCCGCAGTAGCATCATCTTTTTCACCTGCTACTGTTTTACCATCCTCTTCGAATTTGACTTCGGAGCCACGAAACAAGTTGCCGGTTTCTGTCTCCCCCTCTGCACTCTCAACACCAAGTGAGAACAAATCGTGCAGATCGCTCATCTGGAACGTCTGCCGCTGTTTTGGGTCTTTCAGCACTTTATTCGTCAAGAACTGCTTGAATATTTGACGGTGGTAGATCTTCTCTTCGATAGTACCAGCCGACATGAGGCGGTAGATCTCAACTTCTCGCTTCTGTCCTAGACGCCACGATCGCTCTCGAGCCTGAATATCAGTCGACGGGTTCCAATCTGGGTCGTATATGATAACGCGATTGGCGCCTGTGAGATTGACACCAAGGCCACCGACTTTCGTGGTGAGTAAGAAAACATGAAGGTTCGGATCCGTATTAAACTCATCCACCATGTTTTGCCGATCCTTGATGGGTGTCTCGCCATCCATTCGGCGCCAGTTGATGTCAGGAAGCTGGCTAATGAATTTTTGCAGGATGTCAAGCATGATGCGGTGCTGAGCAAAGAGTAACGTTTTGTGTCCGCCCTTCTTCCACAGAGATAGTAACTCCTTGACGACCTGCATTTTTCCCGATTTACTGGCATTGCCATAGTCGTACCCAGGCTTCTTGGACAGAGTTTTGTGCTCCGTAAGGTCAGGATGGTTGCATATCTTGCGAAGATAGTCAACGCCGTAAAGCATCTGGCGCTTGCCGTTTGCAATGGATCTCATATCCTCTGATGCTAGAAAGGATTCATAAGCTTGTCGCTGCTGTTTTGTCAACTTACAGAACAGCACTTGTTCTTTCTTCTGTGGCAAATCGGTTGCAACATCAGCCTTGAAACGCTGGAGCAGGTATGGGCTAACAGCATCTTTCAGGGTTTCAGCGCATCGAACTGCAGTCTCAAATTCTAGATTCGAAGCATTTGCATATCCTCCACGCTTAATTGGAAATTCGAACTGGTTGCGAAAGTTGACAAGGGTACCAAGCCGCATAGGGAAAACGAAGTCGAACAATGACCAAAGTTCCGTTAGATTGTTTTGCATTGGAGTTCCCGAAAGGATGATGCGGTTAGGTGTACGAAGTTCCTTGCAGTGAATAGTAATGGCAGTGTTGGGGTTCCGGATCTTGTGTCCCTCGTCTAAGACGGCGCATTCCCATTCAGTCGGAATCAGAAACTCAGCGTATGTTTGCAGCCCCGAGTAAGTAGTGACGAGTACGTGTCCATCCCGCTTGACCTTTTCGAGTATTTTCTTAGCCGCTTTACCGGCCCCAGTCAGAGTTGTATCGTAGTCTCCATAGTTTCGAAGTTCCATCTCTCGTTCTATGCGGTCTTCGCGTCGGGTGTCTAGCATACCGCTGCCAGATGTGTGTAGGATAGAGACCCGTAGAGCGGGCCACCAACGGTGAAATTCATTAACCCACTGCTTCATGACAGTTGCTGGACATACTACAATAACAGGCTTGGTAAGTAGCTTTGAATAATGGAGGCCTGCAACGAAGCTGACGGCCTGTATTGTTTTACCAAGACCCATCTCGTCTCCAATGATACCGCCCACGTTTTGAGAATACAGTTCCCATAACCACTGCACACCCGTCTTCTGGTAGTCGAACAATGCTGGATATATATCACCAGGAATTCGAAATCCACCATCGAACTCTGCATCGGCCTCGGTAGGATGAGGCTGGTAACACTCTTCTTCTCCTTCTTCATCCGCAGTTGTCTCGCCACTATTGGCTTTCGCCTTCTTTCTTGCAGCTGCTCGGTTCCTTGACCAAGTCTCTACGCGTTTCCGGTAGACTCGCTCATTACCGTCGTCAACACCTGCAAGATCTTCAACCAATGCTTCTTCTGTAGTTGCAGCTTTGGCTTTCTTTAGCTTTTTGCCCTTGGCTTTGCGCTTGCGACCGGTAGCTTCCTCTGCATAGGAGTCATCTTCAGCCGTGTCTTGCATGTCTTCGTCCGACTCATCTAACGTCGCAAGCTGGCGATCGGTCATACCAGGCTCGAAGGCATCATCAGAGTCTGGGTCTGTAAAACCGAGGTCTGCACCGGACTCGCTAGCAGGAGTAGCCTTCCTTCGCTTCCTAGACCGTGCTGGAGGGTGTGGACTGGGAGCTTCTGAACTAGACTCGACGTTATCAAAGCCAGGCTTCATCAAATTACGGTGCGAAACAGGTCCTTTTGCTGCCTCAACCACCATGTCTTCAACCTCGGCATCCAGCATGACCTCCCCTAGGGTCCCCGAGCCCGGTTGATTCTGCGCCAACTTGGAGAACGGCGTAATTTTTCCTGTGCGAATAAGCCACTCGCGCTGTGTTTCGTTGGGCAGGGGTCCATTTGCGCTATCTCCTGCTGCTTCATCTGCCCCAGGTTCTTTGTGGCGATCATTGATGCGCTGTTGTATGCCATCCATCTCCTTATCCAGGTCGTCGATCTTCTGTCGATATGCTGCCATCTCCCCACGGAGCTTTGCCTTCTGTGTATCGAGAGCTGGTAAAGCCAAACGGTTTTTGAGCTTCTGTATAGCAGCCTCTGCTCGCTTTGCCTCAGCTTCCAACTTCTCCATGCGCTTTTTGTCCCGAGCATCTGCCTGCTCTATGAGCATCTGGTCGGCCTGCCGGCCAATATCTCGTTCCAAGTCGTCTTGCGCTCGAGTGCCGGTTGTCAGAAACTTGAGTCTCTCTGTTTCGTCCGCATCGGAGGCGATGCCTTCGTCTGGGATCTGGTTGCCATCGTCGGCTGGAGCGTCGTCAATTGTGGTAACAGGCGCCACAGCTGACGCTTCGTGTGCAGAGGGCGACGACATTTTGAGGACGAGCTTTGAAAAAGAGGCAGAAGTTCGAAGGGATCTATCGTAGGTCAAGACGAGTGAAGACTGGCAGGTGAAGCCCCCGCCACTGTCAGCTTGAAATCAAGGGAAGGTGCGCTGAAGGCAACAGCGGGCAGGCGCACGGCGGGAAGGGACGCAAGCCAGAAGGCTATGGTATAGGTGAAGGCATTGCGATGAGAATTAGAATTTCAAAGACAGTGCATCAGGCGACGCTACAACAGAAGATGCCGAGTAACAAAGTTGCGACGACGATGAATACTTTTTGCCCGTGGCGATGATATCACTACCTAGAACACGCTAGGCGGGCGGCCGCGGCTCACTTCCGCGTTACTACCACCGCCCCTCGACGCGTCTAGACATGTAATGTATCCAAGCGTCGATCAGACTAGGAAAGCCTCCAACAACAGCACTTGTACACGTCAGCCCAACAAGGAGTTGCACTCCCTGTTCCTCTAATTGCAACAGGCAGGGTTCTGCGATGAGCACCACTTGTTGCATGCCATGTCTTCTTCATGTCACACGCCTTAGCATAGAGCAACTGAGATGTATGCACTGGACATGTCGGCCCAACACCTCTGCGTTCAGCCTCGCGCATGTCGTAGCGGTGGCGTCAGTTCGAAACATACCGCTCCCCCTATCTTCTCGAATGCTGACTCGTAATCTCAAATCAGATCGGTCGGGCACCAAAGCATTCTTGTATTCAACAAACTCAGTTGGACCCCGGGGCTTACATGCTATATGACCTGCTTGGCTGCACAACGCATCACCAATAAGAGCCAGGATCCAATGTAAATACTTGTGTATGCTGTGAAGGGTGTATCACCCAAAGGGCGCAACCCTCACTGGCTACAGCAAGTATCGAACCGGCAGGCAGTCTCGTGCGCGGCCCTGTCTTCAACATGAAGATTTATCCGGCCCATGCTACGACCCAGCAGAGACTGTCGCCTAGGGAATCCTCCCGTGGTTGGATGTGGGGAAGCGAGGCAATGTTACTCCGCCTGCAGGCCGGCTCACCTGTTTCGGTAATGTATTACCAGGATCCCATCCTTTTGTCAATGCTTTAGACATTTCCTTCTGTGTGTTTGGGACAGTTTGGGCGAGACTGAGTCGCTGCTCGCCTGCTTCCGCTCCTGATCAAGCCACTCATGATTATGATGATCCCGTGGCCGTCCGCCCGCTGCATGATGGCGTTAGAGGACGCCATGTTGTGGGCCATTGGCTGTCGTGTATATGTTTGATAATCAGGGCTTGTGTTTCCGTTTCGCGCGAACGTGAACATGACTTGTGTAGCTCCTCCCTCATACCGACACAGCAAACCTCCATCTGCTTGTCTCCATGACATAGCCGTTCGTCTTGCACCAACACTACGCCCACATGGCTCCTCATGGACTGCTTTCCGTTGTACTGGCCTTTGCGCTCACCTCTATGTCGACCATAGTGGTAGCTCTTAGGTGAGCACGTGTCCACGCAAATATCATCAGGCTCTGATCTAACGCATCTCAGATTTTACACGAGGTACTTTATCGTTGGAAAGCTTACTATTCCCGACTGGATGATGCTCCTGGCACTTGTACGTTGATCATCTATGACCCATTAAGAAACCCTAGCTAACACTAGCACAGATAGGGACCTGGTACGATACACCTTTTTACATATGCACACAATACAATGACTGACATTCACGCTCCATTTCACAGGGCATCTACAGTGGCCAACTGGTACATGGTCCAATTTATGGACCACAGCAGCCTCAATGTAAGCCCCTACTGCCCATTGAAGTGAAAGAAACTGACATGTTGGAGCCCAATGTCCCGGAAACAATTGAGAGGGTCGTCGTTGGCGCTCTGCTATCGATTTGGTTATATCGACTGAACTATATCATTGACCTCTGCCTTGTTAAAACATCAATCCTACTGTGTAAGTCGCGTTTCGTCTTTGAACCCCATACATTGCGGGGTTCCGAAATTTGGATGTTCAATATACATGCAGCTAATGCAACGACAGTCTACAATGAAATTGCCGCATCAAACAAACGCTTTCACTTCGGCGTTCGAGCTCTACTGTTCATCAATGTTGCTGGTGGAATTGCCATGGCCTTTGCCTCCATCTTCATGTGCTATCCAGTCGCTGATGCATGGTCATTTGAGGTCTTCATGGGCGGAGTGAAGGGTAAGACAGCCAGGCATTGTTATTCCCCAGGACCTTTTTGGCTCTCCAACGCTGGCTACAACCTCGTCACCGATGTGATAATTTGGACGGTACCGATGGCGTTTTTGATGAATCTCCAGGCAATACCACTGAGACGGCGTCTCGAGCTTGTAGCCACCTTCTCCGTGGGCATCGTAGCCATCATCGCGTCGGTGGTTCGACTTTACACAATTGTGCTCTGGTTGTCCAGCTATGAGCAGCAGAGAATAAACACAGCAAATGTGTTGATATGGAGCCAAGTAGAACAACACGCCGGTCTCATAGCAGGCTCTATCCCGTTCTTGCGGCCACTGTATCGGCAAGTGCTGGCTAGGGCCAGGAGAAGAGAGCAGAATAGCCCCAGTCCGGCAGCGCATCTAGTTGAGGAACCTGCACCAGAGCTGATTCAGGGCATGCTCCGGAGGCCCATCCTTCCCTCGACAACCTCTACATGTGGGTCGAGCAACCGGGAGTTCAGGCGACCTGAGTGGGTTCTTGAGCCAATCGAGCCTGTTGGGAAGGATTGTATTTGGGAAGTGCCGCACCCCACTTGAGGCTCCTTATTTCCATATACAAGATACGTTGTGAACATGTTCTGGGTATATTCTAACAAGGCGTACTGTCTGGTTGAGGGCAAGTCGCAAGACCGGAGTTGGAGGCAACGGGTATACGATACGTACAATAGATAACATCATGATCCATACCGATAAGCTAGCGCGCAGGGGTATGTCTGGCTGCTCTGCCGTTTGAATTCTCTCGGGATGAAGAGGCAGTATACCCCTTCTTGGCAAGACTTGGTGGTAACGCCACAATTGGCCATGGTGGTATGACATGCCGATGGACGCCACAGATGCCGGTTTGGCGGCTGTCCATGTGTAATCAGCGGTTGGTGGGCTCACCGTGACACGATCCACCGAGGGAGCGGCGTAGAGGACATGGCGAGAATCTTTCGGCAGCGGCTTGACACCAGCTGCCCCTATGTGGCAGAAGGCGGTCAGCCCAGAGCGGCCGTAGCGGGCGGCGTGTGATTGGCCAGCCGGCAAGGACGCATCTCTGGGCAGGCACTAGTGCCGTGGTGTGGACGCGTCGGCCTTCCGGAACAGCAGTGAACCTTGGTGGCGAAAGTGGTACGAATGGCGATCAGGGCGCCGCCAATCTGCAATTTACTTAATCCGCCGCCTCCTTTGCCGCTACTTTGCTCGTACCCTCACTGCGTTACCGCCAATCGCTCCCTCACCACCTCTGCTCCCTGCAGTCATTCCTTCTTTTTTCCTCTAGTCTCTGGTACAAAATAGAGCCACCCACAACGGTTGTGCTGCGCATCGCGACCCTGCAAAATGTACGTCCCCGACGCAGTCCGCATCCCGCACATCAACACATGCTTACCCGCTCCAGGAACAACGCAACCTCAATCCTGTCGCCCATGGCGCAGGACACGTACTGGGGCTCCTTTGAAGAGATTTCCAAGTACAATGTCCAGCTCAACTACCTCGAGAGGATGTGGATGACCTGGTATGCGTGGATGGGCAACGATATCCTGGCCACGGGCATCATGTCTTTTACCATTCACGAGGTTTTCTACTTCGGCCGCTCGCTTCCCTGGATCATCATTGACTGCATACCCTACTTCAACCGCTTTAAGATCCAACAGGTGCGTTACCAACAACACGGGCTTGGCATGAACGAGGCTAATTCGCCGTAGAACAAAATTCCTACTGCTTGGGAACAGACACAATGCGCCCTCCTCGTCCTCCTCTCCCACTTCACTGTCGAACTCCCTCAGATCTGGCTGTTCCACCCCATGTGCCAGTACTTTGGCCTCCAGACCTCTGTTCCTTTCCCCAGCATCTACAAGATGGCATACCAGATTGCCATCTTCTTCGTTTTCGAGGACGCATGGCACTACTGGGCCCACCGCCTCATGCACGCCAGCTCATTCCTGTACAAGAACATCCACAAGATTCACCACCAATACTCTGCCCCCTTCGGTCTCGCCGCAGAGTACGCCTCGCCCATTGAGGTCATGGTTCTGGGTTTCGGCAGTGTCGGTGTTCCCATTGTGTGGTGCGCCATCACCAAGGACCTTCATATCCTGACCATGTATTGCTGGATTGTGCTACGTCTATTCCAAGCCATTGATGCCCACAGCGGCTACGAGTTCCCCTGGAGTCTGCACCATATCCTGCCTTTCTGGGCAGGTGCTGAGCACCACGACGTTCACCACGAAAAGTTCATTGGCAACTACGCTAGCAGCTTCAGGTGGTGGGACTTTGTCCTTGATACCGAGGCTGGTGCTGAGGCCTCCAAGAAGCGCAGAGAGCGCAAGATGGCCAAGCTCAGGAAGGCCCAGTAAAAGAGCAATGAACAATTGTAATGCGTATGGAGAGACGTCGGTCCTGGCTGACTTTTCTGTCCGCCAGTCTCGATGTCGAGCTGGCACGAAAATGGCGTTTTTTGGTACAGGGAAAACGCAGTTATGCATTTGATGGTGGCATTAGACAGCACAGACCCTGGATAATAGTATGAGTGTTGGCTGTACATAGGAGCCGGGTCTTTATACAACATCTATATAATAATTATTACGGTCGTTATGTTTACACATGAATTTCGTATTGTGCAAAGTGTGCTGGCTTTCCGAAAACCGGGCGTTCGAGAGCAAAGCGGTGTATTGAACGTTGTAGTTGTTGAGTAGTATGTATGGGACTCGAACGACGCCCCTGGTGATAGCGTGGGATGGTCTTGGCGCGGCGAGGCCTGGTGCGCGTCGGCATTCCGAGCTTCATCAACTTTCTTTGGCCCTCTCATAACCGCGCAACCACCACCATCAGCAGAAATTTGTACTAACCTGACGAGATGAGCTCCGGACGCCCAGTCGTCCACCAGGACTATATTGCGAAAATCAGATATTCGAATGCGCTGCCTCCACCACCATGTCCACCCAAGCTGCTAGACATTCCCAACACCGGCCTCTCGAGCGGGCAGTACACGTCGGCAGGCTTTGCATCAAGGCTTGCGCGAGAGCAATCGCTGAATATTGAAGCCGATGCTGAGCTGGGTATGCCCATCGATCTTGTCGGTATTCCCAAGGTATTCGATGGGGACGAGTCTGGTAAGTGAACCTGCAGCAGCGCAAATGGCGCACAGCGATTGACGCGTCGTATAGCTATTCAGGCTATGCCTCACCCACCGCCGCTTAGTGCCGCAGATAAGGCGCTGATGCGACCGCCAAATGCGCTTGGAAAGAGTACCAGCCACGTCTCTGGCGCTACATTTTTGCGGCGAACAGAATACGTTACCTCAAGTACCACTGGCGGTTCCAAGTTCGAATCGAGTAACTCGTCCAATACTATGCGCCTGCGTAGGAAGCGGAAGCAAGTGGAGACGTCCCTCGATGATCCTACAAACATCTCGCGACACATTCTCAAGGGATTCAACATTGCCTACCCAGCAGATGCATACAATGGACAGGACAATGCAGAGAACATTAGGGCGGCAGAGTCAACACCTGAAGAGCGGCTGGCATGGAACAAGCCCAAGCATCCCAGGAACCCCAATCTCAAGCTGCTCGACTCGTACCCGCTTCTTCCAGACTGGGACGCTACGCCCGATACTGGCGGATATATGGTCTTTAAGTTCACCGCACCACCTATCAACAATCCGCTCGACCCCTCGTACGACCCACGACTTGACGTCGCTCTTCTCCGTCCTGCTGGTCAGACCATCCAAGACCAAGAACGATACATGGAAGACCTCCAAGCACACAAACTCGACCCAACAGTCCCACCACCCATTGCACGCTACCAATTCGAGTTCTTCCTACCCTCGGACAAGAGCAAAGTCCGTGGCATCAAGCGCAACTTCACCACACACGACCCCACTAACGAAGCCGATATCGACTTTGACATTGCCGAAGACGACGAAGGCCAGCCCCGCAAGTGCTTCAAATACGACAACATCCGTACCTACGAGACATCGCAACAAGTTGGTGACCCTAGCGATACCTATGGCGACGTTGTCGCCCTTGCCCTACACGACCCCAACAAACACGAGTCTGAACCCCTGCGCGACACCAAATTGCAAAAGGCAGCGTACTTTTACCCCATTACTCAACGGACGAGCTTGAGGCCGAGACGACCTGGTCGCGTTGACATGACGGAGGAACAGCCCAAGGTGGATATTATTGAGGCTGCGGGTAAAGATCCAGAGGCGTTTGAGCGACGAGAAATGTACAGGAAGAGGGCCGAGGGCATGGAGATTGGGGAGTAGGAGATTAATTAATTCCCTGAGGTTATTTTTTTTCCCCGAGTGAAGAAGATTGAAGTCGTTTAGGAAAAAAAAATAGGACTTGGGGGTCTCTATGTATTTTGAATATAGAAGACTCGGATTCATTTTGCACTTGTTCTTTTTTTTGGGAAGAAATATTCATCAGCGTGGGCGTTTGATTGGTGGAGATTTGGAAGGGATTTTACTGCCATGGGGTGAGATCAATAAAATGGGGATTTTTCCGAATCAATGATAGTTTGTGGATTGGTGGAGTGAGTGATTTGTGAGGAAAAGTCTGGTTGGTGATTGTTGGTGGTGCAGTGATTCAGGGGGGCATACGCCACTGAGCGACTATTCTGGGGGACAAGCTAATGAATGGCTATATCTGGGGAGAAATGCTTGGTCGGTTTTGGGGGATATTTGGATATGGAAGACGTTTAAACGGTGGATTTTCCATGTAGCAAGAAAGTTGGGGGTTTTGCGACGAAGATAGGGTCGAAGGTGGTGGAGTGGAAGATGCTTGAGGAAAAGTTGGGTACTTGTTAGTTTTAGGTGTGGTGGTTTGTGGTGGACTTGGTAAGGGAGATATACGATTAATATCTATCATTTGACGGAACACATAAAGAATGTTCTTTGGCTATGTAAAAGTATGTGGGGATTCAGATTACAAGATCTTGGTAAGTAGGGGTGGTGGTGGGTGAATGATGTACGTGAGGGAAAGGTATCTCTCTTCATACTAGCAATGTGCGATATGCTGCACAAGTGATACGTGAAACAACATCCATGTAAGATTTTTTTTAGAAAACAAAATCAGAAGGGTTGGAGTAACTTGCGTGTAACATGTCTAGACTGTCTTGAAAAAAAAACGAAATCGCTCCGATAGTACGAGATTTGCAAATGCTGGGGACGTAAATGCTGGGTTTGCATACAATGATGATCTACCTTAGCCCTTATTGCCCTGTACAACTCTATAATCATGAAAAACAAAATTGAAGAAGTAATGCACATTTCCTTCGCTATTTCGCTGGTGGATCGCTTCGTCGGAGGAAGAAAATAAGTGTTATGAGGGCGGCAAGACATATCCCGACGTGACTTGCGGTATCTAGTCGGGAGCGCCAGACGTTCTCGCCGCATTTGTACCAAGGTGCAGCGCGCTTGCGCTTATGTTGCCTATGTCGCCGATTTGAACGATCGGAAGATGCTTGTTGGCAGTTGGCAGATAGAGATTGGTTGTGAGTAGGTAGGATAGGCGAGGTAGCTGTGTTTCTGCGAGGAGGCATGGTGGTGCTATAACGGGATCTGGATAGTCATGTGTTAGTAGTAGTCTCAGAGTATGTGCCCTAGGTGGAAGGACATTGCTCGTACGTTGATGCAGCATGCAAAGTATCTTTCTGAAGAATTTCAGTGACGTTTAAGAGGGGAGGTACCATAGCGATTTCTGTGTTGGCACAGTTAGTAACTTATATGTATGTGTGAACGTTTGAACCCTCATTCGCACCTGGTTAACCTGGAGAAACGGGCAACCAGATGCTCCCCAAGCCCCTTGCACGACGTTCGTTTTCGAGTCAAGGAGGCGGGCAGGCCTGCCTAAGCGGGCGCCGCCAGAGTGAACAAAGTCAGCGCTAATCGGGTTGTGTACTAGTAGCAACTAGCGAAAAAGCTGCTTAGAAGATAGCGTAGTAGGGACATGTGGCGGTTTTTTTTGTGCGGCTGATTGGATGCCTTCTACTTACTAGGGTTACTTGTAGGGTACTGGCCTGGCTGCAACTATTGCCAAGCAAGACCTGCATATTTTGCCCAAGTATAATAGCTGTCAGCCTTGTCAGCCCGAGGCCGACATTCAGATTGCGGAGTGTATGATTGGTGTATTCAACGACATTTTTTGAGTGGTATATGAGCTGTACCAGGCCCGACACCGCGGATGTGAAACAGCAACTCCGGCAAAATGTTTACTAGGAAATTCTAATCCGCGCACTACATCAGCTGTGGTATTGGCCTCTCTTTTCGATGCTACTTCTTAGTAATTAGTTGTCAAGGATAAGAGCCCGTGTTGTGAGTCATGAGAGGGATTGCATAAGGGAAGAGTCGTTGTTGTGAGTTAGAAGGCGCGAATGTTCTGCAGAGCGGGAATCAACAGACATGGCTGCCTTACAAACAGCCCTGGCGAGGTATCTTGGGACTATGCAAACTTCTATGCACTTTGAGATGCGCATCTACGACTAGAAAATTTTGAGGTTTGCAGAATTACCTGCAAAATTATGATGATGTTAAGTACAGCCTGATGCTTGACATAAGAAGTCGTGCTGTCTCGTCGTTGCGTGGACAAACGCAACATAGTAATACGCTACTGCAACGTAAAAGTACTACAACTACTACTAGGTACATAGCGGACTCAAAACCACGAAATCTGAGCGCAAGTCATGTACTACGTGCACATTGCTGCAGTCGCTCTCCACATGCGATCGAGCGGTAGATATTTGAGATTCCGAGGCCCTTGCGTTATTGCTTACAACTGCAGTTACCCTGCCCCGGGGATCGCCTCTTGATCCTAGTCCCGAAATTGACCCGCTTCGACTCGATCGCGTATAGCCGGGGTCATGCGCAAGGAAAGCTTGAATCCCGCGCTTTTGAGTTCTCACTCATTCCTTTTGCGCCTGCACACCAGGCGTGATGAGACTAACGTCCTGCGCATTTTATTAATTCGCACGACGTTTCTTCCCATGGTTTTGAGCGGAACACCCAGTCAAACTTTTACAATAATCTTTGATAATTTACCCCTTTTGCACATGACAACAACGACACTCTTCCTTACTATACCCGGAGGACCGCAACAACAACAAAGCACACTTTTTTTTTAAATCATGACATCCCACCAGGATCCACGCTCCACAACATCCTCAAAGCCACTGTTCCCTTTTACCGTCCCGAAACTGCATCAAAGCACCGACCTGCCTGCTTGGTACGCCCACAACTCCTTCATCCAAACCGCCTACCGCCCCATCACAAAATCCACGCGCCTCTGCCTCCAAAGCCTGACCTACCTCCACAACGAAACCATCAATATCTACTCGCACCTTCTCCCCGCACTCCTCAGTCTCTTCTTCAGCCACTCCTTCAGCACCTCCTTTGCAGCGCAGTTCCCGCACGCAACGTGGAAAGATGAAGTCATGTTCCGCGTGTTCCTGAGCACGTGCGTGATTTGCTTTGGCACGTCGGCGGCGTATCATACGCTCATCTGCCACTCACGTACGTTTGCGGAGCTCTGGGTGCGACTTGATTATGTGGGTATTGTGGTACAGATCGTTGGGTCGTTTATTCCCGGGATTTATTTTGCGTTTTATTGTGAACCCCAGTTGCAGAAAGTGTATTGGAGTATGGTATGTTTGTTTCCTTTCCCTCCTCCCCGCCACCCCCTTGCCGCTAAGGTTGGGATTTGCTTTAAGGACTTGGTGTTGACTTTTGGGGATACAGATTATTACGCTGGGAACTATGACTGCGACAATTGTTCTTAGTCCGGGCTTGCAGGGCCCGAAGTGGAAGTATTTACGTCTGTCCACGTTCGTTGCTATGGGCTTATCTGCTTTTGCGCCGATTATCCATGCTGCTAGTATTTTCCCTTACTCCCAGCTAGACCAGCAATCTGGCTTACGCTACTACTTCCTCGAGGGCGTTTTGATACTCATCGGAGTTGGGTTTTACGCAGTACGTCTTTGGCTGACGTTGGTATTAATTTGATTGCTTTTTATGTTAACTTGCATTTGTAGGCGCATTTCCCAGAATCCTGGAAACCAAAGCGATACGACGTTTGCGGCGCGTCACATCAGATTTTCCACATCGCTGTTGTTCTGGGCGCTCTAGCGCATTATTACGGTATTATGAGCGCATTCGAGTGGAACTACGCCAATCAGCGCTGTATGTGGTGAATACCGACGTTTTATTAGACTTAACCAGACACAACAGTGTTGGTTTGTCGGTTGCTTTTTAACCTGCACAGCGTACTCTGATGCCCTACAACCACTCTCGAGCCATTATTTTTGGCACTTGAGAACGTAATTTTCATGTAATAGGTCATGTCCGTTTTGGCTATTCCTCAAGTTATGGATTCAAAGCCCCTTTGCTCTGGTGCAATACACCTGCATCTATAATGGCATTTAATATATAATGGATAATATAACGATCAAAAACAAGCAATAGCAATGATTTGAACTCAACAATTCCTCATATGAGATTCTTTTGTGTTCCCTCCACCGCGACGTTGTTTAACGTTGTTCATGTTGACATTTTTTCTTTACTACTAGTCCCTGGCCCCACTCGCCAAAAAAATCTCTAGCTTCCCGCACTTCGCCCACATACAACCCTTGTGTCCATATGATATTCTCAGATGAATTTGTTAATTCCTTTCGTTTTTGTTGCTTTATCACTCAAGGTAACATGTGATGCAAATACAAAACTAGTCATCGAACAACCAATCAAATGGTGAGATGGCCGAGTTGGTTATGGCGCCAGGTTAAGGTTATCTTAACATTATATTCCTGGTCACGAAAGTGGCGTGGGTTCAAGTCCCACTCTCATCAGCATTCGTCTAGATCCATCTAGATACCCCAGGTTCTTTTTTTCCTTCTCTTTTTTTTATTGTCTCTTTGACTTGAATTAACCGTGAAACATATTCATAACAAGGAAGATCGCAAACGTAGAGAGGCTCACCAGTTGAGGCAATTATCTTTTTTCATCTTGTTCTCTTCAATATCTTTACAATCAATCGTTCATGGCGGAATGAACCCAGTGTTCCTTGGTATCAGTCCTCGTAAGTCGCACTGGATGTGGAGACATGATAGTGAGAGGCTTCCTGTGCAACAGTGACCGATTACAACTCCAGTGTCCCGATTCTGCTACCTGCATTGGAGTTGTCACCCCAAACACCTTCGCCAACTCTCCTCCTGACCATGGCAAGCACGTCTTGTCTATCACCATTTTGTTCGAGCTTCCTCCCTAGCGTCTTCAAGACCTCGAACTTTGCAGTTGCAACGATGTAGGCCGCGTTCTCTGCATCACCACGACCGCCGACGAGGTTGGAAAAGGTCGTAGCTGGTTTCAACAGGGAAGGTAATACGCCGCCACTGATGCTGGGATCGAGGATCAGATCGACGCCGGACTTTGGGAAGGAGTTGAGACGGGCATATGTTGAGTCGTTGACGGGAACATCTGGCAGGGGTTCGGTAGACCATGAAGCCGTGATGAGGGCACCCACGAGCGTCAGAGCAGCCAGTGCGTTTTCCTTCATAGCAATAGTCTCCATATGCGTCGTCAAGTCAGCAAACATGGTTGGTTTCTTGCTCCAGAAAAGGGAAGTCAGGAGACGCGCATATATGGCTTCAGTCTGTGTACGCTTGCCATCAGAACCTAGGGTTTCAGTCTGTGGGAATGCGATTTCTTCCTTTGGCGGACCGTGGAAGATGGCTGCTAATGTCTTCAGCGCATCTTGGTTTGTTCTGGTAATTGGCATATCTATAATGACACAGTCGTCCCAAGCTGGCCCAGAGACTCCCCGCGGTATCAGTGTCGATCTCGGCATTGCAGCGATAATGCTCAGATTGCTTGCTTCGCACTTCCGGATATTGCGATGGACGTAGGCGCGAATGATTGGCATCTCACTGCTCATCTCGAAGTTCTCAGGGTAACATGAGGCGTAGTCGCTGATATACTGTGCTGTCCGATTGCTCAGAAAAGAATGATCCACACCGGGATTTTCTGAGGTATGAAAGTCGATCAGGCGCTTGTGAATGCCTTCCTGTTTTAGGAAGTCCAAGGAGAGGCTCGAGTCATAATGAGAGAGATGAGGCCTGGTCTGGACTTTTGTGATGAGTACGCTATAGAACTGGATGAGTGACATATGCATCAGCATGTCGTCTTCAGTATCGACCATCTTCAATGCGGCGTAGTGGAGTAAGCCTTGATTTTCTTTCAAGCCGACTTCTTGCTCGACAGGGAGACCATATGAAGAGACTATAGCATTCCAGTCCATAGCGGCAACGCGCGGTAGCCATGATAGCAACCTAGCTTGGGAGATAGTCTTGTCCCGCTTGCTCAGAAGCGGAAGTGAGGGTGAAGTGAGCTGTTTCAGAGATGTGTAGTGATAGTATAGCGAACTGATGTCGCGGTCACTGAAAAGCCGTCGCCACATGGGACCAGTGCCGTATGTATGTAGTGAGGACTTGCCATCGATGGCCACAGGCTCATTCTTTGATACTTCTAGTAGTGAAGTGAGAAGGTCTTCGGCTTGCGTTGCAACTCCTTCATTTTGCGTGCAAAGCCACAGACGGACTGTGGCTAATATGACTGATGGACGGTTGGCGAGGGCCTGGGCATCTGTGCTAGTTGCGGTAGCCTTCTCGAGCAGTGTGAGCAGAAGACTGTGGAATGGAGTAGCTTGGAGATCGAGGCCAATCTCAAAGTCGATATCTTTGATGTCCTCAAACCGGTATGGTCCAGCCAACTTGACGATGAAATGGACGAGTGGCGACGGGTCCTGCTGAAGTTTGGGTAACAAGACGGCTATTTGTAGGAAAAGCGATCTAGTGTCCTTCCAGACGTGGCTCCTGTATTCAGGAGTGTTTGTGGAGAGCTCGCATCGTTCGAGCAGGTCTGTATCCAACGGACAGGTAGGATCTTGATCGACCTTTTGCAGATGGTCCGAGAGCTCACTGAGGACTGCTGTTGATGTGGCCATGGTTGAGCTCCAGTGGGACAGACGGTACAGTTGAGAGGATAAGGACTCAAGTTAGAATTGTAATGACCTCTGTCTTGCTCCTAGTCTGGAGTATAGCTGATAGAATAAGCTGTAGAGGAATGTTCTAGCTCCGACTCATGTGATTTCGCGTACCAGGTCGAATGCACGCGTTCCCTGTAGCCTGGAATAGGTGAGGGGCGGCGTGTGGCGGGGTGATAGGTTGGTGGATGCAGATTGGACCCCACTCTCAGCCCTAGCAGACCGCGGCTCGAGCTGCACCCAAATAATTTCTGACTCGGCAACTTTGCCCAACTCTTAACTTGACGACATCGCCCTTGGCCTTGATCGCGGCGGAACCAGCACACGGGTCGCGCAGGCTTATTGTAAATATGCCGCCAGCAGCAAGAGGAGGACGGGGCGGAGGGCGAGGTGGTGCACGCGGAGCCTTCAATCCCGCGCGAGGAACAGTTACTATTGCAGGCACAGAGCTCAACTGGGATCTGACTGGCCTCGACATCCAAAAAGGCCCTGCTGAGCGTTTTCCCGTGAGCTCCCCCTATTCTAGTGTATCTACTTGACTCTGTGCAATTCAAGTGAGCACGATGGGCTTGGCGCATCGCGTTGCCCGGCTTGATATCATGCGCTCGCAGCACGCCTTTGGACCACTCGCTGAGACATGAACAGGAAGCTCCTCCCCCACAGGCGCCTCCACCAACAGACGATGAGCTCGGTGTGGTCCGGCACCACCTTGCAGTACGCGACCGCATCCATGAGGGACCTTTCTACACCATCCTCAACGACGGCATGAAGAACGGCCTCAAGAGGAAAGCCAACGAGCCCGCACCTACCGAGGCCTCGCTTTTTGACCCTTTCACCGGCAACCAGACGTATTCTGCCAAGTACCTAAAAGTTCGAAGAAGACTACCCAAGCTAGACGCCCGCCCATACGGTAAGTAGATCGCGTAGACCAACACGCCTATAGCAACAAGACCTGACAAAACCCACAGTCGTCGACCTCTTCCCTGCCGAGCTCCGCCCAACTCTCGACGTAGACGGCACCCGCGCCGACGGTGCCACCACCAAAAAGCGCCGCACCCTGGGCGTCACCAAAGTAAACGCCGAATCCCAAATCGAGCGCCTCATCCGATCCGAGCAGCTGCGCACCAACGAAGCCGAAGCCCGCGCCGAAGAAGAAGGCGATGAAGACGGCGACGAGGACGAAGAAGACGCAGACGAGGATAAGCCGGATGCCGTGGACGAAGAAGACAACTGGTCTGCTGCTTCTACCGACTCGGAGGAGTCGGACGACGATTACAACGCTGAACAGTACTTTGATAACGGCGAGGATGATGATATCGATGATGCTGATCCGTATGAGAATACGTATGAGTAATCGGTTTAAGACAACGAGGACTTGTGGAAAAAAAAGCATGGGCAATGGCGCGTATGGATAGTCCGTTTTTTTTGCGATTACGTCAAGCAGCAAATTTAGGCGTTACTTCAATCAAATTTAGATACCCGAATCAAAACGAAATTTCAATATGTTCGAGCGTTCAATCATGTACAATTTCGTTCACTACGTATGTGCCCATTTGTCTGTCCCGTCGCTTCGTCAAACCAACCAACCCAATTAAAACAAGTCACCCTCAAAAACGCCAAACATGTGCTTAGCAAGAACGAGAGTGGGTATGTGTAAAATCAAAAAAAAAGCCCGCTGAACACAAGAAAACGAAAAAAAAATACGAAGCAAAAAACCAACCAACGCAATTCATTAATCTCACCTTATTCCTTCCTTCCAAAAACATTTCAAATCCCCATCTATCTAGCATGGTTGCAGATAGTTGGACGGTACGAGCCCCGGTCGGCCCTGCTTGCCGACTGCTTCAGCCTCCCACCACCCATCATCCTGCAGACGGAGTACAGCCAGGATATCACCCTTTTGGAATCCGAGTTCCTCTGGAATCTGGGCTGCATACGAGTACATGGCACGAGCTGTGTTATCGTTAGTACAAAATCCTTGCCACACCTCTTACAACTTGCCCCTTTCCCAAAAAAGGGAAAAGAAAGAAGAGAAACAAGGGAACAAATAACTTACAATAATTCAAAATCAATCGTCCCTGACTATTATAATTCTTGGGCTCAGCAAGACTCTTACTGCGCACTCTCGACTCGGCTCTCACAGAGCTTCCAGATCCA